GAGAAAATTTCAGATGAATAAATCAAAAGTAGGGCTCTTCACTTAAAGGGATAGTTCACCCAAAAACTCAGCTTCAAGTTGTTCCAAACCTGTATGTCGCTGTCCCAGTTTAAAACTAGATTAAAGACGCATCTCTTTAGCCAAGCATTCACATAATGCTTACCTTTTATACCACTGTTGAATCAGATCGAATGCATTAATATTATGAACAGCAGCTATGCTAATTATTTCCCATCTGCTTTTCTGCTGTTGGTAAATGGCGTTCGTCAGCTCCAGTTTGTATCCAGCCTCTCACGGAGACTTCAGATGCCCCAACACCTGCGATGATATGACTACACGCCTGTGAAGAGACCACTCAACGCCGGCGATATGTTATGCCCTAAATTAATACATGATTAACTAACTGTATTTTTCTATGTACATTTCTGAAATGCACTTTCTGTAAAGCTGCTTTGAAACAATATGTATTGTGAAAAGGCTATACAAATAAATTTGAATAGAACTGTATGAGTTTCTTTCTTCTGTTTTAAGAACACAAAAGGTATTTTAAACTGTGTTGGTGACCATAGTATGTGACTTCCATAGTATTTTATTTCCCTACTATGGAAGTCAATGGGTGCCTTCAACTGTTGGATTAACAACATTCTTTAAAATATCTGAACACAAATCTTCATTTGTGTTCAACAGAAGAAAAACTTATACAGGTTTGGAACAACATGAGGGTAAGTAATGACAATTAAAATTTTTGGGTGAACTATCCCTTGAATCAAATCGCAATATGGACTAGTGTCTGTGAATGTTAAAGTGCAAAACGACAAATTTAATCTATTAATGTTTTTTTTTTTGTGTGCGTTTTTTTAATTATTTTTTTTATTAATAAAACCGACTCCATGGGGTCTTAAATATGCACAGAGGAACAGTCTGAAAGGTGTGCCCACCTTGACATCGGTTTTGGTGGCAGATTGTTTGATGAAGGACTTCATGATGTTGCTGCGGCCCAGAGATCCAGGCGTCATCATCAGCATCTGGTTCTTCTGCACCGTGTGCACGAACGAGCGCATGTGTGGAGCAATACTCTACATGCACACAACAAACAGACACATAATGGATGATGGTCTGGACTGATCAAAGATTGGCTAATCCAATCCTCAAGCAACAGGCCACAAATCAATACAAATCCTTTTACGAACTCAAACAACCACAGAGAAACTTAACGTGGACTTCTGCAGAAAGCTTTTCTTTACAAGAGTCAGGGAATGTTTTGGCTTCATGTTAGGTGGATTGCTGGCATTACGATGGTCAGAGACACTCATACCGTGAGGCATTTCTTCGGAGGAGATTGCTTCTTCTTGGGTGTGTTGATTTCCTGAATTGTTGACTCAGCTGCCCGACGCTTGGAGCCTGAACGCGTAGGCCTGACGGAAACCCACAAAGACCATTAGAAAACATATACAACATTAATCCACTAACTATAATGAAGAATTCGAATTGATGGTGTGCTTACCGGACATCTCCTCTGGACTTTGACCTGCTACTGTCATCTATTACAGGAAGATTAATAAATACAGTAAATCAAACCTTACTAGTCATCCCATATACACCTTCTGTATTTACTCTGGTAGACTTGTACCTGTATCTGAAGTACGAGCCATGGATCGTGTGAAGCGACAGTTCTCAACGGTGCTGGGAGTTTCAGAAATCTCTTCTGGTAGTTTGTCTTCTTTTATCTCAGTTTCCTTTTCTTCAGTCTTCTCAGGTTCAGGTTCCTATGATATCACACAGCCGTGAGTTATTTACAAATGGCACTATGCATAAAATACTTACTGTCATCATAACAGAAATGGCCGTGTTTGGTTAAATGTGGGTGTTCTGTGACTCCTATTTCTCACCTCAATTTGGACGACTTCAGGTTCAGGGTTGGTTTCAGTGGGCGGTTCGGCCATCTTTTGTGGTGCATCAACCCTAAACAGAAGCGAGAAACGGCGTTTAAAATATCTCGACTGATAACCAAAAGGTTGTGGGTTTGAATCCCAGAATTAAAAAAAAACATCATATGCTGAAATTTCAAAGCAAACTCACTGTTCCTCTTTGTTCTCCATGTCCTCAGGTTCAATGTCCATACAAATGTCCTCTGGAAAATGCAGTGCAGACATAAACATCACCATTCAGTTAACATACAAACTTAAGTCACTTTAAACAGCATGCATGACTGTCCGAACAAAGCGATAAATCCTAAAAAGGCATTCACACAGACCTCAAGTTATTCATTTCTAATTCGAGAGATGGCGATTTGAAGTTCAGTTTTGACTGTGAATGTAAATGGTCTCACCGCTGACGGAGCTGCTGCAGGTCGAGTTGCCCAGTCTGGCTTTCTTCTTCAGGAAAGAGCGTCGGGACGCCCTGCGAACAGCTTCCTGGGTCATGCTATGCCTGAGTCCCACCAGCGAGCGCCGCCCAACCAGCGAGCGCCGAACTGATGTCCGAGACGAGCCCTGAGGTGTCGTCTGCGACCCGGATGCAGCGATGGGGATTTTATTGGCGGATCGGCCTAGAGACAAACCAGCACTCAGCATCAATTCTGCGCTCAGACGCTCCGAGGAGGGAATCTTCACCACGGCTTCAGACACCAGGATCTGATCCGGATTGGAGCCCGAATCCTGGACCTCAACAGGTTCTTTCACTTCTGGAACGTTCTCTGCCACTTCTTCCACCTCTTTGGTTTTGGCGCCACCTTTGTTACGGGTGCTGCGCTTGACGGGTTCGGTTTCAGCCGGAGCGGTGGTTTTGTTGCGACGTGTGCGGCGAGCAGGTTCCTCTATAAGGCTTCCAGAGCTGTCGTTCGGGACGTGTGCCGTAACAAGCTCAGAGATGCTGTTCAGGGTCATCTGGACCGAGGAGCGACGCAAGTTGCTGCGTTTCCCCTTGGAGAAACTAAAGACAGACAATGACATCATTTACTATATCAGTATAGGAAAAAAGAGGACAATTTGGATTTATGTATATTAAAGGAGAGATATCCAGAGCCATACATATTAATAATCAGGATTTTTTTCCGGCTAAATTAAATCTGTTCATCATATGAAGCGATCGAGTCTCTTCAGAAAACTTGTACTTAACCACTAAATTCATATGGATTCGTTTTACAATCCCTTTATGAACTTTTTGAATTGTCAGTGTCAGTGTTGCGTAGTGGTCAATGGAAGAACAGAAATCTCTCAGATTTCATCAAAAATATCTTAATTTGTGTTTCGAAGATGAACGAAAGTCTTAAGGGTTTGACATGAGGGTGAGTATTCATTTTTTGGGTGAACTATACCCTTTAAAATACTTCTAAAGATGTTTCTATAGACATATAAAAGTTTTTTTACCAAGCAAATAAACAAAAATATTAAGACATTAGAAAACCAGCATGGTCAAAGCCCTCACCGTCTTTTGCTGTGAGACTCATTGAGATCCATCGACACTCGTTTCCTGCGGTTTGTCTTTTTCTGCGATGGAGTCTTCGGCATGAGCTCCGGCTCAGTGCTGAAGTCACTGTACAACAAAACATCTTTTTTATTAACATGTCTGATGACCATAACAGTGAATCTCACATAAACACACAAAGAGACACAAGCCACTAGTGACAGACTATATGGGCGCAGAACACAAAAGTATTAAGCGTATAACACACTCCACCTCACATTACCGGTCTCTCTCACCTTGAAAACATGCGATACGCTTCCTGCTGGATCTCCTCCAACCACACCATGTGGACAGTCTCAATTTCATTGGTAAAATCCTGCAGCTTCCCATTAAAAACCTGCATGAGGGAGCGCGTAGACTCCGGCAAGGAACTCATGGTGGCGCCCCTGGAAATACAGAAGGAAGGCTCTGTAAAATGTGTAAACAATAGCATTTTGGGAGATAAATAACTAGCATGCAACTGATCAGAAATTAACTTTGCACTATGATCCAACTGGCACTTTTGCTGTGTTTGATCATGCTGTCATATTAAAATTAAAAATGCATTCAATTACACTACATACACACTATTGTGTTGAGTTTCGATGAAAATGGAAAAACATGCATTTGCTTTTCCGTGGAAAATGTGAAACCCTGACAACAAAGAGCAAAAGGTCCAGATAATCATTCATATCCATTTCATTTGCATCCAGGTCTGCAAAGGTTGACATAAAACCTGCCTTATTTGACATCTGTCATTTTACAATAGTGAAATACAGCATTTAGACTGTTTTTCTCAAGAAAGAAAACGGAAGTCATTTCACCAATTCGTTTGACGCCGGTAAGTTAGATAATTACATACAATTTCAACACACTTTCAATTGTAAAAGCATAACATGGTTTATTGATTCTTTTATTATTATTTTATCAAATAAACAAATGTTAACACAAACTACATCTTTTGGTTTTCAATTAACGGTACACGTAAAAAAAAATTATTTAAGTATGACTAACGTTAACGTTACATTGAGAATCGCTAGCCAACCCAGCTAACCTAAACAGTTGTATAATAATAGGATATAAAACGTCATCTACCTCTTTCGACTTTATGAACGATCGCACTGCAAAAACAAAGACCCGATGATCCAAAGTTATGATCCTTCCTTCTATTTTGTTTATAAACATTAGATGCTAAATTGAAGTTACTTTTTCCTCTATTCGACACGACTGCCTCTTGTTTTCCAGGCACCCGCTCAAAAACGGTTTAAATAGTTTAAAATTTTACTCGGACGAATAATAAGCTACGAACGGTCGATTCTGGGTGGGTCCAAAGATTCCTTGTGTGTAATTGAACAATACGACTGCCAGTCACGACACATTTGGCCAATCACAATCAAGAAGGTATAGGAAAGGACGAACTGTGATCTCATTGGAGGATACATTTGTCTGTCATTGATTCAAACTGTCCAATGCAGGATGAGGGCATTGAAGTCCCGCCTCCTTGGTGACGTTCCCGTGATTAACATTCCGTGTAAAAACAGAGCAAAATATAACGAGTTCCGTGCTTTGATATTAATATCATTCATATTATTAAACATAACAATAGGTCAGGTTTAAAATGCATTTGCAACAGTCCTCCAAATTCCTCAACCGTGCTTACGCAGTACACAAATGTATAATGAATTATTAAGATTAAATACGATCTTCACACTGTTACCATGGTAACAGAAGCAGCTAGCTTGCTAGCGTCGTAAACGGCTCATCGTTTGAGCAAACCCGATGTGTCTTACTCGATAGCAAACATAATTTGAAACACTTTTCGTGTTGTTTCTCGTTTAAAATATCCTTGGCAGACGCCCTACAATGAAACGAAAATGAAGGTGAGTTTGTAAGCTCGCCAGGTTGTTTTGCTTGCCTGTAATTGCAGATTTAACGTTACATGTTAAGGTGATTATAAGATTTTCTAAACACATATGTATGGCTTTTCTATCTAAACAACCGTGTTTTGTATGTTATGTTTGTCGCATTGGCTTCTAATATGATACTTTATATAGTTATCTGGTTTATAGCATATTTAAAATAAAAACAATGATTACTAACAAGTACCATGGTAATACCATGTTTTTTTTTTAAAGTGTTTTGGAGTGCCTTGCCAACACCATGCTATATGAACATGGCAGTCACAAAATACCATGATATTACCATCTGTCTGATACTACCACAGTGTTACTTTTTGTAAGGGAGGTGTGGGCTTTATGATAAACTTTAAAGAATGTAGCTTTTATTTGTACAGTCTATTTGAATGAGTATATTTAGACCGAAAGTGCAGACGACAGACTGTCCTGCGCCTCTGTCATTATTAAATAACTCTAATCCTCTTTGCAGGGTTTATTTTTGGAGGATGGGCAAGACATGCAAGGTGACCAGTGCCTGAACGTCAGGTGAATGACAATCCGCTGATGGAGATGTGCCGACACCGACCATGAAGAAAATATTCAACTTCAAGAAGAAGAAGGGCTCCCCGAGTCCCTCTGAGACGGCAAGCGTGCTGTCGGCCAGCTACGACGTCAAGGAGAAAGACCTCGGGAAGGTCCACAAGGCTGCGTTCAGCGGAGATGTGGCCAAACTCAGACAGCTGGCCAAGAAGAATGATTTGAATCAGCTGGATAAGGAAAACAGGTAAACGTTGATATACTTTGTAGTGGACGAAGCAAAATGTATTATAGAAAATACAGAATCTTTCCAACCAGCCACAGTGATTAGACTAAAGGGATAGTTCACCTAAAAATGAAAATGTCTGTCATTAATTACTCACCATCATGTTGTTCCAAACCCGTAAGTCTTTCATTCATCTTCGGAACCCAATTGAAGATATTTGAAATCAAATCTGAGATTTCTGTCCCTCCATTGACAGCTACGCAACTACCACTTTCAAGGCCCAGAACAGTAGTAAAGATATCATTAAAGTAATCCTTGTGACTCCAGTGGTTTAACTTTAATTTTATGAAGTGATGCGAGTACTTGAGTACTGCAAAAAAAAGAACAACATAATTTACCACTTTATCTCCAACGCGCATTAACAAGAATGCACGATTACTTTTAATGATTGTGATTTCGTGTTGACGTGTTGAAATTATTCTTTATGCATCTTTTAAATGACTCCAGGCTCTCAACGTATAATTTGTTGTTGCATAAGCTGCATTTATTTGACCAAATATAAACAGTAATATTGTGAAATATAACAATTTTAAATGTTTTCTATTTGAATATGTTAAAATGTAATTTATTCCAGTGATCAAAGCTGAATTTTCAGCATCATTACTCCAGTCTTCAGTGTCACATGATCCTTGAAATCATTCTGATATGCTGATTTGATGCTCAGTTATTATCAATGTTGGAAGGAAACAGTTTATTATTACAGTGCTGCTTAATTTATGTGGGAAATGTGATGCATTTTTACAGGATTCTTAGATGAATAGAAAGTTTAAAAGAACAGTGTTTATTTGAAATAGAATTTTTTTGTAACTAACTTTATATATGTCTTTACTGTCACTTTTGATCAATTTCATGCATCCTTGCTGAATAAAAGTAAAACAAATTTTTTATTATTATTCTTACTTGAACTTATTTGCCCACAGAACTGCGCTGCACATCGCTTGTTCCTGCGGACACACAGATGTCGTTCAGTTTTTGGTGGAGAGCAAAGTGAAGCTAAACTTATGTGACAATCAGAATCGCTCCGCCTTGATGAAGGTACACTCGGTTTGTTCTTGTGGAATTATGTGAATCCGATGAATATAAATAAATGCTGACAGCTATGTATTTGTGGTCATGCATGTTTCTTTTGGCTTGTAGGCGGTTCAGTGTGAGCAAGACCGCTCGGTGTCTTTGCTCCTGGAACATGAGGCTGACCCCAATCTGGTGGACATCAATGGAAACACGGCACTGCACCTGGCCGCCCGCATCCCCTCCCTACCTGTGGCGCTGCGGCTCCTTGAGCACTCAGCCAACATCAATGCACAGAACAAGGTGAAACTTCAGTGCTCGGCTCCAGTATTAAACACACACAAAAGGTGTACATTCACATAAATGTGATGAGTGTAATTTCTGCGGCACCAGACTGGAGAAATACTAACTTGCTAGCTAACTAGAAGTGCTAACTAGTGTGCACTGCATAGTATACACTATAAAAATGCCTACTCACAACATTGGTTCATATAACTTATGGCAGGATGCACCAAAAATAATTGTTTTGCACATTAAAAGGTTAGATAGTTCATGCAATCCAGTCTTGAGATGTTTTGTTGTTTTGATTGACAGGATGGCAACACTCCACTGATGCTGGCTGTGATGGAAAACCACACAGACATGACAGAGCTTCTATTGAAAGAGGGAGCAGATGTTAATGTCAAGAACCAGGAGCAACGGTAAAAAATATGCACTACTAGAATAGGTGTTCATGCTTGAATGTTCAAAAAACTCATTATTCTTTCCATATTTGACATTGTTGCAGCTCCTCTCTTCCCAGTTTGTCAGTAGCGCTCTGTTTAGTTCCTGTCTCTATGAAGCCCCTCCTTCAGAAAAGCACAGTGTGATCTGATTGGTTGGCTGGACCAGTGTGTTGTGATTGGTGAAGCGCTTCGAGTGTGTTTGGGAAATGTCACGCCCCTTTCCATAACCTCCAGTTTTAACACACTACTAATGGTGCGTTCTATTATTGTCAACGAACCGACTCGGCCCTCAGATATGACGCCATTTCCACACTTCAAGCGTTCTGGTATGTTTTGCGCGTTCGAGTCGGAGAAAAACATGGACGCCACCCGGAAAGCTGTTGCTATGGTAGCACTGGCCGAGTACCAGGCGCTTATCAAAACTCAGCCATTTGAACTTCTAAAATTTTCACTTTATTTCATGTTTTAGTTTATCTTCTGTTAGCAACACTAGCCACGTTAGTAATACCCGTTTGAAACGAGGCTTCATTCAATATTACACTCACAACAAGACCGATTCCCATACCCACAGGCAGTGATACGGACGCAGTAAGGTATTGCAGTAATACGAGTGATTAAAATCTTCATTTAAACAACCAAAATAATAGAACGCACCATAACTAACTCAACCAGGCCCCGCCCCTTTATTCTGCGTATGAATAATTTAAATGAGGAATATTGTGACGTGTTCGTTCCCGGAAGAATCTCAAGACTACAATGGAGGCATTTCAGGGAGTTCAGAAACAGTGACACTGATATAGAGAATAACTTTGCAGACCTTTTTCATGCTCAAAGAGCAAATTACACACTAAAGAAAAGATGAACATGTAAAAAAGCTAAAAGTTTACGTAAATGTTTTTTTTAGCATTTTTGGTTTTAGTTAGCTATAACAAAACTGATTTACATTCTTTCTCCCATTATTAAGGTCTGCATTGATGATAGTGGCGTGCAATGGACAAATCAGCATGGTGCGTTTGCTCCTGCAGTATGATGCTGACATCATGGTGAAAGATGATAAGGGATGGTCTTCTGATGATTATGCCGTCATGAATGGACACCACGCGTAAGGGCTTTCTCACCATTTGACGTTAAATACAAAGTTTGTGTGTTGTTTTAACTATGAATGTTGGTGATTTGTGTTGCTATGATCTAATTTTGATGCATTGTAAAGATTGTTAGGAGTAATTGAAAAGGTGATGGTAATGTTAAATTGGCAATGTTTTGTTAATATAATGGAAATGCAATGCAGACATTGACAGCTTTGTTTTTTAAGCTTGTTGGAGCTCATATCAATCGTTCCGTTCCAGATGTTCACATCTGATCATTGAGCATGGGACAAAGAGAAGATCCCTTCAGTCACCTTCCCATTTTACCGCAAGCAAAAAGAAACAGACGTCCGTCCTCGGCAGCCCAGGCGGTATTGTGGCCGGTTTGCCTTTGGGAGGGCCAGCTCTAGATAAAGATGGTGAGACCATTTGCAAAATGTTTTCAGTGTCGTCTGTCTTCATAAATATGTACGTCAGTATTCCTGCAGTGTTGAGTGCAGTGTTTTGATTTAGTTCTGTTTTCCCACTCCACACTCATCTGTTGTAGCAGCAGGAAGCAGCTCTGCAGTAGCAGGGAAAGGTATTGCCAATGTGTGCCAACTGATGTGCTGTAGATCAGACACATCATTCTTTACCATCTCAGAGTTTAAGACACAATATAAGAGTAGTATGAGTGCATTCATGTTGCTGAATGGTAAACCATGGTGTGTCATGACATAGGAGCTATCCATTTTTGTTTGTTGTACGCTTGCATACTTGGTTAAAGACCTATTTGCATTTCGCACCAAGATCGAAATGAAAAAGCGAGACTTAATGAAAAAATCCAGTCATTACCATTCTTCAGTGTACAATAAAAAACATTTGACAACAACAGATTTCTTGTTGTAGTATAAATATATAAAATAAGGTCCCACTTTATCAGCAATCACTTGTCATGCCCCTTATTTTGCCCTGCATTTACTGTATATAGAAAATGTAATAGATTCTAGAGACGTGACCTAAAGGCTTATTGCTCTTAACCCATTAGTCAAACAAAGGGGGGAAACTGGACAAAAACATACTTTATTGGTGGGAATAGGTCTCTTGGAATGCATCAGTTCACAACAAATAATTGTGAATTGATCTTGATAAATTGATCCATAGCTGTATTGGAAGAAAATGCCTGTACCTGCTATGGATTATTTATTGGCTAGGGTCTATTTTGTCCTAAGTGCAGGTAATCTCTTTCATATTTCTCTCCTCAGATACAGAGGACATTTCCCACACAGACTCCATTAGCAGGTGAGATGTCATTGATATATCAGACAGGAATGGATGATGATAGCAGCTACAAATGATTCAATAAGTTTATTAAGCACTAAAATGTATTAATTTGCAGAGCATCAAAAAGTGGTGCTGCTGATTCCTGGCCTTCATCAGATGATGATGACGAGTTAGATTTGAGCCCAAAGGTATTTCTGAGCTCTGTTGTACTGTGCATGAAAACAGTTCTGAATAACATGTGATATTGATTGAAAATATTGTAATATTGGGTTAGGTAATCTTTTTTTTTTTTTTACAGAAACCGAAAGTAAATTTAAAGAAACTCATAAGCACATCAAAAAGGGAAAAAATAGAAGGTAGGTTTTAATTTTAAATGTTTTTGTATGAATTGTGGCTGTGCTGTAATTTAAAGCTCCTGCCCTGTAGCAAAGTCCCTTTAGGGCAACACAGACCACTTGGCAGCCATCTTGGCAAGACTCCTTGGCAGATTTATATATATATAAGTTCTAGGCACACAATTACCGCTCTCATCCAATTTGAATGCGGAAAGATTAAATTGGCTAAACTTGTTTCAGTAACATATTTAAAATCCCAATTTAAATCTGACAAAAATGGTATCATCATTTTTGCTGCTTAAAATCACTTAAAAACTGTATAGTTCATGTTGCATTTTAGAGAAATAAGACGAGGTGATGTCTTTATCAAAAAGTAAAAGAAAAAGGTGGTATTTCTTATCCAGCAGCCACCACAATGTGCAGTGATATGCTGTCTCTGTCTGTAGTCATAGCAGATCGGGATGCAGACAAATCCTGGAGCGGGTCAGAGTCAGAACTGGACAGTGAGGATAAGGGTTTAAACCGCCCACCTCTGTCCAGACCATTCCCCTCCAGCAGCACCTCCCTCCAACCCCCCGTAGCAACCCCACCTGCCTCTTTACCCCACCCACCCCAGATGAGCTCCACCCCCTTCAGCAGCACCCATAAGGTAACCCTCAGTGTCTCTGTGTGGTACACTGTCTAACTCTTTCCTTCTTTATTGTTTTTATTCCACCCATTCCACCCTGCTGTGTCAGGTGGGCAGAGCGAGTTAACAGAGCTGCCCTCTGGTAGTAAACTAGACATGGAAGGCAATGAAAGTCAAGAGGACGAATCTGATGAAGATGAAGATGAGGATGACGATGATGGTGAAGAAGAAGAAGAAGGTGAGGAGGAGGAGGAGGAAGAAGAAGACGAGGATGATGATGACGAAGAAGATGATGATGATGAAGATGAAAATGAGGATGGTGAAGAAGATGATGAAGAGGAAGATGAAAAAGAGGATCCTGCTGTGGCTTGTGAGACTACAAACATTCCTGGGTTTCCTAAAACCATTGCTCTCAGTACAGCAGAACAATCAGATAAGGCTGTTGGAAATGTCAACCAACCTGGACGGGAAAGGATGGAGGACGGTGTCTCAGGGGACAATCCTCTGGAGGTAAGGACAGATCAAGAACAAGAGGCACCGGAGAAAATGGATGTGAATGAAACTATTCCTGAAAAGCCACTTTTTGGTGGTCCAATTCCAGGGATTCTTGATTTAGAGGATGGTTGTCTTGTGTCAGCCGTCAGGGTCGAGGCAAGATTCTCAGATGAGGAGGACAAAGAGGGGGCCAATGACAGTCCAAGTCTAAGTCCAACTTCTTTACCAAGTGTGGACAGAACACACAGAAATCCAATAGAGAGCAAGAATGAAAACCATTGTGATGATGATTGGGAGGATGATGATGATGATCAAGATGAGGAGCTGTTGAGAACTTGGAAGAACAGTTTAAAAGTGGAGGCCTCTCAACGGACAACCCTTGTATGTGAAGATGCACAACTTCAAGATGAAACGGATGAAATTCAACTGAGACCAAATGAAGGAATAACTGATCTTGACACCAGCAATCTGGATGTTCCTTCAACATCACCTAAGTCAAAAGCCATAACTACTGCAGATGATAATGAAGATGATTGGGATGATGTTGGGGAGGAGGAAGAAGCCCAAACGAAAAAGCCTCTGAACTTATTTCTGACCTTGCTGGGACAGAAGGAACCAGAGAGCCCTGAGGTTTCTTGGGAGTCTGGCTCAGACAAAAGTGTTGGGACACCTGATGCTAAGGAGATGCCAAGTGCAGAAAAAGATCAACATCAAGAGACTTTGGTTCAGGATGACAACACTTCAGAAAGATCATTGTTAGAACCTGTTGAGCACCTTTCCCAGAGTCCTTTACATGAAGAACCTGAGCACATGGAGCACAGTGATGACAGTGAAACTATACCAGTGTCCATGATTGTTGGCCAAAGTGATGAAGACCACAGTATAAGTCAAGAGGACGACAGCCAAGTGAAGCAAATGCAATATGACTTTGCAAGTGGCTCGGTCAAAGTTTCTGAAATAGATCAGATCTCTGATGTATCTGACGATGAATCTATGGTGGAAGATGATGATGGATGTATTGATGATGATGCAAGTCAACCACAGTCTCCAAACCTCTCCAACATTAGGCCAAAATGTTCCACCACATCTAGTCCAGCACAATTGGAAAAACCATTCCTGGTGAGATCTCATTCAGGTAGCCCGAATCCTTCAAAAGCAATGAGCCCAGTTCCAACAAGTCCAAGATCCCCAACGAACCCTAGTCTCAAGCAACTGTCAAGTCCAAGGCAATCTGCTGGACCTAGCCATCAACATTCAGCTGCAACTAGTCCACAAAGCTCAAGTTTCTCAAGCCACTCACCAAGTCCCCAACACTGCAGTCCCTCACCTTCAACATTTATCCCTTTTATATCTCAGGGTTTGGATCAAAAGTCACAGGAAGCAGTTATGAATCCAGAATCTCAATGTTCAAGCCCCAATTCTCATCTTGAGGGTGACCTTTCGGTAGAGTTTGCAGATGAACGTTTAACAGAGGTGACTGAACCAGAACTAGCTCTTCAAGAAGAAATCCCCTATACCGTCATAGATGAAGTTGATCTCACTTCTGATTCTGATGGAGAAGATGGTAAGGAGGAAGAACTTGAGAAGAACTCTGTTAACGAATCTGTAATGGAAGAAAGACGGTCAAAGCAAGGATCATTACAGGTACTCTGTAGATGATACCTGTAGCTTGTGGATAGGAGGTGGTGACTTGTGGTTTGTAGTTATAGCTTCTAGATGTGGTAGCTATGGGTAGGAGGCACTAAAGATGCAATCCTGACAAATCTGTTCTTGCTCATCCCAATTGTTTTGTGTCTTTTGTTCGTTTATGTATCTAATCTCATTGAATTGTACAACTTTTTGAGTGCCTTGAGTGCAAAATGCTCTGTTTATGTTGGCTTTCAACTCATCTCTGAACAGGAAGAGGCATCCACAGAGGATGAGGAAGAGGAGGATGTAGAAGAAGAGGAGGATGAGAGGGAAGAACTGGAGGAAAAGTGTGAAAAATCTAATGTTCCTCAAAATGGTGGCACTAGCAAAGACCAGCGAAGAGGTACATTTTCATAGTTTATGGTTTGAACGATTTTTGCTTTAAGAATTCTGGCATTTATTTTGTGACCATATATATATATATATATATAAGTAATACATTTGACTAGATATGCATGTTTTTTCAGATTTCCTTTCCGAATTGGGGCTCGAAAAAGATGAAAATGACGACTCTCCCTGGGATTCAGAGGTCAGTCGCAAGGCATATTAAACAAAGCAAAGTTGGTGAAATCTTCATACAGTAATCCATTTTATGCATAAAGCATCACACCCTAAAACAGGCTTTCTCCAACCAGTAGTTAGAAAACCCCTACAGGTTTGTGATGGAATTGCAAGGGTTGTGGATTTGTGATATTAATGCAACTTAGTTAAACAAAAAGTATACAAAATTCTTACATTCAATTAAATAAGTTAAATAAATTGTAGTTATATTTAATGAATACTTGTATTATTTAACAAGTATATTTAACTAAATTGTAAAATGAATGTAATTCATAATACGTACAAATGAATTTATATTTATTTAATAAATTGTAGTTATATTTAAATACTAATTATGTATTTTAACAATTATATTTAATTATTTAAATTAGGAATTAATTTAATCAATGCACATATAGTTGTTTTATTAATGTAATATTGAAAAAAAGAAAGAAAATAAAAACTTTTTGGAAACCCCTGTCCTAAGGTCATCTGTGACTGCATTTCATTCTGGTATGTTCTCTCTTTTTTCACTTAACAGTCTGGTTCCGAGAGTCCACGGAAAAAGCAGGCAAGTGGTCTACAAACTCCTGCCAAATCACTTAAATCCATGTCCAGTATTTGTGAGGAGAACACTGAAGGTATGTATGGCATTGGCAGTGGCTTTTATTTTTATTTTTTTTACTATATAAAAATATGATTGCATTTTAGAGTGTAATACCATAATAGCTTTGTCTGTGTAGCCTTCTGCAGCCATTTCATGCTTAAAAATATGCAGAGAATATTGACATTTTCCATTGCTTCTGCTTAACAGATGTTTTTACATGCTATGGTAAATAATGCAAAGTGTAGGTTATTTGCAGATTTGCATTTCATAATCTCATTGAATTCTTTTGTAGACTTCTTATACGTTCCCTCCTTCGTAAGAGGAGGGAGGGAGGTTAATTTATTGAGAAGTATAGGCCAGCCAGGAGGCTGCAGGCCGATGGGTAGGCATTCTGATCTGCCTCATGATTTGCTGTTGTCCTGCTGGATTAATCATCACCCATAACCCCCTGCTGTGTCTCCAGCCGTGACATTAGCATCTTGTCCTCGGATCTTGATCTCTTGTCTTATGCGTCTGTTGTCATCTGTGCATTCATGGCATGCGATAAGACATGGCATGATGCTCAACTAATATTTGCTTATAGTGGGTCCATTATTGTTGCTCATGTTTACAAGATGAGTTCATTCATTCAAATTAACATTGTAGCTAAACGGTGCAGAATTATTTCCTTTAAATGCTTGTGAACTCAAACCCCAGTTTACAGGCATCATGGGAGACCTCCATCGCTGCATGTGCATGCCTGCGCACTCGCCACATGTAGGCTTGTCTTTGTCCGTTGATATGTTTTTAGAGGAGTTGATATTTTTATTTTTTGCCTTTCAGTTTTAAGAAATGACGAGGATGATGTAGAAGAGAAGGAAACTGAAATACCAGTAAGCATCCTTTTAAAGTTCAAGTTTATTTGTATTCATGAATGAAGAACCGACGTTTGCAATGCAGTTTTTTGGGTAAAATGCATTAATGATTAGATTGTGAAGGCTAAATATTGTCATGTCAGTAGGGGATATTTAAAGTTTAATCATACATTTTGTTTTGAAATATAGAATACAACACACCGCACCTAAGACTGAAATTTTCTACAAAACAAAGTTTGAATGGATACTCAATGTTAAGTAGAGTCAGCTGAATTAATTTAAGAAAAAGGGTGGAAATGCAAAGGATTTCAATACTTTCCAGCAATGTTAAATATATTAATATTGATAAGTTAATATTATTTATATTATATGATCTAATAATACAATATATTATATTAATATTCAAATATTTATGTACTCCTGTAGTTCAAATAGTAGATAATTTAATTTACAGGAGTACATTGATTTAAAAAACAAATCTATATATTTTATAGATATAAATGATACCTTCAATGCAAGTCCCTTTGGATAAAGGCATCTGCCAAATGCATAAATGTTAATGTAAATGTATAAGTAAATAATAATTTTTTGAACTTTTGAATTTAATAATAAATGTAAACATTTTCTTCACAGCCCAAAGTGATCAAAAGAGAGCCAGTGTCTGTTCTTAGTAAGCTGATGGATTCAAAAGAAGCCAATAAGAAAACAGGTCATCTCATCGTTGAATTTTCTTAACACAAAAATAAACTATATTGTAACAAGTTTGGCTTTTTGAATAAAATTCTCTGTTCCTGCAGACCTAATGGAAGAACTTGGTTTGGGGGATGCTGATGATCTTGAAGGTAATCTTAATGTGTTTTTGCTTCACTTAAACATTCCTGAATCAATCTTTAAACTTTGCGCTGAATGTATGTTATGTATGTCTGATGTGTTCGTGTTTTTGTCTTATTTTACACAAAAGCAAATCGCCAATGCCCTCCAGGTCAGATACTCAAGCACTCTATGTACCTTCGTTGGACATTTATAGTTCTGCTGATGCTTGCTAATATCAGAGCCGTGGCCTAGCAGTTAGTGCATATACTGTGAACAGCAAAAGTTTCAGTTCAGCTTGCCATTTTCCCATTTCCCTGGTCTTTTCCATCTTCTGTCAAATGGCAAAATCTCTAAAAATAAATACATATTTAATAAAAAAAAAAAAAATAGTTTTTGTGAATCTGCTTATTTTGAAAGATCTCCAGTGAGAGTGTCAATGAAAAGTCTTCAGCTCCACACTGGCAGTGAAGATGGTCTCTTTTGGGTTTGCAATTTGCATTTTTCACTTCCTCTCATAGATGCGTCAGACTGGGACTCTGCCAGCACCACAAGTAAGGCCAGTAAGAACTTCCCAGTTCATAAGCTGGAGGAGGAACCGGTCTTCGAAAGCCCTGCAGCTTCTGCATTACCCGTAACACCCCAGCAGCAGGTAGTGGACACCAGGGAACATGAAGAAGCCAGTCCAGAGAAAAACAAACCCACAACCTCAAGCACACAACCTCTTCCTAGTCCACGATCTCTCAATCCAAACGGCAGCTCAAAGCCACGACCACTGCCACGACTGCGCTTGGACTCGAATCAGAGGCCAGAGAGCGAAGGTGAAACTAGAAATCTTTATGATAATGAAACATATCAACATTTCTGGTGAATTTCTGAGTAAATGGTTTATTGATACACACAATCAGACTGGGATACAGACACCTCCAGTCCAGCCAAGACAACAAATTCACTGCCAAACGTCACTGAGCCTAACGCAGGTAAATCTCTTTAATGTAAAGATGAACGTTCAGGGTTCAATACACTGTTCACTGTTTTATATTGTATAGTAATGTGTCTGAATTTCTCTTCAGTTCATCAGCAGGAACCCAAAGCTGAAGATGATGAGAGTGAAAACAGTTCTGACGCAAGTGAAAATGCAGATCAGGTGGGCGTAATTCATTTAACAAACTCTATGGAAGAATTTCTGCCAATTTTAAATAAATGAATACCGGTAAATAAAACTGAAAGCCTGGTTAAGCATTGCATTATTGAAAATATCTGCAAACTATGTGCCAAAATATTTATTTTTTAAATGATTTTAATTTTCACAGTGAAAATTGTCTGCAAAGTACTCGCTAAAAATAAATTAAAAACGAATAATTAAATTTTATATAGCGAGTACTTTGCAGTTGAATGAAAACAAAAGCTTAATCTGGTTTTAATTTTTATAATTTTATTAATTTATTTAAAATTGGAAAACTCTCCTGTAATTGTTGAAAGCACCGTTTTTTGCCTTAGCTATAATTGGAAACTACAGTGATGTGTTTTTTGTCTTCAGTGGATTTGGTTTTTAATGTCACCATGTGCTTCCTTTGTGCAATATTTTAGTTAAAAGTGGTGTTTGTGACAGTGATACAGTTTTAAATGTTGGCATGAGTCACGTGCTTGTGTCCTAAGTTTGGTCTGAAGTCCTTGTCAACCAGACTTGTTTTAGTTTTTCATTGTTAATTCTATTCTTTTGTCCAATTATGCAAATAAAGGCAAGAGAGGCATTACAAACGTCTTCTGTAAACATAAATAAGCCATCTAATGAACCGTTGAAGCTCCCAACCTCTCCTAGAGAGGACGAACAAGATGAGAAAACTGATGAGATTCTCTGGGAGGAACGCTATGAGAAAATCTGGGTGGAGACCGAAAAAAAGGAGACCAAGTCCCAATACAAAAATGTGGCTGCTGAACTAAAAGAGAAGTTCGGAGAACTGGAGCACAAGGAACCGGGTGACCTTTTGGAGCAGGAATGGAAACAAGCACATCAGAAAGATGAAGAGGAAATAAAAGAGGTGGAAAAGGAAGCGGATGAGGATGATTCCAGTGAGGAAGAGGGAGAGCCAATAGTGCGGCCCACCGCCCGGGCGAGAAGTGCCATACTTTTGCCCATCCCTGAGCAAAGAGAGTCAGGTCTGGAGGACTCACAGTCCGAAAGCGTCCACCGCACGGTTAGTGTTGAGGTCAGCGATGCAGAGCTTCCCAGTGATCAACACAACCCTCAAATCATCCCAGAATCCCTTACGTATGAGGCCCAGAAGCTAGAGAACCAAGAAGATGGCACTGATGATAACGAGGGAGCTAATAGTGAAAGCAAAGAAAACTATCAACAAGAATCTGGATTTGGTGTAGAAGAAGAACTTGAAGAACCTTACAGACCCCCATTACTTGCTGAGAATGACCTGAAAGTCCCACCTAAAATTCTAGAAGTGCTTTCTTCTGACTCCGATGAGGTTGACGAGGGCCCGTGGAAGTCCACACTTGAGGTAGGACCCCGGGAGGAGTCTCAGATAAACAAATTAGATAAACAAAGTCTTAGATAAACCAAATCATTATAACAAATGAAGACTTTCAGCTTGGCTTCTGTCTTCTTGTTCTTCATTCATGTAAACTCAAAATATGAGGTCTATAAGCTCCGGGGAAAAGCTCCAGCTTCAAAAACAGAGCCGTCTGTTCTGTCATCTTATAATACTGACCCGACTCTGACCAGCCAAATTACACAACTCTTCCCTATCTCTGGTTATGCTAATCATTAGCTCTGTTCCAAACCTAGTGAGCTGCCTACTTAGACAGCATTTTAAGGCATCAAAAAGACAATGGCTGTTTGAAATGCTGCTTTCAGAGATGCATTGTTTTACCAAAGCTTATCTGTCTTTAAGTTGACACTGTATCTGTAAATATGTGATTATGGTGCAAATCGGGCGATGCATTGCATTTAGCGTGATGCTTTTAACACATTCACATAGGAAAACATTTAAATGTTGTAATTGTAAATTTGTAAATATTCACATTTTATATAGAACTGAACTTGTTGCCTATATAAATCCTTCAAATCAGTCATTTGTGAGATTTCACGATGGTTAGCATTGTGCCTTAGAAGGCAGGAGGCTATATATTAAGCAAGGCAGCACGCTAGTCTTTGAAACAGAGCTATTGTCTTGTCAGCGTTTTTTATACTAGCATTTCTACTCATTCCAGTGTTTTCATATCATTTGCATTCTTCATGCATTTTAAGACCCCATGAAATCTGTATTATTTTAGTATTATTTATATAACATTAGGCCTATAGTGTTTTGAATGTTGAGTTAGTAATTTATTTTAAATTGGCTTTTATTTTTATTTTTCAATATTTAGGTGCAGTTTTATTCGTTTTTTTATATTTATAAAAGCCACCTTTTAATTTGCACCACATCCTAGCAAATCCTAATTTGTGCTGTGTTCGTAATGTTCGTAGTGCAACAATTCGAGATCACATTGTGCAGCAATAAACATTTTAGACAATGCTGCTACATTGGCAAATTAGTCAATTAATGATTCAACTGTTAGTACTATGCTAAAAGACATGGGCTACAAAGCTTGATTTCACGGGGTCCCTTGTTCCATCTTGTCCTGTGTCTGTCTTAACGTTTGTAAGATGTCAGTGTGTGACCTGACCAGCACTTGTCTTGAATTCAGTCTGTCACTCTATTAAATATTTATCAGTTAATTTTATGCACTGGTGTCAAATGATTTACTTGAAGCCACAAATGGGCGTCAGTTCACACCTCATCTGTCGTGTGCATGTGTGCCAAGGATGGTTTCCTTCAGCTGTCTGAAGATCTCTCCTCATCTTCCTGAAGATCTGTCATACTAGTGGTAGTGTGTGTTTTTATGATGTGTCTCAACTGATGAGTTTTCAACCACCGTTTTTAACCCTCTGTGGTCGGAACTTCTCCGTTGATGTTGGCTTGAAGTGTTTTTATGTTGCTTGCGCTTCTTTTTAAATAAGAAAAGAAGACATGCTGTATTGTGTGGTGTTTTTGCTGAGTTTTGTCTTGTATGTGACTGTATATGAATGTTTTGCATGATCAATTGGCTAAATCGATTGATGCATTAACATTTCCCAGAAGTGGGTTTAAATCTAGAATTGTCTTTCCTTAATATCTTCTGTTTAGGGTGGTAAGGAACAGACCGATGTTATGAGGGGAGAACACCAGCCCAGTGCTTTATGGGATTCCGGAGGATTTAGAGGACGAGCTGAACTTGACCAAGGAAAAGGGAAGAAAACTGACACCAACTCTGGGAACCCAAAACCTCAACAGGACGGGATGTCTGACGGCAGGTCTTTGGGAAGAGAGGGTAGTGTTTCACCGAGACATCTGTCAAGAAGTCCAAGAAGGTATATATGTCACATTACTACAGTAGATTGAATTAATGTGAAGGGAGAATTTCTTTTTTTGATCCGATCACATAAGCTATGCTTTCATCCAAAGTTGCAAGTTTAAATTATGCACAAAATGGGAATATCGCATAAAATAAAGCAGCCTTGTGTTCAAGAAAAAAAGCGTCACTTCCTGGGAAATTGGTGGAAAATATCTGTAATAAAAATGGAAGCTTCTGCAATCAGGGAAGGCACTCTTTTTTTGTACATCATAAATGACCAACACATTCTCATCCTTTGGCGTCATATAGGTGACGCCATATGACATTTCGTCGAAATCTTACGCACATGGCATCCTTTAGCGTCAATATAACACGCACTGTTATGGGTAGCTTTTAGTCTGGGGTAGGGTTACGGTTATGACGCCTTGGGTTCTGCGTCTCATATTGACGCTAAAGGATGCCATGTGCGTAAGATTTCGACGAAATGTCCAAAGCGTCACATGTATGACGCCTTGGGATGAGAACGGGCTGAAATGACCGTTTGGATCAGTGGCGTCATGCCCATTCAAAGTGAGGGGGCACGTGCCCCCTCAGATTTTTCCTCCCTAGGGTGACCAGAAGTCCTGAAAAAATTCGGGACAGTCCCGAAATCTAAGCTGTTGTCCCGAATCCCGAAACCGGCCTTAATTGTCCCGAAAATTATACTAAAGCAAAATCTTGATATTAAATATTAAAAACTGTCCGTGGAAGCTGAGTCGTCCTGCAGCCAGCCCCTTCCAATTGCAGCAGCCGCAGCCGCGAGGACAGTGAATGTGGAGGCAGCCAGCCAGTCTAAACTTTAGTTTTTTTACGCGCGTCATTTGCTCTTGACGCGCGAATGGATTCAAAGTGTTCACGCGTAGGCTATAACTAGACGCGGTAGGCGCGAATTTGACGCGCTATTCGCGTCTGGTGTGAACGCAGCATTAAAGGAGTGATTGATTGGTCGCATCACTGTGTGCAAAAAAAAACTTCGTCCGGGCCTTGTAATGTCTGATGTCGGGTTAGGCCTACACAAAGCAAATCATCTACAAAATTATTTAGTTTTCCTATTTAATGACCGACAATTTAGTTGTAATAATAATTTTGCCATGAGGCTTATTAGCGTTAGGCTATAGCCTGAAAGGTCTGATTTAGCCTACACACTGTTACAACAGTAACACAATTTTTTTTTCACAATGACATTTGAGTTCATGATTTTAATGGGTTTTTTTTTTGGCAGACTAAAGACTAATGACAGACTTTGATCTTTGAATTAAAAAATATGTTTGGTTCAGGTTTGAAACTCATTATCTTTTAATGTAGTCTAATATCATAGTAGGACTACCCCCCAAATCCCTACAGCATAGTTGTTATACAGATCGCTATACATATTGCATTTGATTTGATTACTTTTTTACATTTCTGTCAAATATTAACCATTTTCAAATAAACGGGGTAGTGTTAACCTTATTCAGCACTGAAATCTGTCAAACTTCTTTCAAAGTCCTTCATCACATATTAATATTAAAATAACTTAATTTCAGAGCACCACAAAGTCAGACCTCAGCACCTTTATGTAGGCTACCTTTAATGTAAGATCGTTCTTAGGTCACATACCAATTTAAAATCATAACATAAAAACTGCAATGGTACTGTTTTTAAAATCATGTGTAGTAGGCCTAAGTGTACAGTAAGTGTGTGTGTAAACATGCTTTAATGAAGTAGACTTCAAAAGCTTTTGAGTTTGAGCTTACAGTTCTTTCATCAACCTGTCTTTTACATAAACTTACAAAATAGATACTTTAACTTAGTCCTCAGAATCAGATAGAGGAGTGTTGCTGCTAGCTCCGTTAAGGTATTTCTGTCCCTCCCAAACTGCATTGAAATGGTATGTTTAGCAGCCAGAATTTAAAAATTTTCAGGGGGAGAAACCCCCTGACCCCTCCTAACATGATCCATATCACCCGTCAGAAAACAATTGCAATGTCTCAGATTGTGCCCCCCCAGAATTTTGGCTTGCATGACGCCCCTGGTTTGGATGCCTAGTGTTTAGGAACGCAATCGTGTGAGACACTTCTGGGAGGGAATTAAACTAAATCATTCTGAAGACAGACTTTGGATCAGGCATTTCAGAATGACCAAACAAACATTTGAGATGCCGTGATGCGATTGGTCCACTGGTTAGTCCAGATATCCAATCATGTCCTCTGAGAGTTTTTTTGTTGCGCATCGAGGGATTTATTAGGTAAATGTGTTTTCATTGTAGTTTGTGTCTTCTTATCGGATAAGGAAAGTGCCTCAGTTGAGCACATACATATATTTTTTATGCACATTTTTAGAATTTATGCGTTTTTTGGTGTTTCCATCCAGTGTTTTTTTATTATTTTTTTATGCGATATCCCAATATTTGCATACAAATAGTTGGATGGAAACATAGTTATTGAAGAACTATGCTTCTATTTTATTTTATTTTGGAATTCCTTATACCCTGTGTGCTTAAACAGAGCTTCAAACATTACTGGAAAAACAATTACTGAGGACACTTAAAGAGTAAAGAGCTTTCAGCCCGATAGATTTTTTTTTTTTCATTCTATTTTTAATGAATATGCATGCAATCAAAAACAAAGTCTGTAGCCATGGTATACAACTATTGTGTTATATTTTTAATTAGGTTTCATTCTAATTAAAAGATAGCCATCAGGTCTTTGCTGACTCTCTGATTTTGCTTCTGATATCATCAGATATTTCTATTTCTTTCTGGGTGTTTCCCGGGTGGAGGCTGTGAAGTTGACATTTGTTTATTTTAGTTAAATCTTTCATTTCAACTTCATGTTGAGATCTGTGTACCTCCAGTACTGACAGGGCACCACCACATGGTGAGGAAGATGAAAAGGAGGAGGAAAAGAAAACTGTAGGTAGCCAAGCGAGAAATCTCTGTGTAGCTCCACTGCTTCAGGGAAAACCCTCCCGACCTGCGACCCGCCATAACGGAGACCTCGAGTCTGTCTTTGATGATAGTACTTTAAGTGAGCTGTCGGAGGAGGACAGGAGGTATACATGCAGTATTTACATGCTTTTTAATGCAGCTTCATTATAAAATATTGATTTTTATATGTTGCAGCGTTGCAGCAGCAACATTAGAAGTATAACTTAGCCTGTACAGAATCTGTGCCCATAGAATTCTACCAAATATGAAAAATATTTTGAATAATTTGATGTCTTTTAGCTAATGATAAAAATGAAGTGTAAATCATTCAACAAAATTCCACAACTTTTCCCAACAATCATTGAGAAAACAAATGAAAAGAGTGCAGATTCCATTTGGGCATTGTTATAACATTTACATTTTTTTAATCGAATACTGCATTATATCTTCATTTTAGAGCACTAAACTTGCTCTCCGGTGGACTGTTGTTGACTGATTAAAGATAATCTTGTCTAAAATTATGTTTTCTCTTCTTTTCCCCTCTGTTCTGACAGGTCTCCGTCTTCAAGGCGTAAGAAAGAGCAGGTGAATTTCTTTCTTGATAAGGTAACCCCTGTAGTGTTTGTTTATGACAGTGGTTACCAAACGCACCTTCGAGAATAAGAAGGAAAATATTTGTTAAATGTAAAATAGTTTTTCCTTCCCTATTGTGACGTATATCTTAATGAAACAACTTCTGGGACAAAAATAAATGTAGGGCGGGACTTGATTTTGTTCATGGGGGGCATTGATTGGATTGTTGTGGTTTGCTATTGGTCGATCTGATGTGAGTGACAGATTGCCCTGTATTCGCGCCAGTAAACGCCATCAGAGAAGAAAGGTCGCTGCAAGAGGAAGTGGATTTTGATGAAAGATTACAAGGGCACATGGATTTAAAAAATGATTTGCACAGATAAATCATTTATAATAAATACTGCAATTTTCCCCCCCAAATTTTTGAAATTTGAAATTATGGTGACTTTAACACAGGATACTCATTGTTTTATTGACTTGTATTGTCTCCTATGCAGAGCACTGGAGAGCTGGAGATGGCGGATGATTTTGAAGATCTCACCCAGTCTTCTGACACAGCCACTGAAGAGCTGGAGACTCCAGTATCTGGATACCGCAACGCATCTCTGCTCTTCAAACAGCTCGACTCGACCTATATGGGTGAGTCGCTCTGATCCAATCAGCTGCAAATAAACTATTAGGTTACCTATAATCAGGTGTTCAGCAAAGGAAGATGTCCACCCTGTCTTATGTCCACCCTGCAGACTCAGTGAGCGTAGTGAAACTACAAAACATGTTTCATGAGTATGAGCGCACAATCCAGAGGGAGAGAGACAGGCACAGTCGTCTGGCGGATAAAACCTCTCAGCTGGAGCAAGAACGCAACGAGCTCAAGATCCTGCTGGATGAGATCAGAGGCAGCAAGTCCAGCCTAGAACATCTCAGACTGGAGCTGGAAACGGACATGAACAATCTCAAGTGAGCTCAACTCAATGCATGTGGAAGGAGGTCAGATGCTCACCAGGGTTTGGAAGAGTGCCATTGACTCTCTCTCTCTCTCTCTCTCTCTCTCTCTCTCTCTTCTCATAAAAGGTTCCTTTTGAGACAGGAACAGGAAAAGCATCAGAGCGCTCTAATGCTGTATAATAAGACCCGTGAGCAGCTACAGAGGAAAGAGGAGCAGCAGCGGGCCGAGGCTGACGAGCGCCACAAAGCCGAGCTTAAAGTCCGAAGTCTGGATCTGGAGATCAGAGCCCTGAAGAACAGCATCAAACAGGTCAACAGCAGCAGACTGTTCGATTTTACAGGCCCCTGCTGGTAAAGCCAGCGCATAACAGTTTTCTATGTGTGTGTGTTTGTATGTTTAGCTTGAGGAGGATAGAGACGAGTCTCAACGTCTCCTGTCTCATGAGCGCAGTGCTCGCGCCCTACATGAGGAGTTGCTCAACAACCACCTGCGTAAGCAGCAGGACATTGAGGAGGAGAACCTCCGAAACCTCAACAAGAGCAATGAGGTACCGCCCTCACCTCAGATATTACCGGCTTCATGTGTGTTTGTCGGGGAATATTTAGAAATGTCAGTAAATCAGTCAGTAAATTCATTGCAAATAACAAATGCATGTGGTCACATATGCAGTGATGTAATATCTTTATAGCCACATGTGTAGTGACGTCATAGCTTAACAATCAAATATGCAGTGACATCATACAGTCATACATGCACTGACATCATGTTTACAATCACATATGCTGAGGCATCATATCTTTACAGTCAAATATGCAGTGATGTCATAGCTCTGCAGCTTATAGCACATCCCATTTAAGAAACCATAAAGAATATGAGCATAACTGAGAACAAATTCCCAAAATCAGTGGTCATATCTTTATGATCACATATGCAGTGACATCATAGCTTTACAATCACATAAGCAGTGACATCATAGCTTTGCAGCTTTTAGCCCATCCCATCTAAGAAACCATGAAGAATATGAAAATAATTGAGAACAAATTTTCAATGTAGGCCTACCTAAATCTGAAAACTGTTCATATTTAAAATTTCAATTCCCCTCTTCCCTTATTTAATAAAATATGTTAACATGAATTAAGTTTACCACATATAAGCAGTGAACTTATAGCATTCAGCAGATCTTCTCTGTAACCTAACTGCTCTAATCCTGTTTTCTGACATGTGATTGGTCAGATTTTCAGGCTTTGTCCTAATGACCTGCACTTAGGCATTAACTTACCGTGTTATAGAGCCAATCACTCCAGTGCAATCAAGCCACGTACTGTTTTAAGGATTCGTTTTAAAACAATGCTAAAATGTGTCAATGTTAATTACTGATGTTCTCAGGCCATGTCCCAGCTAACTGAGGCATCGGACCGTGAGCGAGAGTTGATGCAACAAAACCGAGCCCTTCAGGATGAGCTGAACGGCTCTCGGGCCGAGCTGGACCGCTCGCAGTGTCACAGCCGGCAAGAAGAGTCACGACTGGCGGAAGAGAGGGACGCTCTACGCGAGAGACTGGAGGACACACGCAGGGACATGAAACTGAGCGAGGAGGCCTTGGCCCAGACCGTGTTCCAGTACAACGGGCAGCTCGGCGCGCTGAAGGCCGAATGCTCAGTGATCACAGCTAAACTGGAGCACGAGAGGCAGGTGAGGCAGCAACTGGAGGCCGAGGCGGAGGCGAGCAGGGCAAGACTGCAGGCGGCGCTACAGGAGGCCGAGAGATGTCAGGCGTCCCGCACAGACGCAGAGCGCACACTCCAGCGAGACCGTGAGGAGCATCAGCGTACGCAGGAAAAACACATCTTTGAGTCCAGCACCCAGCGGGACACCATCCAGTCCCTCTCCCAGAAACTCAGCAAGGCCGAGGCGCGTGCTAACAGCCTGGAGAACGAGTGTCATCGCAACTCTCTGACCATCGCGGAGAAGGCCGTGCTGTTGGAGACTCTGGCCCGGGAGAAAGACCAGGCCCAGGCCAAACTCAAAGAACAGGAGGCCACGGTACTGAGCGAACGGGAGATGTCAAGCCGTGCCGGGGCCAAACTGGAAGCCGTGCAGGAGCGTCTGGCCCAGGCTCAGAGCGAGGGTGCGCTGCTACGACAGCAGCTGGAGGAGGCACTCAACAAGGGCTCGGCGAAGGACAAAGCTGTAACAGATGTGCATCAAAACTTTGCCGAAATGCTGAACCAGTTACGTGCAGACGGAGAGGAGAGAGTCCAACTGGTGGAGGAGAGAAGCAAAGAGCTGGCGAGGACGAATGGCGAGCTGAGAGAGCAGAACTACAAACTAGAGCAGGAGAAAGCTGAGAGAGAGGTAGAGAAACAGAGATTGGCTTCTTTTTTTTTTTATTAAGCCAATTAATATGCATACTATTTCAGCATGCATATTCATTTCCTTTATGAAGAGTGACAGAAACACACAAAAAAAAACATTTCAATGAAATCCAACTTTATTTTCAGATATTCATTGGTATGACACTGATTTGGCATAGTTTAATTTACAATAGGAAAATAATTTTACACATAATTACATGACTAAAATATACATATACTAATTCATTAATAATATAATATATACACCATTCAAAAGTTATTTGAAGTATTCAAATAAATACTTCTATTCAGCAAGGACACATTAAATTGAAATGACAGCAACAACATTTATAATGTTACAAAAGATTTCTATTTCAAATAAATGCTGTTCTTTTGAACTTTTTATTCACCAAAGAATCCTGCACAAAAAAAATGCATCAGTTTCCGCAAAAAATATTAAGCAGCAAAACATCTAAATATTAAGATATTAGAATGATTTCTGAAGGATCATGTGACACTGAAGACTGGAGTAATGATGCTGAAAATTCAGCTTTGATCACAGGAATAAATTACATTTTAAAATATATTCAAATAGAAAACAGGCATTTAAAACAGTTTTTTTTACTGTATTTTCGATCAAATAAATGCAGAAGATGCTACTGACCCTAAACTTTTGAACAGTAGTGCGCTGTATATAAAAGTATCAAATAAGACAATAATGACAAAAATCTACAAGAAGAAACATGATTTTTTTTATTTTGGATAGACAAAGAAAAGAAAATGGCCAGAATAGCTCTGGAGTGCGACACAAAATAAAACGTCATTGGTCAACTGAATGTGCACTTGAAATGTAGACAGCAACTTCTCAACATGGTACACACATCCGGTGTAGACCCAGTGTAATATAATGTAAAAGGAAGATGATCCAATGAGAGAATGAAGCTATGTTGTGTTTCTGCAGACCTCTCTTCGACAGCTGCAGCAGGAACTGGCCGACAGTCTGAAGAAGTTGTCCATGTGTGAGGCCTCTCTGGAGGTCAACACACGGTACCGAAACGACCTCGAGGAAGAGAAGGCACGCACACTCAAGGACATGGACCGATTGAAGGCCAAGGTACCCATTACTTCCTGAAAACTGTCCAGCCACCATTAACAGTACAATCTGTATGTAACTGGAGTCTCAGGAACAATATATGTCCATTCGTTATTTTACGCATGCATATTCATTAATTAAATATATATATGAAGAATATAGGTTCTTATGTAGGCCATTCAATCTTTTTGTTTGATTTGTTTGTTCTTATACTTTTTGTTCAATTCCAGCTGCAGGAGTCTGAAGAGGTGTACGTCCAGGCCGAGAGACGCATCAGCCACCTGAAGAGCTCTCTGGACGATAAGGAGCGAGAAGTCTGCAGTACCGCTCAGAAACTAGAGGAGGCGCTCTCTGCTTCTACAGGCAAAGAGCAAACCATTCGACAGCTGGAGGAGGCGGTGCAGAGGTGCAGTTAGGCCCCGATCACACCAAACGCGTTTTTCAGTTTCGAAAACACAGAACGAGCTGTCGCTGCGTTTTTTATGTTGCTAGGCAACCACAGAAACAGCTGTCCTGTCAGTCAAGTAAACGTCAAATCAGCCTTTTATTAAAGGCACACTGTGGAATTTTTGGCCACTAGGGTGCGCTCGACCTGTAATTTTCACGTCTAGTGCCCCTAGAGGCCACAAGCGCCAGCATTGTCGCAAAAGTCAACAAACAGTCAACCTCCCGTGTCTGCTACCGGATGAATTGCATACAAATTAAACAAAGCCTGTAGTTGTTAAGTTGCAGCCCTGTTTCGTTTCAAAATCGGAGGATAAAGTGTCTGCTGAATGCAAACCTTTCCCAATATTTATAAAATTTATATTTGTACTAACATTTAGCTACCAGATTGATAATTCGCTAACTTACTCTACTAGCATTCCTTGTTACATTAAGTTAAATGGAGGACAATATAGAATCAGTAACATGGCCAGGCAGAGAACAAATTTGAAAAAATAGAGATATTGTGCAAGCAATATATTTAATAGAGCCCGACCGATATATCGGCGGGCCGATATTATCGGCCGATTTTAGGCATTTTCCTAACTATCGGTATCGGCATTTATAATGGCCGATAAATGAATATTTAAAAAAATGCGGGTGCGGTGATTCATAGGGTGGCGCTACCAATAAAGCACCTAAAAGCTGTCACAAGAACTGGCAAAAGTAATGATTATGAATACAACAAATATAGCAAGGAGACATTTTAATTGTTTATTAATAAACAAGTGTTTTCAGTCAGTGTCAGCCAAAGATGAAGTTGACGATGCTGACTCGCGATCTTCAGTTAACGCGCGCCAGAGAGAAATGCACATTTCATACGATTACATGAGTCTGTCTGTCTTTCGTTTTGAATTGTTCTGTTTAAAAGTAGACATTTCAATATAGATATATTTCAATTCTCAGGTCTATACGCTGAGTTTCGGTTCATGAGACGAGCTCCAGTTCACCCGCAGGCGCCTCCGTGTCGAGATTATCTATCGTCTGCTATATTTACTTCTTATAAATTAAATCCAGACAAATGGTTGATGAAACATTGATTAAAATTAAGATACAATTAATACAAAACGAAATTCACTTTGAAACGAAAGGTTTTGTGCTTTCTGTTTGATGTCTATGTGAAAGTTTCAAAGCATATTTTAGTGCCGCTTTCAGAGCGCTCACGTCCGTAGTGCTGAACTGTCGCGTCTGTAACATCATGGTTTTTTCCTCATAAATGCGAACACGAAAAATAAAATAAAATAAAATGAATATTTTATGTAGCCTGTGGAGACTGAGAGCCAACCCTTCTTCATCCGGTGGGTAGTTGTGATTTGCGCAGTGTAATTCACAGAATTGATTTCTCTGCTACGAGCCTCTGTCACGTATTGTGTGAGCTTGTGACTATTGCAAGCGCGCAGCTGAGAAGTCCTGATTATATTGTCTGCTATATTTAGGCCTACTTCTTATTTATTAAGGCAATTGGTTGATGAAACATTGATTAAAATGCGTGGCGCGAGCGATCTCCGACAGTAAACTGATTCTGCGTTGTCTCGGGTAAACAGCTGTTGCGACGCGAGCAATAACGGCCGCGTCCGGTGTAGACACCGTGTTAAAGCTCATTCTGCCTGATAACGCTACGTTACAACATCAAGCAATATTCCAATAATTTATATAATTATAACACTTTATATAGGGCCATTTTGCATTAAGACTAGCCTAGTTTCACGTTTAGTACATTTTGCTTATTTAAAATAGTATAAAAGTACTGTACATATGTAATTAAAAACGTTTTCATTATGATATTATTCATTTTACTTTAGTAAAAAGATCTGAGTTATTCCTCCATTGGTAGAGATTAGAGGAATTAAGAGTAAAAATAGAAGATAATAATGTTTTGTCAGTGACACTTTTTATATATTTATTGATACAAGTTATGACTAAATTAAAAGACAAAGTCGTTAGTGAAGATTATGCAACAGTATTTAGAATATAATATAATATAATATAACATGCAATGCAAACTAGTTTGGTTACAGCTCAGCTGTATAATTCTCATTCTATCATTCCCCCTGCCTCCATTACATATCTGTGTCACACAAGTGTTTGATTACCACATTTGAGTGATCATTGCAAAACGTGTTTATAAAATATATTTATTCTGTTTATACTGTGTAAAGTACCCATCAAAAGTTTGTACACATCAATAGGAAAGTGTCCAAACTTTTGACTGGTATACTGTACTATAATACACATAAATAATATTGCTACTGTATTATAATATACACATAAATAATATCGGCCGATATATCGGTATCGGGCTTTTTTTACTCCCTAATATCGGTATCGGCATCGGCCCCCAAAAATCCATATCGGTCGGGCTCTAATATTTAACTTACTAGTCCAAAAGCATGACGGCCAGGTCAGCATCGGTCGGGAATCCCTCATCCTCCTTTGTCGCACGCCAGCGAGGGAACGCTTGACCAATGTTTATTCTCGTCCTTGCTTTTAGTTTATAACTCTCCCTTTTTCTTTTATTGGTCTCCTCTGACAAAATCTTTGCTTTCTTCGCTTTCTTCCGAGTAGCTGTTGATTCAGCCATGACGACAACATACAGACGCCTGCAATCAAACGCGAGTTGAGCTCTCACGTTAGAATTTGAGGAAGTGGGGGTGGTGGGGGAAGTGACGTATGCCGTAAAGCGGTCGAATTTTGTAGTTCTTTTTGTGCTCTGGTTCCTACCCGAAACCCGAAGTTACATAGTGCTAGTAAAAGCGATACAGACACCTTCAGGCTTCGGCAGACGTGTCATTCAACCTATTGTAAGTCGATGTTCCATCTCAATGGGTTTTGGTAATATATTATAAAGGTTGAAAAGTTCCACAGTGTGCCTTTAACTTTATTTACTTTCTGTTAACTTTGTGGTAGTTACGGTTCGTGAAGTCGTTAAGCTCCTGGTAACCCTCTAGAGCACCACACGTTTCTCCTCCATCATCGCACTCTCCGGGCGTTCAAAGCAACTGTAGCTTTCATCACTACAACGGAAGGCCCGCCTTTCCATTCATTCGATTGGACAGTGGAAAAAACGCGCCACAGCAGGCGGTAAAACACAAGGCGCCTGGGGCGCAAAAACAGCGCGCAAAACGCTCACTGCCATAGGAAAACAATTCAAAAAAGCGCCTCTCACTGCAAAAAACGCGTTTGGTGTGATCGGGGCCTTAATCAGTGTCAACTGGGTCTGCAGAGAACAGTCACTTTATTTGGAACTTCAACATAATACATGATTTAAGTTTAAATAATGTTGATTTATTGTACAATTTAAAGTTATCATATATGAATATTATATGAAATAATATAAATATTATATGAATGTGTGTGTATATATATATATATATACTTATTTATATAGTAATTTATTGCGTAATATTAAGTTATTAAATATGAATGTTATATAAATAAGAATATATTTATAATAGCATTTACATATTGTGTAATTTTATTACATAAAGTTACTGTATATGAATAGTATAGGACATTAATATAAATTGATTATGTATATATATATACAGTATATATATACTGTATATTCATATTTATTCTTATTTATATTTAATAATAATATTATGCAATAAATTACTATTTAAATATTATATTAATATATTTTTTAAATATTTCAGTTATGTAATTTATAGCATATTATTAAGAAATTGTAATAATGCGTTCAAACGAAGAATTCTGTTCCCTCATCAACTAAGCAACTACTAAGCTAACTGATCATTAAGGGGTGAAAATAGTTAATGAGATTATGACATCTCCTCAGGTTAGAGATCGAGAATGCCAGACTGGAGGCCACGACCAAACAGCAGAGCAACCGCATTGAAGCGCTACAGAAGGGCGTTCAGGAGGGGGCTGCGGTGAGTTCTCTCAAACATCGCTCAGTTAGTGGTCAGGTGTCGAGCCGGACCTCTAGTTCGTGAAGCACAAGTGTCCTGACTCAACTGATGATGTTAGATTTAGACATTAATCCTGTCAGAACCTCGTTTCACCCTCTTAAGTCATCTGAGCTTCACATTTGACTTTAGATGAACCCTGGTCAGTGCAGGAATGAGGCGACTGTACATGTGAGTCATTCGGAGAGGAGATTTCATGTAAACTGATGGTATAGTCACTGTTTTCACAGCTATCAGGCTCGTCACCTGGAGAAGGGGTTGGTATCAAACTTCTAGCTGTGATTCTAGCAATTCCCTTTATTGATTGTTTTTCTTTACTGTGAATTACAGCTCTTCTAGACCTCAAATCTTACTGTGATTTACACTTGAAATGAACAAGAAACAAGTGACTGTATACTTTATTGCTTTTCTCTAGTCGGGTTGTTAGCGGGGTATTTCCTCTGTTTTGGTGGTGGTCTTTTTGCAGATTTGATTCGACTTTCATTTGATTGTAAACTCCCATTCTGCCTTTTCCATTTCTGGTTTCTGGGATCTAAAGTGCTTAGATTAAAAGTAGATCTAGATCTGCATGAAGTAGTTAACTCATCGGCAAGATCCTGTTGCGTATTGACCCTCTGTGATGTTCTCAGGTCAGGAATCGTTTGGAAGATCTCGTCACAAACCTGCAGAGCAGTAAGATGACGCTAGAAGAACAACTTAACCGAGAGGTACACTTCATAACAAACATGTGTCGCATTGATCTTTCTTGATGAACAAAGCAAAGCTATAGGAATATACTATAAAAACGGTTTGTTTTATTGTGGTCCTCCTCTCCAGGTGCAGAAGCAGAGTATGCTATCCCATAATGCCCAGGACTCACAAACTCTGTGGGAGGAGGAGCTAAAGGGCCGCTCACGACTGGGACTCCGCCTCTCTGAGCTGGAGAGAGAGAAAGGAGAACTGACCAATCAGGTCCATCCAAATAATAATATGTGTTTCTTGACACCTGATATTTTTTATTAAAATAAGTCTGCATGTTTACGAGTTACTTAATGTTTAGTGACTCAATCAAAAAAGCTCACTTAGCACATGGAAATAGATGATTTACATGTAACATGCCCTTGAATGTTTGTTGTTTTATATTTTTTTATTAAGCAAAGATGCATTCAATTGATTAAAAGTGACAGTAAACACATTTATAATGTTACAAAAATATTTTAAATGAATGCTTTTCATCAAAAAAATCCTGGAAGTAAATGTTCCTACAAAAATATGAAGCAGCACAGCTGTTTTCAACATTGATAATAATCAGAAATGCTTGTTGAGCAGCAAATCATCGTGAAAATTCAGCTTTGATCACAGGAATAAATTACATTTGAACATATATTTAAATAGAAAATATATTATTTTTAATGTTTTAAAAGTTATTTAAAAGTCAGTTATTTTAAATGTTTTATACTATTTCACAATATTACTGTTTTTAGTGTATTTTTGATCAAATAAATGCAGCCTTGGTGAGCAGAAGAGATCTTAAAAAATCTTACTGACCCCCAAACTTTTAAAAAGTAGTATATAAATAGGGAAAATCTTGTTTGAAATAGTATTAGATTAAGTATTTCATGTCATGTTGACCCCACAATTAAGATTTCTGCCTGTTATTAAGATTTAAGGACTCTCTGTCTAAAAACTCTGTGTGTTTCAGATGGAGCTCGAGAAGAAAAAGGCCAAAAAACTAGCCGAGCATAAGAAATCTGTGGACACGCGTTTGGAGCAGGAGATGAAGAGAAACACAGACCTTCAGAAAGAAATGTACAGGTGACCCTTTAACCTTTAACCCCGACCGCTGCAGCTCTACACCTGTAGACGTGTTTGAGTACATAGAGAAGCCGGCTACGCGGATCCTCCTGCTTGCAAATGTGTGAGATCAATGCTTTTTACATGCGAGGACACATCTTATATTTGTTTAATTCAGTGATGACTGACTCCAGGCCTGTGTTTTGCTGCTGTAGTGCTGTAGAATGACACACAGCAATGTGTAGCGCTGAAACATTCACACAGCGGTTCCATAGTGATGTACTTCCAAGTGTTCATATTAATGATTTGAATTGATTTGGTGGAGAAAAGATTCTTTACATGGCGGATAGTTGGATGAGATGAGTTCAAGAGTAAAAGAAATTGGTGATGTCATCTGAAAAGCAAATTGTTTAACTCCTCTCAATCACATTGTGAGATTCAAAAATTGATTTTAGTTGCATTAACCAAAAAAAAAAAGAGTTTAATGGCAATTAATTATTTCAAAGCATATCAAGAGGCACCAAAAAATTATCATAAATTTACGACGTAAAACTAAAAAAAGCAAACAATTTAAATAATTTATGTTGACTTTAATATATATATATTATTATTTATATGGCCAGGCTGACATCTCAAGCTTTTATTGACTTCAATACATGCTGAAAAGTGTTATTTTAGTATTATTTATATACTATCATAGTATTTATTCATTTTTATTTGTCTAATATATAATGATTAGCTTATATTTTGATTTTAGTTTGTTTTAATAATTGTATGTGCTTTTGTCATTTTTATCAGTTTTTGTTCAATAAAACAAATATTAAAATAAAGTAAAATATTTCTATTTAGCTTTATTTTTATTTTACTTTTAATAATTGTAGTTTTACAACTTAAAATTAAATGCATTTTATTTCAGTTAGTTGCTAAACCAACATTTATAAAAGAGATTTAAATATAACTTATTCATCTAATTTTTAGATTTTAAATTTTTCAGTAACCACATTGATAGAGAATGTCAGGGTATTCATCGTATCTTACTGTATGTGCCAGGTTGAAGACTCTATTGAAGACGGCTAAGAAACATCTGCGTGAACAGGGCTCTGGACAGCTGGACTCTCCTCTGGTCAGCTTCAGAGGAGACGTGAGCCACCGGCTGGAGGCAGAGAGCGCTTCCAGCAGAATGAAGACTAGGGTACAGTCTCTAAAAAAAGTCCTGTTTTAAGATCGTTTCTGATGAAATAGAACGGTTAAGATTGAAATTTGGACACATGCTGCTGGCCCGAGAATTCAGTCAAGTTGGACAAAACTGTTGGAAAGCATCTTTTGCAGCGATTTTTGTGTGAGCTTATCAGTGAACACCCCAGACCACTCGGTAAGTTTCACGTCTTTGTAAACTAAAGTTGAATGCGTTTCAGGAAGGATTGTTTCTGTGCACCTATGCAACCATTGTGGAGGTGGGGGAGTGCAACCACAGAAACTGAAAATTCTCGGGCCAGCAGCATGTGTCCAAATTTCAATCTTAACCGTTCTATTTCATCAGAAACGATCTTAAAACAGGGCTTTGAGTGTAAAATACCGAACTTGTCCTTTAAGGTCCTTGCACATTGAGTCTAAAATTCTCGCACGGCATCAAAAAATCAAATTTTCTGCGTTTTTCGCATCCGTAGCAAGCATTTTGAAGGTGTTTTGACAGTTCAGAGCCACCGAATGACGAATACGAAAATTTCGGACTCAGTGTGCAAGGACCTTTATTTGTTATTTTAAGACTGCAAAAGTATGCAATCTCCATCGAGGCTCTTAATTCCGTGCCCTTTTCTGCCAGATGGACGAGCTCCAGTCTCAGTACGAGCGCGAGGCGTCGCGCTGCTCCCGGCTGGAGGAGGTGAACCGACAGCTGAAGGAGAAGCTGGCGTCTGTGAAGGGCCTGAGCCGAAGCCACGAGCAGACGGAGCGCAGCAAGAGGCAGCTGGAGGAGGAGGTGGCCGGTCTGCGCAGGCAGCTGGAGGCCGGAGTGATGGACCAGAGCCAGGCCGAGCAGTACCGCAGGGAGACCGAGGAGAGAGCCCGACACGAGATCCGACACAAGCTGGAGGAGGTCAACCTCTTCCTGCAGGTACACTACGGAGACGGCAGGCTCCATAATGCATTTCATTCAGTTTGTATGCAAGGTCCAAAGTTTTGTTTTGTTTTATGTTATTTAATATATTTTAAGTTTATTTTATTTTTATTTTTTATTGTCTTGAAAATAAAAATTCTTATTATATAAAGTTTTAGACTGTATTTTTCTATCTTCAGACACAGATGGAATTTATTATTATTATTTTTTTATTATATTGTTTTTTGTTTATTTTATTTATTATATTTTAAGTTTATTTTATTATTTTATTTTTTATTGTCTTAAAATAAAATGTTTGATTAAAAATGTCTTTATATAAAGTTTTAGACTTTTTTAAAAACTATTTTCAGTCACAGATGGAATTTTATTTAGTTTATTATAATTTTTATTATTACATCGTTTCTTGTTTTTATTATGAATTATTTTATAAAGTTAAGTATAATAATTTAGTTTATTATAAAGGTCAGATGCAGGCAGAATTGTAGTATTTATTATTATCTAATTAGTTTATAATAACATATATTTCTGGAATATAAAATGATATATTTTTAAAGATAATTTTTATTCTAAAGTTTGTGTGTTTGACTCGTCAGACGCAGGCGGCGTCTCAGGAGGCTCTGGAGCAGATGAAAGCTGTGAATGAGGCCAGTCAGCGCGCTCAGCAGGAGCAGCGCATCAAGGATCTGGAGGGAGAGCTCAGTCGTACACGCAGCGTCCAGCAGGACAGTCTGGTTCAGAGAGACTCCAGTCGCACCGAGCTGGAGCGCTACAGACAGCTGTACAGCGAAGAGCTGCGCCTACGCAAGAGTCTGGCCTCCAAACTGGAGAGGTGAGAGGCATGATGGGAGTCTGTCCTATCATTTATAAATGTTTGTCTGACAGTCTTAATTATAATCACAGCTCAATCACATTGTGAGATTCAACATTTTAATTTAGTTACATTAAAGCTTTAGTAGGGAGTTTTGAGAAAACGTTGACTTAGCCTGAATATTTGAACAAGCACAACTTACAGGTCCCACCCCCTTGCTCTCTGCTGCGCTACAGCCCTCCCTCCACAGCTCGTCCTCCACAGCGGAGCCTGTCGTGAACGCGCAGGCTAGTAAACAGGGCCACCGATAACAGCAGATAAAAAGTTATATGGCACATTCACTAATAGGGACTAAACGTCAATAATATGCTTTACATTGACTATGGCCTGCCCTGCCCATACTTTGACTACAAACTTGGTCCTCAAATCATGATGTATTTTGCAATAGCCTACATGTAACTTTATAACGTTGCACTCTTTCTATAAGTTATAAATAGCTAGTAAGATAACGTTAATATAACGGTAACTAACGTTACAGTATGTAAGTAATTATTCTAGCGATATATAATGCTAGATAAGGTGTGCTAGTACATTATTTCTACATGTTATGCGGCTAGAGTTTTGACACCGAGTCAATGGGCTCTGTGTAATTCTTTCTTTTTCGCTTGTTTATCGTCATCAGTCTTTTTCCTTTTACCTCTTTGTTTTATGAACAGGTGTCACTCGAGAATTGGCAGTTTAGGTTGTTTCTCCGTCATAAGCACAGCTGCAGCACGCCGGCAGTCTTGAGTTTGAACGACGGCTCGCGCTGTGCAAGAGAGGGGTGTGATCAGCGTGTACACGAGCGTGACTGACACTGCTAAGACATTCCTCCTGGCTCTGATTGGTTGTTTCTGACAGGGAGCGTGTATTTCTTGCAAATGGCAATAGGACCACTGGGAGGAGCCAGAAGAGCTTGATTTTTACACAGATTATCTGTCTCATATTCTACTGTCAGGACATAATGACAGTTTTAGCAAATACATTTTTTCAAAAGTTACCTACAGCAGCTTTAACCACACACAAAAAAAGAGTTCAATGGCAATATATTATTTCAACGGAGGCTCAGAAAATGTATATTTACCTCGTAAAACTAAAAACAATAAACAAACGGTAAAATAAAAAAATAAGTAAACATATAAACAAACAAATGCATAAATAAATATGAATTATTTCAAAGCATATCAAGGGAGGTGCAGAATATCTTTACCAAGGAAAACTAAAAATAATAAATGCAAATATATATGTGTGTGTGTGTGTGTGTGTGTGTGTGTGTGTGTGTCAAGGAAAGAGCAGAAAATTATGAAAAATGTTACAAGTGAAGCTTAAAATAACAAATACAAATAAATTAATAAAATAATAAATACATTTTAAAAAATAGTAAAATATAAAAGAACAAATTAATAAATATTATTTCAAAGCATATCGAGGGAGGCGCTGGAAATCATCATACATTTACCAAGTAAAAGCTAAAACTAAAAACAAATGAATCAATAAAATAAAAGTAAATTATTATTTTATTTTAATTTTAATCAGCCGTAGTAAATATTTTTAATAATAGAATAGGCAGCTCTTTGTTTTTATTCAGTTGATTTATTTATTTCTGTGCCATTAAGTGTCTTTTTGTTATGATCATGTGCAGGTCGAATGAGCGGTTAGCGGAGGCCAACACTAAACTCCTGAGCGAGAGGCAGCGCAGTAAGTCTCTGCTCACCAGCAGTTTCGTGAACGGCAGTCTGGGAGGCCCCGCTCTCGACGTGGCGTCTCTGGGCTCTATGGGGGCGTATGGAGCCTCTCTGGGGCCCCTGAACAGGAGTCTGGGCCTGGGGAGCCCTCTGCTGGGTACGGTAGGAGAATCCCAGAGCAACCGCGTCGAGGCCTACCTGGCAAAGGTTAGTGCTCATCAAGTCATTTCATTCTCCTTTAAGCCGAGTGCACACTGTGCGATTTATAATAGTCCTTTACGATTGTTGCTTGTCAGACTCTACGAACATGATCCTCGCTGTAAACCATGTCACACTGTCAGTTGTCATTGATGTCAGATTGTACGACTGTCAAGACGCGTTAAAAATGGCAAGAAAATTCATCTGGAGTTTTACATCATTAATCGATGACGCGTTCTGTGATGTGAGCTGTGTTACACGCGGGATTGAAATGGTGGCTACAAATAAATCTCTAACGTTAATTTTGGTCATGGCTTGTCTGGAAAAACAAAGACATTTTGACGGTCGTCGTCGTAGAAGTCACACTGCAGGACTGATTTTAGCCTAGGATCAGAGGAATCTTTAGGATTTGCAAAATTTGTCCCAGACGGCAAAATCGTGGCCAAGATCGCACAGTCGTGTGCACCCGGCTTAAGACTGCGAGCAGTTCGTCACTGCTTCAACATTCAACAGTAACCATGATCTAATACTCACTGTTAGCTTTAGAAGAGCCACCGTTTCAAAAATCATCAGATGGTGGTGATTCTAAAACTAACGGACAATGATGTGTTTTCTCCTTCCACTATCTTTCCCTTCTTAAACGTACCAATAACCTCGTCGCCTGTCTTTCCTGCTGTCTGGACTCATGACCTCTTGTGTCTCTGATATCTTCAGCTTCTAGCTCAAAAGTCTGTTTCTCACCTGTCCTCTCTGCAGCCTGATACCTGAGCAGGTGTGTAGCTGTGTGCAGATCTCTGACTATCAGAACACACACACACACACCACACACACACCTGCTTTAATGTCTGTCTGTGGCTTCACACAGCTGTTTTGGGGAGAAAATAGCACTGTTCAGAATGAAATACGAGTGCACTGAATACTGGATAATATACATTGTACTATTATTTCACAGTGGGCAACATTGAAAATATTGTTGAATGCTATGTTGTTTTCATATGACCTCATTATAGTTATAAAAAGGATTTTTTGTTTACATTTTAATTCTTATTTTGTGTAAAAATATTGCAACTTTTGACGGTTGGATCAGAAGATATTAGTTTCAGTTCTTTTAACGCACTGGAAATGGAAGGTAAAGTCAAGAGCATTGCATTGTGGGATACCTTGTGCTCTGTTGTATACTGCACAATTTGATAAATGTAGGTTATCCTGGAACTTAATGGGTACAGAAAATTGACATACTGTGCATACAATATTCATACTAATAAAGTATCCAATATGTCTGTATTTAATTCATATTTAAATTAGATCTAATGTTTATGATGTGTAACATGTTCTGCTATTCTCAGGTCTGAATTAGTCAAAATTTGAACCCCTTTATTTGATGCTCATTTCTTTTACTAATATCCCTGTGAATGATTCAGTTTAGCATCAGATCGGTTACATTCTTTATTTAATATTATACTAATCAAATTCATAATAATTATATCACTAGCTGGGGTTATATTATGGCCTTGTTTTCTCAAATAAAAAATAATCATATTAGAATGATTTCTGAAGGATCATGTGACACTGGAGTAATGATGCTGAAAATTCAGCTTTGATCACAGGAAAAAATTACATTTGAACATATATTCACATATCAATAATATTAAAATTTAAAATAAGTGTTTTCTGTTTTTATTGTATTTTTCTTCAAATCAATTCATGCTTAAAACCCCAAACTTTTGAATGGCTTATACTAGCATCGACTATTCCGATTACTAACGCTGCGTTTATTGTGAACGCTGTGACGTGGCTGAGTGCTAGTTTTAGGACATGCGTGTTTGATGAGATGAAGTTAGAAGTGTAATCAGGTTTGTCTGTTCCTGTTACAGATGCGGACGGAGCTGGAGAAGAATATATCGAAGGAGCTGGACTACGGTGAGTCATTATTACAACAAAATATCCTTAACCCTTTCACACTTAAGTTTAAAATATTCTAACTGACCCCCCAGCGTGAGTTTTTCAAGGCGACCGTTATTTAGAACCTGTCACTTTAATGTTTCCATGGTGACGCGTCATTTCTTGTCACGTGACACAGCGCAATCACAACACAGAGCTGAATGAGTGATGATCTGCTTTTATCTCTTTTTTCCTTTTCTATTCAAAATATTCACAAATGTATTAGCTACAGCATGAAACACTGATATTCCGATTGTCAAATATGTGCAAGTGGATGTGTTTTGTTGTTTAAACATCTTTATAACGATCGCGTTAGTTGAGCTGTATGCGCGATGGGCGGCGCCATGTTAGTTTGTTTCACAGTTCAGAGAATCGGATCTGTTGTTTCTCACGAAATACATGAAAGTAAGTGGCCGGTGAACTGGGAGAAGAATAGGGTCAAATGTAAAGCTACTTACACAATGTGTATCTGATATGAATAAAACGTTTCGTCTTATTATAATGGAAATGATTATTGTTGCCGTTTCCATAGACATCAGTGTGTATTTTACTAATTCAAAATCACTGTTTTGCTAGTACTTATGTGTATTTAAATGTCTGAAACCTAAAATAAACATTATGTGGTTTAAAATACTCAATAGTTGTGATATATGACAGCACTGAGTGCGTCCGTCTCTGGCTCAGCGCCAGCCAACGCGCGAAAGCACGTTTGAATTTAGCAGTTGATCACGTGATGCACTGACCGTTCTAATCACACCGGTGTGATCGTACGCTCCAGGGACCAGCCAAGACTGATCACACCGGTGTGATCGTACGCGTCAAAGGGTTATTATCATGAAGTTTCGATAGCCTTTTCTTCCCTATTGTGACGTATATGCGAGTGAAACTGCTCCTGGAACAACAATAAATGTACGGCGGGGCTTGATTATACACTCACCTAAAGGATTATTAGGAACACCTGTTCAATTTCTCATTAATGCAATTATCTAATTAACCAATCACATGGCAGTTGCTTCAATGCATTTAGGGGTGTGGTCCTGGTCAAGACAATCTCCTGAACTCCAAACTGAATGTCAGAATGGGAAAGAAAGGTGATTTAAGCAATTTTGAGCGTGGCATGGTTGTTGGTGCCAGACGGGCCGGTCTGAGTATTTCACAATCTGCTCAGTTTCTGGGATTTTCACGCACAACCATTTCTAGGGTTTACAAAGAATGGTGTGAAAAGGGAAAAACATCCAGTATGCGGCAGTCCTGTGGGCGAAAATGCCTTGTTGATGCTAGAGGTCAGAGGAGAATGGGCCGACTGATTCAAGCTGATAGAAGAGCAACTTTGACTGAAATAACCACTCGTTACAACCGAGGTATGCAGCAAAGCATTTGTGAAGCCACAACACGCACAACCTTGAGGCGGATGGGCTACAACAGCAGAAGACTCCACCGGGTACCACTCATCTCCACTACAAATAGGAAAAAGAGGCTACAATTTGCAAGAGCTCACCAAAATTGGACAGTTGAAGACTGGAAAAATGTTGCCTGGTCTGATGAGTCTAGATTTCTGTTGAGATTCAGATGGTAGAGTCAGAATTTGGCGTAAACAGAATGAGAACATGGATCTATCATGCCTTGTTACCACTGTGCAGGCTGGTGGTGGTGGTGTAATGGTGTGGGGGATGTTTTCTTGGCACACTTTAGGCCCCTTAGTGCCAGTTGGGCATCGTTTAAATGCCACGGCCTACCTGAGCATTGTTTCTGACCATGTCCATCCCTTTATGGCCACCATGTACCCATCCTCTGATGGCTACTTCCAGCAGGATAATGCACCATGTCACAAAGCTCGAATCATTTCAAATTGGTTTATTGAACATGACAATGAGTTCACTGTACTAAAATGGCCCCCACAGTCACCAGATCTCAACCCAATAGAGCATCTTTAGGATGTGGTGGAACGGGAGCTTCGTGCCCTGGATGTGCATCCCACAAATCTCCATCAACTGCAAGATGCTATCCTATCAATATGGGCCAACATTTCTAAAGAATGCTTTCAGCACCTTGTTGAATCAATGCCACGTAGAATTAAGGCAGTTCTGGAGGCGAAAGGGGGTCAAACACAGTATTAGTATGGTGTTCCTAATAATCCTTTAGGTGAGTGTATATGTGGAGAATTGATTGGATGGTTGTGGTTTGCTATTGGTGGATCTCATGTGAGTCAAGTCAAGTCTTCTTCATTTATATAGCGCTTTTAACAATGGATTGTTTCAAAGCAGCTTTACAGAGATAAACATATAATTTGTGACAGGTTGCCCCGCCCTCGTCATCAGAGAAGAGACGAGCTGCATTTTTATTCTATATTCATTTAATGTGGACTCAAAAGTGACTCAACTGTCCTTCTTTCTCTCTCATTGACAGGAGAGCTGGAAGGAGGTTCTGCCCGTTTGTCTCCCGTAGGTTCGGCCTCCGGCTCTCCAAACCTGAACCTGAACGTGACCCAGGAGCAGACGGACCCCGTTAGCAGAGCCACTCAACAATATCTGGAGGTGCTCAAGAAGAACTACATGATCTGACACACTGTGAACACAATCAACTCTCACAGTCACAAACCCACTCCAGACACAAACTAATGAGGGTGGACAGCCACATGCCTCCCGAAAAGGCCTATCGATTGACAAAACAGTAGTTTGTTTACTAAAGCTGGTGTTTTGACAGCGGTTATGGTGCCTCCATGCGGCCATTAATGCCCAAATCTATCTAAAATGCTCTTATATGGCTCATCAAAGTAGAATATGTTTATACCTGTAAAATCAGGCTGGTTCCTGCTGGTCGGGAATAATGCAGCCTTAAGATACGTAACTATTTTTAAAGTAAAAATAAAACTGACACCATCCTGTTTCAGACTTGTGCATTAGTGCTGCAAAAACAATACAACCACTGAAAGGGCCAACGTTTCAACACTACAATTAGATTGTGATCTTTAATCGAGTGTGAAGTGACAACGCACTTTTGTGCCTCAGGAGCAAATGAAACGTGTGTTTAAGTCGTTCTGTCATTGTTGAAGCCATATGGGCGTCACTGAGGTCTTGAGGTACGTGTGAAGTGCAGCTTTCAGTGTTGCGTCCCCCTTACGAAAACCTTTGTTGCGTTCATGTTTTTTAATATGTGGGTTTTAGTTGACTATGAATATACTTTGGCTGTTTTTGAAGTCGATGCATATTATGAAAAAAGTATTTGTACCGTTAATATTATTGCCAAGTGATGACAATGGTACGTTCTCCACTATCGTGCAATATACTCGTTTTAATATCAAATGATGAAACTCTCAGTTGGAGATGTTTTCTTGGGGAATGAATGCTATACTTGAATGAGATGCAACTAGACAATGATCTGGAGTGTGACGGTGTCACCGCTTCTCTGTGCTCAGGGTGGATCGTTTCAATGTATGAGCGAATCTCACAAATTAATGTACGGAGTCATATTTCAGATGTTGCATGTTAATAAAATATGCGTAATTTGTTTTAGTTTTTTTGCATTTTGATATTTTCTTGACAATTAAGCATATTTTACCCCTAAACTTCTATTTATTTATATTACTGTTATATATTTTCATTAATTTTTTACACACACATACATTTATAAAATGTTTATATGTGGGTAACTAAATATATTTATATACATATCTTTTTTTGTAAAATGTACCACAAAACCAGTCACGTGGGACAATTTTTTGAAATTGAGATTTATACGTCATATGTATTAGCTGAATAAATAAGCTTTCCATTGATGTATGGTTTGTTAGGATAGGACAATATTTGGCAGATATAAAACTATTTGAAAATCTGGAATCTGAGGGTGCAAAAAAATTTAAACATTGAGAAAATCATCTTTAAAGTTGTGCATTTAAGTTCGCGATAGTGCTGCATTTACTCACAAAAATAAATGTTTTATATATTTACGGTTGGAAATTTACAAAATATATTCATGGGACATGATCTTTATTTAAAATCCTAATGATTTTTGTCGTAAAAGAAAATCGATAATTTTGACCCATACAATGTATTGTTGGCTATTGCCACAAATATACCCGTGCGAGTTGTGACTGGTTTGTGGTCCAGGGTCACAAATATGACATCAGTTTTCATTAGATTCATCTGTATGTTTTAGGTTTTTGTCTACTGAAATATGTAGTCTCTTCCAAGCATTTCAGTATTGTTTTTGTCTTAAGAAATATGTTTAAAAGCTATAAAATGAACATGGGCCTTGTGTTGTTCGTCATTGTCTCAGACCAGTCAAAAATAGTGATCACTTTCATATTGAATACAAAAAAAAAATCAACCTTTATTTATCTAATATAGAAAATGCAACAGTACAAATAAACACACATCCGGTTCTAGGACGTCCGACTTTCTTCTGAATCATTCATCCAGTCTTAAGACTCAGGAGTTCCTCATACTCCAAATCATTGGTAAAACAGTGTGAACAACATAATGTGAGACCAGACCTACAATATGATCCAGAGCGGATAGAGTTCATATTTCCATATGCAAATGCCTATATCAATCCACATGACGAGTCTTCAGCAGAATCTCAGGTCGTTCTCCAGTCTGTATATTTTAGCCTTCAGGTTCTTCAGCTCATCCTGGACCTTTACCGTGCGGTTGTTGGTCTGACGCACTTCGTGGAGAATCGCCAGGTCTTGATTAGGGCCCACGTTGAGCGTCAACTAGAGAAAGAGACAGTCATTAATCATTATTATCTCCATCATTTTAAATAGATTTGCACTTTTAACTCTTTCCCTGCCATTGATGGAAATTTCCGGCTTTCTGTGTTTTCACTGTTATACAGTAGGGGGCGCTATTACACATCTTCTGAAAGAGTGCTGAATCTCCGGATCAAAAAACAGTCGAAGAAGAAGCAGAAACAAGCAGTGTTGGGGAAGTTACTTTTAAAAAGTAGTGTAACTCGTTACTCGTTACTTCTTTAAAAAAGTAATCCGTTACTTTACTTAGTTACCCCATATAGAAAGTAACTTTTTACATTACTCGGTACTTTTAGGTTACTTTTATGTTGCTTGACTTCGGGCAGAACCCAATATCTGTTCCTAAATGTGTAGGCCTACATAAAGCTCTACTATGCATAATGCCATATATAATGCCATAAATGCATAATGCATTTATCAAAAATTTTAATATTTATGAAGAAATGCCCGTTAATGAATAGGCATATGCATGGGCGGCGCTAGGGAGGGGCTAGAAAGAAAGCCCCCAAGAAAGACCAAAGCACCCCGTTGGCACCCCCAAAAATCATTTCTGGAAGTAATTATATTCAGGCTGTATTCTATGGAAGTCCTGAACCGCATGGTGAAGAAAAAAAAAGAAAACTTATCTTGTTATTTAGACATAATAAGGGGACATTCTAATCTCTATTAAGCCAAATTAAGCGTTCTTATAATGGCTTTCTATGGGAGGAAAATGCATAACGTGCAAGTAAACACGTTGCGTTCATATTCTGGGCTCATCTGATTTTTTGTACATAGTATAGCCTACTTTATTATGATTTTAGTATCATAATGATTAATAAATGCACGCACAATTATCCGTGAACTTGATAAATGTTGCAGATATGTTTTACTATGCACGTAAACAAATGCCTTTCAACTTATGTGTGCAAAATTCAGAATTAAATGAATGTGCACCAATATACAAATAGAGAGTCTGTAGGCCTACTATAGCCTACGTGTTGTAGCCATTAAATAAGCACATTTAGTTTCATATTTGTTAAAATATTATAATGTTATTTTTCCATCTATGCTGATTATGAAAAGTGAACAGCGCGAGTAAGATGGATGCGCAATATCTCGGGAGACATGGCCAGACATGATTTTGACCACTTCATTAAGTTTTGTTTTGAAGAAAGCCTTTCTTTAAAGCGAATTTCGTTTTGTATAAATTGTATCTTAATTTTAATCTATTTTTTATCAACCAAATGCCTGCAAGTAAGAAGCAAATATAGGAGACAATATAATCATGGAAGCGCCGGCGTGGTCACTTGCATTGCACGTGAACTGGAGCATCTCATCATAAATTAACCGAAACTCAATGTATAGAATTTAAGCTTGAAATGTCTTTAAACGAAACAATTCAAAACGAAAATAAATAGGCTACTCTCTGATTATGTAATCCATTGTGCATTTCTCTCTGGGGCGTTCACTACGGAGATGGCGATCGCTGTCAAATCTATCAAATGACGGAGATCGCTGTCAAATCCCAGGGACAGGAAAGTAACGTTGCGCCGAATTGAAAAAGGAACTACGTTTCGTTCCCAAATTTTCAGTAGTAGCGCGTTACACTACTTTTTACCCGAAAAAGTAGTTACGTTACTGTAACGCGTAACACACAACACTGGAAACAAGCTATTGCTTATGTAAGCAGATGCATATGTAAAATAACGCGATCATCAACATTAAACCGCATATAATTAATCAAAACGGTCTAATGTTACTGAATAAAACGTCGACCCAGGACGAGCTACAGGACTGAGGCTTTGGGGGTGTTGATGGACTCGATCTACTCCATCTGTGTTTTGATCATCGTTCTGAATCCCATCCAGATGTAATCTTTGACAAAAATGACATTTTCTCAGCTATTTGCTCAATTTTGCTTTTTTATGAAACTAAAAAAAAAAAAAAAAAAACCTAGAATAGATGCATGAAGCTAGAATAAAACAGGCTTTTTGTTTAAAAGCAGAGGGTCTGGTCTTTCTTTTGATATATTGCGTATTCAGATATTCATACAACAACATGTTCTGGGCCACGAAACTTCATGTTTGAAAATGATCAAACATGCTGGCGGGGAAAGAGTTAAAGATAATATAAATGACTAACAAATAGCTATCTGTCTGCCAATTTCATAATGATATCAGACAATTCATTGTTTGAAAACAAGTCAACGTGCCACAGTTTGCACAGATGTTATTGAAGAGGCGTATAAACAGTGTAGAAGAGACCAATGAGAGCGCTGACTGACTTTAAAGAGATGTTTCTCCACATCTTTGACTTTCTGCCGCAGGTGTTTGATATCGGTCTTGAATCCCTCCACCTCCATGACCCGTCTTTTCTCCAGAGCTTCGTAACGTTGAGTCATTAGCTGCAGGCGATTGGCCATCTTGTCAGAGCGCTCCTGAACACACACACACACACACACAAACTCAAAATTCAGAAGCTAGTTTGACATTCAAACGACCTCAACTCTTCAACAAAATATCAAAATGTTTTAATGTCAAAGGCGTCTCACCCTCATGTCTCTCTAGATATTACTTTTTTTAACAGAACATAAAAGGAGATATTTAGTGTGATGTTTAGGCTGCTCTAATGACTCGACATTCTGCTAAACATGCACTTGTGTGTCACAGAAGTAAAAACATTTGCATGCACACATGAAGGAGGGTGAGCAATCATGTCTTTGTTTTCTTCTGGTGCACTAAGAGTTTGTTTGCGTACTTTGAAGATCTCTCGGCCCACGTCGCCCTCTTCTCTGATCTGCGACAGGTCCGTCTCCAGATTCACACACTGATCTCGGTACATGTCAGACAGTTTATGAGCCTGTTTCAGTTCCTCTTGCAAAGCCTGCTGGGAAAAAAAAAGACAAAATCACTTGTGAGAGCTGGATAAAGACTTCAAAAGATCAATGAGAATACGGTGGTAAACCAGTTTGTCTATCCAGCACAAAGATATTATGAATTAAAGCCAACTATATATATATACCTAAAGATTATATAAATATGATATTAAATAAATATTATATATTAATAATAACAAAAATGTGATTTCTATACACCAGGGTTTTTAAAACAAAACAAACAAGTTTATGTATATATATATATATATATACACACACACACACATTTCTTAGTTAAGCTAGATGTACAAAATTAAAAATACGACATAAAAAAGTATTTATAAAAATGAAATGTAATTTAAAATGTTATATATATATATATATATATATATATATATATATATATATATATATATGTCTAATTAATAGTAATATTTTCTTTTTTCTTGGGCTTTATTACATTTAGTACGATTTTTTAAATTCTTAAATAACGTGTTCATAATACACTATTTTTCTTATAAATTAGTTATAAATGAGTCTTCTAAAAAAAGTAAACATGGTCTTTCTGACCCTGATCTCGTCCCGGTGTGTGTGGCTGCTCTCGTGGGTGTGTGTGATGACCAGCGGGTCTGCTGACGGACGCTGCTGGTGGAAACTGTGGTCCTCGCGCAGTCGCTCCTGACAGGAGTCCAGCTCTCGCAGAAGACGGTCCTTCTCCACCATCCAGCTCTTCTCGTGAGCTCGACTCGAGAACTTCAGCTGCAGGAAATCCCTCGTGCTCTCGTACAGCAGATTCTGCGTGCGCTGGAGTCTGAGAACGCCAGGTGAGAGAGAGAGAGAGTCACGCTCCGGGTTCAGGGTTTGTTGAAACAGAAGGAGGGATGAACTTACTTTTCGGCGAGGGCCGTGATTCTCTCCTGGTCCCGCTGGTGCTGGACCTGTCTCTCCTCCAGGTGAATGCGTCTGTCCTCCAGCAGCGCCTCCACCTGCTCTTTAGCCAGCCGCGTCTGCTCCTCCATCTGAGCCTGCAGCGCCTCCACCTGGACCAATGGAGGAACCGCATCCATGAGCACACTGAGCATTTCACATCATTAAAGGGTTAGTTCACCCCAAAATGAAAATTCTGTCAGTAATTACACGCCCTCATGTTGTTCAACCCCGTAAGACTTTCGTTCATCTTCGGAACACAAATTAAGATATTTTGGATTAAATCTGAGAGCTGGATCACTCCTCCATAGGCTTCTTAAGGGATCGAAACTGGCCAGCCCAAAAAAAGTTATTAAAGACATCGTTAAAATAGTCCGAGTGACTACAGCGGCTCAACCTTAAGTTTATCAAGCGAAGAGAATACTTAAAACAAACAAAAATAACGACTTTATTCAACTATTCATTTCCTTCTCTGTGGGCCTCGAGTGAGTTCACGTAGTGTAACAGCGCAGCGCTTCTGTGTTGTACGTCACACGTAGGCTCACTATTGGCCGACGCTGGTCATGTGTGTGATGCGTGTGACGTACGTGAATAAAGTCGTTATTTTGTTCATTTTTTGCGCACAAAAAGTATTCTCGTCGCTTGATAAACTTAAGGTTTGAGTCACTGTAGTCACTCGGACTATTTTAACAATGTCTTTCATAACTTTTCAGGGCTGGCCAGTTTCAATCCCTTAGAAAGCCTATGGAGGAGTGATCCAGCTCTCAGATTTAATCAAAAATATCTTAATTTGTGTTCCGAAGATGAACGAAAGTCTTACGGGGTTGAATAACATGAGGGTGAGTAATTACCGGTACTTTCATTTTGGGGTGAACTATCCCTTTAACACCATAAATGACTTCTGAGAACTGGAAACTGAGAACTGAGACTTCTGAATGTTCCACCCAGACAAAAAGTTGCAAAATGTTTTTTAAATGGAAACGGTGGTGCGTTGAACACACTGTTCTGATGACGCAAGAGTTGCAACTATGGCAGCTGAGAAGGACATTCTTTGTGGTTTTTTTAAAGAATTTTCAGAGCCTGATGAAATCGGTATAAATAGGTGATTAATACTACAAAATACGCCTGATGTTACAGTCACTGCCCTTGCCTTCCAGAATAAAAGAACATCCCAATCGAGTGAAGGGATTTGTGGAAACTCTGGTTCCTAATTATTGTGATCCAACATTTGCCTCGCATTTCAGGATGAAAACACATCTATTTAGCCTCACTATTGACTAATTATACCATAACGTCGTAGGACTTCTGATGAACATAGTTGCAGTAATACATTCAGGAATAGTTTCATACACAAATATCAGCATAAGAATGCATGAACTAGCTTTTGCACACACACACCTGCAGCAGTAACGTCTGGTTGTCTCTCTTGTACTGCTCTGAACTTCTGCTGTCGTCTTCTTTGGACGATTTCTTGCTTCCTGTGGTTTGAAAAACAACACATGCTGTTAAAGTGCAGCTGTTCTCCTCTTACATAGACAAGATGAGTCCTTAATCTCAAAATAACACCAATCCACCCATACAACTGAATCAGTATTTTCCCTCGACACCTTCTACAGCTAAACGTTTAGAAAAGCAAAGGTGATGGCCAAACCTTTCGCATACACAGGTCTTGGTTTTGCCAGCTTTGACTCCTCATGTGATCTCAGCTGGATCTTCTTCTGAGGGATTGTGACCTAAATAAAACAAAATAAAGCTTAATACACAGATGCCCATACAATAGCCATCAAAGTAAGGTTGCTATGTATTCTTTTGAACCTTATTGGGAGGCTCTCGATGGAAGTACGTGATCTCGCCTGGATCCGGTCCCACCAGCGCTAAAAGATGCTGGATCTTTTTCCGGTCCTCCAGCTCTCTGTGACCGCAAACAAAGCTTTCAGACTCGGGCTCATCTCAGTGATCATGTTTGCGCTATCGTATCTATAATGACGTCTGACCTGATTTTGAGGCGGTCGTTCTCGGCGTACAGTCGCAGCGCTTGCTCTCTCTCCTGGAACAGGTACACCTGCATGTCACTGAGAGCGTTCTGGAGCTCCAGGATCTCCTCCTCGCGCTGACGGACCTCCCACTGCAGCTTGTGCTGCGCAACAACACACAGCGTTACATGCACACACACACACACCGACGGAGAGAGGAGGAACATAATCCAATCCCCAGCAGATCATACTCGTACATTTTATACCCGTCCTAAATTGTATTCATTCTGGTCTTCTTTTTTTGTTACATGTCCCCAAACCCTGCCCAATAATTGTCATCTTTGGAGTAACACCTGTTGTACAACAAGCGCCATGCTGATATTATTGCTTTTACTTCATTGGTAGCCAGAAGACGAATATTGTTACATTGAAAATCCTCATGCCCAACCTTCTCATTTTTCTTGGCTGAAGGACTTAATGTCTTTTCTACACCTGGAAAAAATTAAACACTCCCATCAGAGACTCTGTTAAATGTGGAATCCTGTCCTTTCCTTTGTTGAGACTGTCCCTTCATTGGAGATTTGAATTTTTCCCCCCCTATTTTTTCCTTTTTTGTGTGTGTGTGTGATAATTAGGGATGGGTAGGTTTAAGAGTGTTCTGTATATTTGTATAATTCTTTCTTCATTTATTTCTATGGATGTTAAAAAAGAAAAACAGCAGGTTGTGATATTTTTCATATATGCCATGCACATTTTGTCACTTAAAGGGTTCGTTCACCCAAAAATTAAAATGATGTCATTAATGACTCTCCCTCATGTCGTTTCAAGCCGTAAGACCTCCGTTCATCTTCAGAACACAGTTTAAGATATTTTAGATTTAGTCCGAGAGCTTTCTGTCCCTCCATTGTAAATGTATGTACGGTATACTGTCCTTGTCCAGAAAGGAAATAAAGACATCATCAAAGTAGTCCATGTGACATCAGTGGGTTAGTTAGAGTGTTTTGAAGCATCGAAAATACATTTTGGTCCAAAAATAACAAAAACTACGACTTTATTCAGCATTGTATTGTCTTCCGGTTCTGTTGTGGATCCGCGTTCAGTGCCGCCAATGACGTAAGACGCTGCTGACGTGTGTGTGTGTGTGTATTCGGGTTCTGTTGTGGATCCGCGTTCAGTGCCGCCGCTGACGTAAGACGCTGCTGACGTGTGTCTGGTGTGTGTGTGTGTGTGTGTGTGTGTGTGTGTATTCGGGTTCTGTTGTGGATCCGCGCTCAGTGCCGCTGCTGACGTAAGACGCTGCTGACGTGTGTCTGGTGTGTGTGTGTGTGTGTGTGTGTGTGTGTGTGTCTGGTGCGCCCGAGCTTCGTTTACAGTCTGAGGGAAACGCACGCTGGAAACAAAACAATCTTCACAAACATGTCTAAGGATTTCCACACAGAGGAAGACTTGCATTTTTTTGCCCAGCCATATTTATTTGAACCCGAATACACGGGCGCACCAGACACACGTCAGCAGCGTCTTACGTCAGCAGCGGCACTGAACGCGGATCCACAACAGAACCAGAATACACACACACACACACACACACACACCAGACACACGTCAGCAGCGTCTTACGTCAGCAGCGGCACTGAACGCGGATCCACAACAGAACCAGAATACACACACACACACACACACACACCAGACACACGTCAGCAGCGTCTTACGTCAGCGGCGGCACTGAACGCGGATCCACAACAGAACCAGAATACACACACACACACACACACACACCAGACACACGTCAGCAGCGTCTTACGTCAGCAGCGGCACTGAACGCGGATCCACAACAGAACCAGAATACACACACACACACACACACACACACCAGACACACGTCAGCAGCGTCTTACGTCAGCGGCGGCACTGAACGCGGATCCACAACAGAACCAGAATACACACACACACACACACACACACACACACCAGACACACGTCAGCAGCGTCTTACGTCAGCAGCGGCACTGAACGCGGATCCACAACAGAACCAGAATACACACACACACACACACACACACACACACACGTCAGCAGCGTCTTACGTCAGCGGCGTCACTGAACGCGGATCCACAACAGAACCAGAATACACACACACACACACACACACACCAGACACACGTCAGCAGCGTCTTACGTCAGCAGCGGCACTGAACGCGGATCCACAACAGAACCCGAATACACACACACACACACACACACCAGACACACGTCAGCAGCGTCTTACGTCAGCGGCGGCACTGAACGCGGATCCACAACAGAACCAGAATACACACACACACACACACCAGACACACGTCAGCAGCGTCTTACGTCAGCGGCGGCACTGAACGCGGATCCACAACAGAACCAGAATACACACACACACACACACACACACACACACGTCAGCAGCGTCTTACGTCAGCGGCGTCACTGAACGCGGATCCACAACAGAACCCGAATACACACACACACACACACACACACACACGTCAGCAGCGTCTTACGTCATTGGCGGCACTGAACGCGGATCCACAACAGAACCGGAAGAGAATACAATGCTGAATAAAGTCGTAGTTTTTGTTATTTTTGGACCAAAATGTATTTTCGATGCTTCAACACATTCTAACTAACCCACTGATGTCACATGGACTACTTTGATGATGTCTTTATTTTCTTTCTGGACAAGGACAGTATACCGTACATACATTTACAATGGAGGGACAGAAAGCTCTCGGACTAAATCTGAAATATCTTAAACTGTGTTCTGAAGATGAACGGAGGTCTGACGGGCTTGGGACGACATGAGGGAGAGTCATTAATGACATAATTTTCATTTTTGGGTGAACTAACTCTGCTCTGCTCAATAAAAATATACATAAAAAAGAAAGAAGGAAAGAGAAAGCGAATCCAGGTGAAGAGGGCTGACCTGCTCCTCTGCGGTGCTCCTGTACTTCTCCAGCATCTGCAGCAGGTCTTCATGTTCTCCGTCGAACTGAGCCACCTTCTGCCTGTAGAACTCCAGCAGCTCGCGGGACGGCCGCAGGAACGCCAGGCGCTCCGAGATGGAGGGCAGCGGAGACTCGAGCTGACTGACCCAAACACAGAGAGGAAGAGGAGGAGAGCAGCTTCAGCACCTCAAAATGTGTCGTTTGGGATTTTAGACATGCTTCATACATGCATATGGTCAACAATGGTATCTCTCTCTCTCTATATATATATATATATTAGGGCTGTCAAATGATTAATCGTGATTAATCACATCCAAAATAAAAGTTTTTTTTACATAATATATGTGGGTGCACTGTGTATAATTATTTTATATAAATACACACACATGCTTGTATATATTTAAGAAATATTTTCATGTATATACTGTATATAGATTTATATATAATTTATATTATATATAAATATAAATATTTTATACATAAATAATATTTTTTTCTTAAATATACATGCATGTGTGTGTATTTATATATATATAAAATAATTATACACAGTGCACCCACATATATTATGTAAAAAAAACTTTTATTTTGGATGTGATTAATCGTGATTAATCATTTGACAGCCCTAATATATATATATATATATATATATATATATATATATATTCTCTTATTGTCTTATATTGTTTCCATGTTTTCCAAGCATATTTTGCACCTATTGTCTCATTACCATAATCCAAAAAACAAACAAAACATCTATAAATTGTGCATGGTGGTTCAATTTTTCTGCCTTTATTTCAATCATTGTATTACAAATGAAGGCATTATACAGGAGAATGTGATGGGAATAATCAGCAAGAATAATGGAAATTGCTAATTTGATTATGATAATGAGAAATTGGGGGATGGGGTTGTAAAAAATAATGAAAATAGTAATTACTTGTAAAAAAACTTTCTTGTTAAAACGTATTAATGGTCATAAAAAAGAAAAGAAAAAATCTTCATGCAAAATATGTTTGTTTTTTTTGTGAGGTTCTCATTCTCAATCAGTGTTAATATAAATTATATTTACCTTTTATGCTCTTTTGTAGGAGGAGAATCCATCATCACAGTGACTATGGCCTAAAATAATGTAAAAAAAAAAAAGACTATAAAGTGGTGTGCTCAAATAACATTAAAATGGAAAATATTAAGCTACATTTTTTATTTACATTTAATTTTAAGGTAATTTCACCTGAATATAATGAGCTGTAGGTGATCAAACTATACTCTAAAATTAAGGTAAACAAAAACAACATGCAACAGATCAAGATTCATAAAATATTCGCTAAATAAAACTCTTATGATCAGTATTGCACGTTTACGGTTGCCATGTAAACAGTGACGCTTTGCGGTGGGAAGTTTGAACAAACAAAGTGTTATACAGGTTTATTTGGACCGATAAATTAACGATATAATTAAATGATCACTTTATTTATTAATCAACCTGTCAGATGTGAAGTAAAGTTAACGTTACTGTTGTACAATAAAATCAAAATATAAAAGATAACGGTTGTTAATCGTCCAACTAGCTGGCTAACTGTTACCATTTCTAATATTTACCTATGCTCACATTATTAAACCTTTGTTATAATCATATTCTCGTGGTAAAATAAATGAATAAATAAAGTACATTTTTGATTTAGTTACCTTCTGTGTGCCTTCACAGCGTTCACTGGCACTCCTCGTTTTGAAAACACGCCGGTTACAAACCGGAAGGGGGGGGGGGGGGGCTTTGTAGGCCATAACATAGCCTATAGCTTTGTAGGCTATGTTATGCGCGCAGTCAGACCCGTTAAATATGAGTTTTTCAAAGCTCTGCGCGCAGTATGTTCTATCTCGCTCTAGATTCCGGGAGATTTTAACTAATTTGCGGGCATCAGGGAGACGCTAGCAATATGCGGGAGACTCCCGGAACTTCCGGGAGACTTGGGATGTCTGCATCTTATACGTGGCCTTTAGAGCTAAAAACATGTTTGCCAGCTGCTGATAGCATGTGTGCTCGTGGTTAGCAGCAGTGCAGAGTCATGCTCAGGTCAAAGTAGAAACGTTGTCTCGTTTCTTCGTGTGTTTTTCCTCGGAGATATGTTTCCCCGCTTGAATATGTTTAGGATCGGGTGGATAGGAGTGAAACTGAGCAGGAAAGTCACGAATGCAGCTGCTTTTGCGCAGACGCAGCGCCGCTACAGCACAGTGAGTTCATGCTCAGTATTATTGTTATTAGTATTCAGAATTTAGCCATGAACAAACTAACACTCCTGACCACAACAAACCGAGTGGTGTTATGTGTTAAAAAGGCTTTTGTTGTTGTTGTTGTTTTGTTATGAGTTTCTGGCCAGTGTCGGGCTGTATTTCAACACGTAACTGTGAGCTGCCTATCTAGACAGCATTTTCGGCCCAATAATTATGGTATATGGTCACACTTTAGTTTAGGGTACAATTCTTACCATTAAATAACTATTAACTACGACTTTTGCCCCTAAAAACTTCTAATTACTGCTTATTAATAGTTAGTAAGGTATGTGTAGAATATGGTCATGCAGAATAATGCATTGATATGTGCATAATAAGGAGCCTACTAATAAACAGCCAATATCCCAGTAATATTCTAATAAGCAACTAGTTAACATATATATATATATATATATATATATATACACAGTATACAAGTTATTTTGACAGTAATTAATATTCAGCAAGTGAATGGAACTTTTGCAATTGATCTACATGAACTTTCACCTGGATTTCTTTACTGTGGGATGTTTTCCCCTAAATAGCAGGGCAAATGTAAGTGGATGATGTACTCAAGGTTTCACTTTCCTTTTGCAGGAAATGTGAAAACAATCTACGGTATGAGACACCTTGTTATTGGGGGATGGTGTGGCTTTCATGGTTCAATTTGAGCCTCAATTTGATCTGTAACTTAAAGGTTGTAGGTTCAAATCCCCAACTGAGAAAACTATCACCATTGTGACTTTGATCACGACCTTTAACCTTAGATTCCTCTGGGAAAAGTGAGTGTTATGTGTACAGTTGATCACTTTTTCCCGGTTTATCACTGTAAAGATGTTTTGAAACAACATGTCTTGTATAAAGCACTATATAAATAAAGGTGACTTGATAAAAAGTGTCTGCTAAGTGAGTACTAACAAAACATGTAATTATGTATGTTTTGAGGGTGAACAGGACCGCAGCTTGTTTGGGCTTCTGTTTGACATTGATGGAGTGCTGGTACGTGGACGGACCCCCATCCCTGCAGCTAAACAGTGTTTTAGGGACCTGGTGGACGGCGATGGGAAATACAAGGTTCCTGTGGTGTTTGTGACGAACGCAGGGAACTCTCTCCGGCAAACCAAAGCCGAGCAGCTGTCTCACCTTCTGGAGGTTGAGGTGAGACACCTGACCACAAATATTGAATCCTTCCAGGCTGCTCCATTTGCACTGTCGATAGTTTAAACACAACATTTGATTTGTTTACAGTGTCTGAGAGTAAGACAGGGCGGTTTGATTTCTCCAAACAGGTGTCACCGGACCAGGTGGTGCTGTCCCACAGTCCTCTGAGGGTTTTCACTCAGTTCCATGACCTGTGCGTGCTGGTGTCCGGACAGGGACCTGTGGTGGAAGTTGCACACAAGTATCCTTTACCTTGATATAAATGACTATAATTATAAAATAGTTATAAATATTATTATTATACAAATAATCTAATACATACACATATATATATATATATATATATATATATATATATATATATATATATATATATGTAAGCAATAAGGTACGAGAGGCTGTGCTGTATCGTGAATAAGTAACGGCTGGAGGGCGTTGTTAGGCACGACGCGAAGCGGAGTGCCTGCAACCCCTTCAGCCGTTACTTATTCACGATACAGCACTTGCCTCGAGTACCTTATTGCTTTTATAAAACGGTTGCCACACAATAAAAATATTAAAGCCGAAAAATATGTATCTATGCAACTTTCATGAAGTAAAATCACTAAAAGCCTGCCTTCCGCTGGAAAAAATAGTCCCGGAACGTGAACAGCAACAGAAGTTACATATATTATTTCGCCAATAGATGGCGGCAAAGACTGTCTTTATGAGTGAGTGAGTGAGTGAGTCTGTAGAGAAGGCTTTTGAAAGGACTCGAACTTGTGATCACGGAGAAGACAGACGCAACTGACAGATGACTAACGTTATGCACGGAAAACCCCATGACTGTTAAAAGGACAAAATATGCAGCGGACATTCAAACGCATTTTTTTATTATGAATATAGGACTGACCTGAAGGAAAATGCTACGTCTACTGTAAATGCAGGTACACTCGCTTACTCGATCTCTCACAATGCTCTGCTCTAGCTTTAAATGAACAATATCAATGAGATGAAACATCTGTTTAAGTTGCTAAGAGTGGTTGCTAGGGGTGTTGTGTAGTGATACATAGAACCGTTGGGTGAAGCGGTCATAGCCGTGTTTTATCGTGAATAAAGCACAGCTATTGACCAATCAGAATCAAGGATTGGAACTAACCGTTTTATAAATATATATATATATACACTCACCTAAAGGATTATTAGGAACACCATACTAATACTGTGTTTGACCCCCTTTCGCCTTCAGAACTGCCTTAATTCTACGTGACATTGATTCAACAAGGTGCTGAAAGCATTCTTTAGAAATGTTGGCCCATATTGATAGGATAGCATCTTGCAGTTGATGGAGATTTGTGGGATGCACATCCAGGCCACGAAGCTCCCGTTCCACCACATCCCAAAGATGCTCTATTGGGTTGAGATCTGGTGACTGTGGGGGCCATTTTAGTACAGTGAACTCATTGTCATGTTCAAGAAACCAATTTGAAATGATTCGAGCTTTGTGACATGGTACATTCTCCTGCTGGAAGTAGCCATCAGAGGATGGGTACATGGTGGCCATAAAGGGATGGACATGGTCAGAAACAATGCTCAGGTAGGCCGTGGCATTTAAACGATGCCCAATTGGCACTAACGGGCCTAAAGTGTGCCAAGAAAACATCCCCCACACCATTACACCACCACCACCAGCCTGCACAGTGGTAACAAGGCATGATGGATCCATGTTCTCATTCTGTTTACGCCAAATTCTGACTCTAACATCTGAATGTCTCAACAGAAATCGAGACTCATCAGACCAGGCAACATTTTTCCAGTCTTCAACTGTCCAATTTTGGTGAGCTCTTGCAAATTGTAGCCTCTTTTTCCTATTTGTAGTGGAGATGAGTGGTGCCCGGTGGAGTCTTCTGCTGTTGTAGCCCATCCGCCTCAAGGTTGTGCGTGTTGTGGCTTCACAAATGCTTTGCTGCATACCTCGGTTGTAACGAGTGGTTATTTCAGTCAAAGTTGCTCTTCTATCAGCTTGAATCAGTCGGCCCATTCTCCTCTGACCTCTAGCATCAACAAGGCATTTTCGCCCACAGGACTGCCGCATACTGGATGTTTTTCCCTTTTCACACCATTCTTTGTAAACCCTAGAAATGGTTGTGTGTGAAAATCCCAGTAACTGAGCAGATTGTGAAATACTCAGACCGGCCCTTCTGGCACCAACAACCATGCCACGCTCAAAATTGCTTAAATCACCTTTCTTTCCCATTCTGACATTCAGTTTGGAGTTCAGGAGATTGTCTTGACCAGGACCACACTCCTAAATGCATTGAAGCAACTGCCATGTGATTGGTTGATTAGATAATTGCATTAATGAGAAATTGAACAGGTGTTCCTAATAATCCTTTAGGTGAGTGTATGTTTATATAATTTATATTATATATATATATATATATATATATATATAAAAAAAAAATTTTATATATAAATAACACATTTATCTTAAATATATACATGCGTGTGTGTGTATTTATATATAAAAAATAATTATACACAGTACACACATATATTATGTAAACACAAACTTTTATTTTGGATGCGATTAATCGTTTCACAGCCCTAAAATTTAGAGCTAGTAATAGAGACTTAAGCCACTGATAGCAGTCGAGTGCAGTTATTAGAGAGAGAGGGAGAGAGAGAGAGAGAGTTATCAAGCGTGTATTAATTACCTCCGTCTGTGCGTCTCTCAACAGTGTTCGGCAGCAGCGTCTCTACTAATAGAGTAAGTTTAACTGCTTCAAGAACAGCGCTGTTATTACCTCGCTAGTGTAAAATCAAGCATTTAACAGCCCCGTAGTATACACTATAATTTGTCCTTGATCAAATAAACTCCAGTGTAGGTTTCAAGAACGTTGTGACCATTGACATGCTAAGGGAGGCGTTTCCTCTCCAGGACATGGTGGATCACCATCGCAGACCCAAAGACATTGTGAGTAGAAACAATAATATCTGAATATGTAAAAATCAGGAGAATTTAGCATTTGTTATTAGCTGTGTTTGTAAGGAAAGTGTCATTACAACTAATTTAACAGATTCCTAATCCTAAGCATTGAGCATTGACTTATTTAATATTCCTAAGATTCCCCCATCTAAAGATTTGCCACCAATAGACGGTAAGTTTCATTCCACCCGTTTCACTTTCTGTTCTGGCTGAGATCTGTGTCCGCTCACATCTGTTTTCACTGTCACTTTAAAGCTGTCATCCTGTTCGGTGAGCCTATCAGGTGGGAGACGAACTTACAGCTGATTGTTGATGTGCTGTTGACCAATGGGAGGCCAGGAAACACGGTGACATCACTGCATTACCCACACATCCCTGTGCTGGCCTGCAACATGGATCTGCTGTGGATGGCCGAAGCCAAAAACCCTCGGTTAGTGTCAGGAAGATTTTATTCAGTAAGGATGCATTATAAGGATCAAAAGTGACAGTAAATACATTAATAATGTCACAAAAGATTTCTATTTCAAATTAATTCTGATTCTGTTCTTTTGAACTTTCTATTCTTCAAAGAATCCTGGAAAAAAAATGTCATCAAAAATATGCAGCAGCACAACTTTTTTTCAACATTGATAATAATCAGAAATGGTTCTTGAGCGTCAGATCATCATATTAGAGTGATTTCTGAAGGATCATGTGACACTGAAGACTGGAGTAATGATGCTGAAAATGCAGCTATGATCACAGGAATAAATTACACTTTACTATATATTCAAATAGAAAACAGTTATTTTAAATTGTAATAATATTTCACAATTTTACTGTTTTTACTGTGTTTTTGATCAAATAAATGCAGCCTTGGTGAGCAGGAGAGACCTCTTTAAAAAATATATAAAAAATATTCCCAACCTTAAATATATTTTGTATATATCAATGTATATATTTCGTAGAATCAACATAGTTAAACACATGCTTCAGGTCTCATCCGACTTGATTCATCAGTGAATGTTATTATATATATCTGTCTCGCTCTAAGTCTGAAACAACTTTCCTTTTTGACTGATTTTATCATGATGGCTTTGGGAATGTTAACCAGTCGCCATAATAGCGTTGTAGGCAATGCAGCCCACTTTACACCATCACAGCAATTTTTGATTGATAAAATCCCTTTTTATTGAATATTATATCCTGAATATCCAGAAATTCAACAGAATACTGAAGTAAAAAATGGGTTGCAAATGCCATTTTATGTTGACTTTAACAACGATCATGTAACCGGATTTTTTTTCTAGTGGCTGTTAGTTAAATACTGAACTAACAAGGATTGCTGTTCATTTGTTGCTAGATTCGGTCACGGCATGTTCCTCGTGTGCCTGGAGAGCATCTACAAGAAGATAACAGGCTGTGAGCTGAAGTACGAGGCTCTGATCGGGAAGCCCAGCGTTGTGACTTACAACTACGCCGAACTGCTCATTAGACAACAGGCCGAGAATCTGGGCTGGACCCGGCCGGTCGAGAGACTTTACGCCATTGGGTAAAGTTTGGACCACATTAATATGCAAGAGCAATTTCTTTAGAGTATTGAATGGTCAAATTTCATTGACCTTGAACTGACGCTCGGTCTGAACAGGGTGTGGCACTTACTATTTCACAAGGAATACATGTAGCACAGTAAAAACATTAGTGGTGCTATCCAATATTTGCTATAATCATTTTTCCTTAATAAATGTCTACAAGGAGATATTTATAAGCAAAATTATTTAATTTTATATAATACAAAAAATACACTGTTTTTTTTTTATATTTCTGCTTCAAGCTGTATTTAATAATTATATAAATATTAAAAAATATTAACTGAATGTGTGTGTGTGTATATATGTATATATATATATACACATAAAATGTATGCATAATGCAAGAATTATTATTATCAATTATCAACATATTACAATATAAACACTATAAAGTTAACATTGTTTTCCATCCCCAAATTTAAGACCTCTTAAAATGACCAAGAGATTTGTTTTACCATTTAAGTTATTTATGACCTTACATTTCATAAAACTGAATTTTTGTAGACATTTAAAGGACCTGTGGGGACTTTTATTTGCACACATGCTCCAAACTACATTTTACACTTCACACACATCTATTTTTAGTCACAAATGCAAGTGAATCACACCAATTGCCGTAACACACATTATAAATTGAATAAATGAATCCTTATTAAAGCTGCAGAAGTGATTCAGTCAAGAGCAGTGAGTGATTTTCTTTGATTAACATTAATGACACGGACAGCAGCGGGTTTATTAGGCTGCTGTCACTTTAAGACTCTGGCACACATCTTATTTTCTTGGTCTATATGTTTGATGCACATGTGTCTCTCTCATAGTGACAACCCCATGGCTGATATTTACGGTGCGAACCTGTACAACCGCTACCTCAAAGCGATGCATCGCAGCCGGTCCCAGGCGCAGGCGCAGGGTGGCTCGGCCGGCCAGGTGACCGGAGACCTGGCGTGTGAAGCGTCCGACGATGCCAAATGCTCCGGACAGGTGATGGTGGGAGGCTCGTTCGAGCACCGTCTTCCTGAAGGCTGCAGCTCAATCCTGGTCTGCACGGGCGTCTACAACCGAGACCAACAGGACTTGCCCTCCGACCCCGAGCAGACGGTCACGGAGCAGCGGATTTTCCACGGTCACCGGGACTTCCGCTTCGACCCCAGCCTGACTCAGCCGTCCTTCATCGTCCATGACGTCCGGGATGCAGTGGAGTTGGTCTTCCAGCTGGAGGGTTGGCCACTGCAGTAAGCCGCCATCTATTATGCCATATCTACACATCAGAACAGAATCAGTCCTTTTAGAATCAATGGAGCTGTCTACACAGGAAGTGTTATTTCCGCCTTATTATTATTTTTTTTAATTGTCTGTTGTGATTTTTAAAAATTTTAACATGCTATTTGAGACATTTTATTTCGCCCGATGGCTATGAGTTTTCTTTGTTAAATACTTGTGCATGTCATTTTTTTGTGCCTTTTCCTTCCATTTAAATCATATTTTGCTTTTGAACAAATATGCAAGACAGCAACATAGTGTCGGCCCAGATCCGGCCCACATCTGGAACGTGTGGAATCCACATGTACCAGATGTGGGCCGGATCTGGGCCGACACTATGTTGCTGTCTGGGATGGAAGCCCATTATAACATAAACAAGGTAATTGTAAAGGTGTGGCAATTGTGTAGCGATGTTTGAAGCACTGCTCAGTTTGTTATTTTTAACAGAACTCAATTAAACATAAAAATGTACTTTTTATGGAACTGCATAAACTAAAGGCCTTTTCTACTTTAGAGTAAAAAATGGTAATTGCCACTTTGCTCTTTTTGCACTTTTGCTCATAATAGCGACTTGAGACTTTATATGTCACAATGTTACTTTACATCTTACAATGCAACTTATTTCTTATTTCATAAACTGTTTTCTTAAGTTGCGGTCACATTTACAGTTGTAAACCAAGCAGCTTTCTGTTGGTCAACGCGGAGAATCTGTGGGACCAGTTTGAACTTGTTGCAAAATCTGCATGGGGAAATCTTTCGCCTTCACGTAAAATTCCTAATCATGTATGTTCATATTGGATTTCGCCCACAAAAATTCGCAGAAAAACTGTAAATGTGACCGCACGAGGTTGGTGTAATTTGAATTAAATGCAGCTATTCACACAAGACTGAGGTAAGAGTTTGAATGAGCTTTACATCTAGACACGAGTCAAGTGCACTATTTGGGAAAGGACGCATCTTCAAGTTTGTCACGAACTCAAACTGTGTGTTGAAGGAGATTCAGAATGCTACACTTAAAAATGAAGGTTCTTTATTGGCATTGATGGTTCCATGAAGAACATGTAACATCCATGGAATCTTTCCATTCCTCAAAAGATTCTATAGATTATCCAAATGTTCTTCACACTAAGAAAAAATGGTTCTTTTTAGAATGTTCACTGAAAGGTTTTTTGGGGAACCAAAAATGTCTTTCTATGGCATCGGTGTGAACCTTTATTTTTAGTACTTTCACAAGCACAGGGTTAAACGCTTGCAGCCAGGAAAGGCTGTTAGTGAAGCCATACTAGTTAATGAAAACAACAACACAATGCCATTGAAAGGAGGAAGTTCATTTTTTCCCTCCAATAGGTTGTAAATAGTTTGTGTTCTCTCAAATATCCTTAAAGTACACGTACGCCTGTTTAAATGTGAACACTTTGGTTTGCTGTAACACTGTACCTCTTAAGAGCCGTTCACACAGAACTCTCCAGCTGTTTTATGTACAAGATCATTTAAATGTTTTGCATTTTTTTTAAATGTTCTGTCTAGCTATTTTTAAACTGTACAGTCAGTCAGTGTGCGGTATCAAGCCGCATATTGTTAATGGTTGGGTTTAAATAATTTAACACACAAATCCCTCAATTAATATTGAGCCCTTTAAATATAATGTTTTGTGTTCAGAAAGAACAAAGAATGCATTTACTGACTGACTCACTGTTTTTAATGTTTTTGCATTTTATTGTACTGTACACAACCTACTGCAAAATAAATGTCACAGAACAAGAAAAACATAATATCATACTTGTGTAAGTTTACAGAGTTCGTTCATTAAATGCAACTACATTTTCTGAGATGTCTGATTTATTTTTGTCATATCCCACTGTATTTATCATCTTAGTCCACCTAATAAAGTCAGCAGTCACATGACCTCTTCTTATGTTCTCCATCTATTGAATGAGAATCCATGTGCAAGAAAACTGTGGGTAAATCTGATTGGTTGTCCTGATGGACTGTTCCTCCGTGTCGTACTATGAGTTCGCGGGCCATCAGTTCGAAGGCTTCCTCGATGTTACGATACTGTTTTGCGGAGGTCTCGAGTGCGGCCAGCGCCCCGGTCCGCTCCGCCAGCGTGCACGCGTCCTCAAACAGCACCTGCCGCTGCGCCTCCAGGTCACACTTATTTCCTGCAGGACGGAAAACACATCATGAATATCTAGTTTATTTGCTGTTAAATCAATGTCTCAAGCTGAAATTGTCTTTAATTCGTGTGCCTCGTAATCTTTAATCAGGATAACTTCCCCTCCCTTCACTGGCGTGAGGGCGGGGCAACCTGTCACTCACATGAGATCGCAAACCACAACCATCCAATCAGTTCCCAGTGGACAAAATCAAGCCCCGCCCTACATTTGTTCTTGTGCGAGAAGCCGTTTCACTCGGATATACAATACAATAATGTCACAATATTTTTTCTTTTTTGAATGCAATTTTTTTTGATATTTTTTTTATCTTTTTTATTTTTATTTACCTTTAAATTACTAGATTGAATCAATAAATAATAAATAAATAGTCATTTAGAAGCACATTCCTCACATTCTTTCAACTCATTCAAAATAACTCACAATTTCATGCCTAAACCTTTTAATTCAGCTCAAAATATCTTACATTGGGTGTCTTTGCCAACCTCTTGTGGAAAAAAAATAATACACTAATATATAATATACTAATAAATATATAATATAACATGATATAGCAAATTAGCTGTTCCGCTGGGTCCTAAAGTCAGTTTTTCCTTTAGTATGCATTCAGATACACATGATGACACTATAAAATATTTTTTTCGTAAAGTTTTAGCATTTTTAGTTAGAATTTTGAGCCTTTTAGGTTTTTCTATGTGTAATCAAGCATTCCGCGCATTCCATTCATTCCTATGGGGGTCATTTTGACCCGCAAGGCAAGGATTTGTTACTTTTTTAAATTTCAACCACAAAACTCCTCGAGCCCATTAAAAAAAATGTGTGTATTCGTGGTTCAAGCGTGACAAAAGTCATGGGGTGAACACTCGATGAACACTAAATTTTTAAAGAATTTTCTAAAAATAAATTCCGGGTCAAAATGACCCGAGGGAAGGATGAGGGATAACCAACATGTCGACTTTAACCAACATCAGATAACCGTGACCATGCAAATGTGTTGTCAAATTATTGAGATATTGATTCTAAAACCTCAGGGGGTACTCAAGTAAATATGGGGGTTTTGGTTGATAAAAAAAAGTTTGGGAATCCATGTTCTGACCTATCAGAACGAAGACGACGTTGGCGGCTCCGTACTGCTCCACTCCTTGTATCCAGTGCGGCAGAGACTCAAAGGTGGGTCGCCGGGTCAGGTCGTACGCGATCATGGCACCGTGGGCGCTTCGGTAGTAACTCTGTGTGATGGTGCGGAAACGCTCCTGTCCCGCCGTGTCCCAGACCTGCATCTGAACTCCAGACAGACACAATCACAATTGGCTTATCAGTGCCTCTCCTAGACATGCACAACCATAAAAAAGTGATGTCATAGAAGAACCATTCTGAACAATTTAAGTTCTGGTATGGTATTTTTTGACTAACTATATAGTAGTGGTGCCAATTTACATCACTTCTCACATTCTCACTGAGGGCTAAGCCCCCCTGAAGATCAAATCCTAAAACCGCCCCAGGCTATATGTAAGAATTTTCATGTATTAATCACATTTTATTGCCATTGTGTGAACCGCTTGAAAATAAAATAAAAAACAAGACCTTCTCCGCCTTCCTACGTTCCCAGACAGCAACAGATCCGGCCCACATCTGGTGTACCGGATGTGGGCCGGATCTGGGCCGACACTATCTTGCTGTCTGGGTTGCGTATGAAAGCCTGTAGACTGATATTTATGCGAAGGAATCGGGACGTTTTTGCCGGGAAAATCAAAAGGACGTGATGTTGACGTGCTCCCAAGAGCCTCACTTCTGTTCTATGACACATTTTAAAAGATAATTGCGACTTTTTATCTCAGAATTGTGAGATATGGAGTCAGAATCGTGAGATATAAACTCGCAATTGCGAGAAAATAGTCAGAGTTGCGTTTAGAATTGTTCATTTCTCACAATTGTAGGTTTACGACTTTATAACAACGCAATTGTGACTTCATATGCAATTCTGAGAAATTAAGTCTTTTAAAAAGTTTTATTCTGTGGCGGAAAAAAGCTTCTATAGTCGTGTTTATTTTGTTACTGAGAGAAAAGTGCGCAGCACATATTTACATATTATTAACCTAAGTCTCGCTCTCAGCAGCATGAAAGGCGGTTGACAGTACATCGGTGTAAAGGTATTTCCAACTTCTTTTTACTTCTACGCAATGAACGAAAAGAACTTCACCGTGAATATATATTGTGGCATTGAATCAAATTCAGTCTCTTGTACGTTACGTTTGCATGAGTGCGCGCTATAAGCTGCTGGCTGCAGTTCACTCAACGGCCACCGGTGTCACTAATAACAAGGGTTTCTGAATTCTACATATAGCCCCTTTAAAAGAACCATGTTTTTATTAGTAATCTAAAGAACGCTTTTGCCACTAAAGAACCTTTTGTGGAATGGAAAGATTCTGTCTATATATATAAATAGTTAAACGAACTATTATTAAGCCTTGTTAAACTATTATTATTTTATTCTAAACTGTTTTAATTATTCTTATTTCTTTTGATTATTTTAATTTCTTCCATGTAAAGTACTTTGAATTACCATTGTGTATGAAAAGTGCTATATTAATAAACTTGCCTTGCCTCGCCTAATGATTTTGTTAAATGATATAGGCTACTATACAACCTATACAGCCTTAATAAGAAGATTTCTTTATTGAATGTAAGGAAAAACCTTTTTAATTTTAAGTCATGAATCAGTGCACAGACCTTTACTTTCTTCCCATCGATGTCCATGCTGCGAACGGTGAAGTCCACTCCAATAGTGTTGTGCTGGTTGTCACTGAACACCCCAGACTTGAAGCTGTGGATCACGCAAGTCTTTCCCACGTTGCTGTCGCCGATCAGGATGATCTTGAACAGAAAGTCACAGCGATCTTCATCCTCTTGCCCTGTGGACTGCATTTCTGCAATAAATACTTGCGGATTGTGACCCACTGACCCTGAAACGACTCATTCAGAGTGCTAATGTCACAGGCTCAGTGCAATTTTAACCTACGTCTGTCATAGATCTTTTTAAAGCAGGCCTTTTCTTTAAGCTAGCACAGAAAATAACATGTTAAGAAATCTCCATGCTGCCAAAACAAGGTTAACGAGCAAGCCAGCTTTGACCTCAAAGTCACACAACATTAACTCCTGTTCTCTGCCACGTCCTTTGCCTTCTTTGAAACACTGACTCAAATGCAAACAGACACACCCCTGTGTACCTGTGTGTGAAAGTGAGACGTCCAGCCGCCTGCCCACCTGCACCAATGCATCTCTGGGAACTGCTGTTTGCTTGCAAATATTGCAATCTATTGGGAGAGAAACATGCATATTAATTCAAGCTGTACATACGAGAAAACCTGTAATATTTCTTAACCTGATTCCCATGTAAAAAACTGACCTGAACACATATGCGTCTTAAAAAGTGCAACAAGACAAATACAAAGCAGCACTGCTGTCTTGAAAGGTGACCTTTGCTCAGCAGAACAGGATATAAACGCATAACTCACTTGCTCTAATGCACACTATCACAGCTAGTGATAGTTTTGAGAATTGCCTGCCATATCCATAACAAAATACATGTGGGTCAGTTGCATAAACAGTCTTAAGTACAAGGATGACCAACTAGCAATTAGTCAAAAGGTTAGTCTTACAATAGACCAATCAACTTGTTTCAATACAGAAAGAATATTTAGTGGCACTTACAGTATCTCTGGTCCAGTAACGTGTGTTTATGAGAATGTGAAGGGATGAAATCTACAGTATTGTGAACACATGCACTTACACACACACACCCACTCACACACGTCATTAGCTGAAAGAGCTCGTAGGCACCGCTGCGCGCTGGACAATACACACATCTGTGCGAGGGCTGCGTTTGGCTGTCGGCCCGGGCCAGGGGTCAGAGGTCTTTGTGTCTGGTCACAAGCTGACTCGAGAAATGCAGATAAGCCAGTTAATGACGACTCCTGTTCAACGCAGAAAAAGTCTTTTGTGAAATCACACCACGGCAGTCTACCATGATGAGGACAAACACTGATTGTCTGGAAAATCATGCACATCATCAAGTGTACATGTATAGACTTTTACATTGTATTTTGTACATGTATTAAAGGAAAAGTTGCATTTTCTTTCCCCATACCAATGAAAACTTGCTGGGTTTTAGTATATTTCTATACACTAAAAACAAACATTTTAGTAAAATCTCCATTTTAAATGGTTAATGGTTTTTGTAACAAAAATAAAAATCAAATAAAAAAAAGTTAATTTCCTCATATTTTAAATATTTAAGAATTAAAAAAAAATCATGAAAAATTTAAATAAATTAAGGAATCAGTTGATTTATTTTCTTTTTTTTACATAATTGCACAAAGTTTTTTTTTTGTGATAATTGGTCACTTAATTTTTTTAAGTATATCTACTCCATTTAAGCACAAATATTCTACGTAGTCATTTTAATAAGTATAATAAAAATGTGCTACGTATACAAGTATAAGGAATTGTCATTTACAATAGATGTAGATTCATTCATATTTTTTAATTAATCAAGGATGCATTCAATTGAATAAAGGCATTTATATTGTTACAAAATATTTCCATTTGAAATAAATGCTGTTTTGAACTTTCTATTCATCAAAGAAAAACTATTTTTAACATTCACAATTAGAAACGTTTATTGAGCATCAAATCAGCATGATTTCTGAAGGATCATGTGACACTGAAGACTGGATTATTGATGCTGAAAATCACAGGAATAAATTACACTTTACTATATATTCACATAAAAAAACAGTTATTTTAAATGTTAATAATATTTCACAATATTACTGTTTTGACTGTATTTTTGATCAAATTAATACAGCCTTGGTGAGCAGAAGAGACCTCTTTCAAAAACATTAAAAATCTTACTGACCCCAAACCGTTGAACATTAGTGTATGACAAAGAGCTCTTTAAACAGATGGATAAGCTGAAACGTTTGTACAGAACCATTTAACACAAATAACTACTGTATTTCCAAAGATCTTTAATTTGGACAAGAAAAAAAAAATCATATTTAGCTAACATTCAACCAAAAATATACAAGTCAAATTCATAATTCCATCACATGAAAAGTGGACGAGTCTTTTAAAGACGGAAAACACTTGCTAGACAAGAACGCAGCAAGTGTTCAGAAGAGTTAATACTGGACTGAGACCAGCAGATGTCAGCGTCTCCTGCGAGCCAAACCCATGGTGTCTTTAGGTGTGTGTGTGAGACGGCGGCTCGACTGGCTTTTAGCCGTTCTCTTACGCGCTGAACTTTTCCTGGGCGTTCTGTCTTCCTGAGGAACGTGGATGGGTTTCCAGGGAATGGGGTTGACGAAGCTCGGAGCGGGATAGTTCACATTGTTATAGTTGCCTGAAAGTGATAACATTAAAGGATTAGTTCACTTTAAAAAAAACTTTTGCTGATAATTTACTCACCCCCATGTCATCCAAGATGTCCATGTCTTTCTTTCTTCAGTCGAAAAGAAATTAAGGTTTTTGATGAAAACATTCCAGGATTTTTCTCCATATAATGCACTTTGCTGGGCACCAAACGGTTCAAGGTCCAAAAGACAGTTTCAGTGCAAACTGCAAACTGTTCAAAGGGCTTTAAACGATTCCAGACGATGAATAAGGGTCTTATCAAGCGAAACGATCGGTCATTTAAAAAATAAATAACAAAGTTTAATAATGTCAAATGCTCGCCTTGCTCTGTTCTGTGATGCACGTTCGTGACTCTCCTGTTCGAACTCGTTCATCAAAATGAACAATCTCTTTTTTCGAGTCATTTGGTTCATTTAACGAACGAAATGAACGAATTGACTCGGAAAAAGATTCGTTCATTTTGATGAACGAGTTCGAACAGGAGAGTCACACAGAACAGAGCAAGGCGAGCATTTGAGCTTATAAAACTTAAACTTTGTTATTTATTTTTTAAATGAGCGATCGTTTCGCTTGATAAGACCCTTATTCATCGTCTGGAATCGTTTAAAGCCCTTTGAACAGTTTGCAGTTTGCACTGAAACTGTCTTTTGGACCTTGAACCATTTGGTGCCCAGCAAAGTGCATTATATGGAGAAAAATCCTGGAATGTTTTCATCAAAAACCTTAATTTCTTTTCGACTGAAGAAAGAAAGACATGGACATCTTGGATGACATGGGGGTGAGTAAATTATCAGCAAAAGTTTTTTTTAAAGTGAACTAATCCTTTAATACTTGTTATCAATAATCTGGTCTTTGTATGGATATTTATGTTGGATATGTAGAGTTTTACATATTTTTGGATGACTATATTTCATGTCCGAACTTTTGAAATGCCACAAGTGGAAGTGCAGTTCACTCACCGGCTGAGGATGCTGATGATCGCCGGCTCAGTTTTCCTTTCGTTTTTACACCGTCAAGCCATTCTTTAAAGCTTTCCTCCGCCTTTTCTTTGCGCTCCCTCTCTTCCGCTTCTCTTCTGGCTGCCTCTTCCTTTTAAAGAGATTGTTCATTCTGTCATCATTGACACACCCTCATGAAGTTCAATGGGAATAATGTTTTCTATAAATCACACCTTCTCTTTTAGCTTTCTCTCTGTTTCTTCTTGCCTCTTCTTCCGCATCCACTCCTTATATTTCTCCTGGGCTTTCTCTTCAATCTCAGCACGTCTTTTCTCCTCTTGAAGCTGTTCTTTGCTTTTCTGAAACTCTTTGGACTCTCTCTCTTTCTTTTCCTGAGGACATAAACAGTGAAAGCATGAGGAGGAGAGCTGTCCCCAATGAAACGCAATGACACAAACTCAAATGAATCCTAGCAATAAAGTCTCAATGATTGGAGTTTCACAGAGACGTTACCTGCTCTCGTTTCATTCGCAGCCACTCTTGAATTTTGCAATCGCAGACGACTTTCTTCATCTGCTGGTTTTTCTTCTGCTCTTCCTCTTTTTCCTTCAGCGTGAGCTCCTGAAATATAGAGCTTAATGAATGCTTGTCGGACCAGGGTTATTATCATACACTACTATGACTATTCATAAACCGAATAATTCAAAGGAAAATGAAAAAAGTTGAATTGCTTTAAAAAAGTGAATACATTTTATGAATACATAAATTTCGATGTGAATACATTGTCAAATGTAATTTATTCCTGAGATCAAAGCTGAATTTTCAGCATTATTACTTCAGTGTCTTCAGTGTCACATGATCCTTCAGAAATCATTGAAACATTTTTTTTAGGATTCTTTGATAAATAGAAAGTGCAAAAGAACCGTGTTTATTTGAGATAGAAATGTTTTGTAACATTTTAAATGTCTTTACTCTCACTTTTGATCAATTTAATGCATCCTTGCGCATTCATTTCTTCCAAAACACAAAGTTTTGAACAGTGGTGTATATAAAATAAAAATGTCCATGTTACTAAAAAAAAAAAACACTGCTGAAAACAGTAGCACTAACATAAAAATATCCCCATAATAGTACAAAGAATGTTTTTTTGTCATGTACCTCCATAGCTTTCTGCTGTTTTCTGACACGCTCCTCTTTGGCTTTCTCCACAATCCACTGCTCCCAGGCACTCAGTCTGAAGTTCCCACTGGAAGATCTGTCTTCCAGGCCTGTTGAGTCCACCTCATCCCTGAAAGCATGTCTGATTTTACATGATAGATGATTATACATGATACATGACCACTGCTGTGCTGGTTTGGACATCTTTCCCTTGATGTGTAACTCAGCAAGCGCTCACCTGGAGGGAGAGACATCTTCGGCTAACGTGACGGTGATGTTGTGAACGCGCTGAGGCTGATCTGGCTCTGGTTCCTCGTCTGAAAGCTCAAAGCTGTCGTGATAGATGGGTGACAGCAGAGAGGACGTCGAGTCTCCGGTGGACTCCACGCTTCGGCTGCGCTGCGGGACGCTGGATTTCAGCGGGGTGGAGGTCAGACTCTTGGAGGAGGAGGATGGGAAGGCCGACATCATCAGCAAACCTGAGGATACAGAGAAATAGGGTATGTAACCAATGATGGTAACACCGTAGTACATTGCGATTTATGTACTACTATTGTAGTCTAATGCAAGGGTTTTCAAACTTAATCTGAAAAATAAAAAAGAATAATTAAACAATTGTATTACAATAAATAAATAAAAATTAGGTTCAAATGATATTAGATTAGATAAGTAAACAATACAACATTTTATTTAAATAAATAAATAGAGAATACATTTCAGTACAGTACTATCGTGAGTACAGAAAAAAAACAATGGAACTTAGCAAATTGTAAATATTTTCCAAATAATACTTCAACTGGTATAGTGTATAATTTAAATTAATATAAATTGGGGTCTTCGTGCATGACAATATAGGTGCCTTAGAGAATTTGGCAAGATGATTTGAATCGCTAAAAGATTGAAAACCTCGTTGTAACGTATTTTTAAAAAACATAATACCAAAAACATACTATTACCTCAATACCATGTTCAAAAACAACGTAGCAATATCATGTAGTTTTTGTTTCGAACTGAAGACATTTTGCAAGAGCACGTTTCAAGGGCACTAAACTGATTAAAACTAACTTTCTGTTAACTCTGGTTAAATCACAGCTGCACGTTTCGACGATACGTTTAAACTGCTCTTAAATTAGATAAATAAGTTTATAACCACTTTAACTAACTCACCATCTGGTCAGTTTAATCGCGAAATATTTCGTTGGATCGCTTTTGTTTTGGTTGATGTGCTCGAGCGTCTTCCTCTATCTAGCCCCGCCTCCTTCACATTGACCCGCCCCTTTGACATGTCAGTCATACTAACCTTGAAATACGATTGGTTGAGCAGCTGTAACCAAGCACGCTGGTAACGGAAGCCTTGTTTCCTAGCAACGTGGCGTCAGCGACAGCGTCAGACAAGGTAGAAAACACGCTTTGGTTGCTTTGCACTTTTCATTGTTTATTTATCGTTGTCTTCAGAATAACAACAGTTAATACATGATAATGTGTAAAAAAAGAAAAAAGAAAGAAAGAAAGAAAAAGAGATTCAAAGGTGATGGACAAGGACAATACTTCATACTTCAATACTTCAAAAGGGAAACACATCAAAGACACTGAAGTGCCTTTTAAATAGCCAATAGCGTTTCGTCGACTTTTATATAATGTTTGTGATATAATATTTTTTTTAATATTTTTTTTAATATTTTGAATTAGGCTAGATATCATTTTTATATTTTCTGTTTTTCACTTCAATTTTAGTTAAAGTTTTAGTAATTTTGTTGAGTATTTTTGTCATTTTTATTTATAAGATTTTTTTTTATTTTTTTTACTTAAACTAAAATGTTGTCCAGGCAACTAGCAGAAATAAAATATGTTTAAGTTATGGTTTTAGTTTTAGTTATGATATGGCTATCCTTCCTTATACAGCCCATATATATATATAAATTTTAAAAATGTTGTAAAATCTGAGATTTTTTTGCATTGTGACATTATTAATGTAGCCTTATAAAAATAATTACATATTTAACAGAATGTATACATCATGGTAGTATTTATACTTAACGTATTAAAAAAATCATTTTATAATAATATTAAAATAATTATAAAAAATTACAAAAAAAAAAAACATACAAATCGCCTCCACAACTACTGTAGATGTGAGAGTATTGCTCAGTTTTCTGTATCTCCTTAAAAAAAAGCTCCAGTAATCTCACATGTATCTCCTCTTGAGAAAATCAAATGATCCGTGCTGCTATCCGTATCCATTTTATAGCTCTATACTCTTACTGTATGTCAACTATTGACTCCCAAGACATTCAGGAGACATTTGATACTTCAATAAGAGAAAAATTAGATCTCTATTAAATCATCTGAGCTATAAAAACATTGTCTCGGAAAGGAAATATAAGCTGCACACTTTGGTAATGCACTTAAATGCAGCAACATCAGAGTCGTGTGAGTTTAACAAACTTCAATATGATAATATTTTATACATTTTTACTCTAGCTCAATGTAGCAACCAGCCAGAACAACTTATCTATCTTAACATTTTCTCCTCACATTCGGTATAAAGAGGAACACGTTTGATGTAGAGGACTGGACTGGTACGTTTTTTCGTGCCCTGACTATCATTGATATTAAAGTGTCCAGTTTATTCCATTCCGAGTTATTTTAATATCCTCTTCTCTGTTCTCTCTAATGCTGGATACATTATGACAGATGTGGAACAAAACATAGATTTAGAGAGAGAGAGATAGACCTTGTACCTTTATATAACAACAATGTAATTGTTCCCAGAAGGTCAAACTCTAATAATAATCTCAACATAATCAGCTCATATTTTTCGTCAAAACAGGATTAACCAGCAACCCACTTAGTCTAATTCTGTCTGAGGTGTCTGTTTATCCATTAACTTAATTATATTAGAAAGCGTCACTCTAAAAAGGTGCAAAACTATATATTATAGGCTACAGATTCAAGACAATGCAGAAGATGGTTTAAGATAAATAAATAAAAATACAGTGATGGTACTTTGATACTATAGACTATTAGAGGACACCGGGGCTAGTTGTCACACAGGAGAGTATATATACTGTATATTGTAATTTTTATTTTTTATTCCTAATGGCGAAAATGAGGCTTTGATATTTTATTACCTTTTCCATTTGGCAATTTCCTGATTTATGTATATAGCCTATATAAGTCAACGTGTTCAATGGAAATGTTAAATGTTTTCATTTTTTAGTCAAAACTTTAAAAATCATGATAAATAGGCTATTTTAATGAGAAAAGGTGTGATAACTACTCTCCCCCCTACCTACCATGGTCCTGAATGATTTCCATATTCATATAGGCCTGTACTATTGACATATAGACTCCAAGGCGATTTCAAGTATCCTATAGTAATACCATGGTACTTGTCCAATAAAATCATCATAATACCATGGTACTTTTGCGTGAAAACTTATTTATTTACTAATCTAATTTAAAGGGATAGTTCACCCAAAAAAATCTGTCATCATTTACTCACCCTAATGTTGTTCCAAACCTGTATGAATTTATTTCTTCCGTTGAACACAAAACAAGATTAAAGAATGTTAATCCGACAGGTGACGGCAGGGCAGCCATTGACTTCCATAATAGGAAAAACAAATACTATGATACAGTCAACTGTTTGATTACCAACATTCTTCAAAAATATCTTCTTTTGTGTTCAACAGGAGAAAGAAACTCATACAGGTTGTTTGGAGCAACATGAGGGTGATTTCTTTTGGAGCGAACTATCCCTTTAAGAGCTCGCGTTGCGTTCTAGTTCGTCGCGTCGCGTCCGCGTTCCTCCTGCGCAAATCCCGGGATGCTGGTTGCCATGGTTTCCCGCATCACATGCGCGGCTTTCCTGTAGCCAGCAGCAGGAGAGAGAGAAAAAATGCCAGCTCTTGAAATCCCAGCCATTTTTACGCCCGCAAATTAGAGGACACGGTCGGGACACGGTGGGAAACACACGCAGATGGTGGAATAGCGAGAAATCCGTCGCGTTCCCTCTGACGCGTTTTGCGGGTCATTCTTCTCAGCTGACGCGGCGAAACGGGACCGACCGACTGTTGTTGTACGTATACGCGCAAGACCGGGCCGAATTTTGCGCACATTTCACCGTCAGGAAATGAGTATAGAAATCCCCGAGGGCTTGACGGAGCTTCTGCAGAGCTTTACCGTGGAGGTCCTGAGGAACCAGCCGGGGGATCTGCTGGAGTTCGCGCTGCAATACTTCACGCGTCTCAAGGAGAACGAGACCCGCGGCGGCGCGTTCGGCAATGAACACAATTCAGCCTCGCGAGCGGGCAAAGCCGTCAACTTCATCGAGGAGGCCATGCAGATCGACTCTGAAAACGGAGAGGAGGATGATGATGATGATGACGATGAAGAATTCGTAGGTAATACATTCTGACAACTGGGACCATCAGCTGTATCCTCATTTATACAGGCATCCTTCCTTTGCATATTTAATGCATCACAACATTGTCCAAACTGGCAGAATCAGTGATCTTTTGTTCAGTGCTAATGCATGATCACACATCTCCTTGATGATGATGATGATGATGATAAAAATGAGGGGTCAGCTCACTGCAGAGGGGGTTGGAACAAAGACCAGGCTTAATTGGCTTGGTTTTATCATATGAATGTGCTCATTTCCATGCTTTTCGGATGGAAGCTCTGGTTATTATTCATAAAAGTGATACTAGGCCCTGTGTGCATTAAATACTTGGCATGATGTGTACAGTGCACACAGGCCTATTTTTATTTTTGCATGCATGCAAATTATGATGTGTGTCATATTGGGAAGTATCACTATCAATTATGAGGCACAAACATTTAGACTTTGGTCAAGCTGAAAGATGCTTCCTGGGTGTGGACGGATCCATCTATAGGCCATTACTGTGGCATCTTGAATGTAATATTTTATATTAACATTTGATTTTATTGTAATGCACCACAAGTCATTTTATTTATCAATCCTTTTTCTATCTTTCCTTTCAGCTCCGGTTATCAACAGATTTGTACGGAGAGCTTCTGGTAAGTTCCTTGCGATGCAATTCAACTGTGTATGAGCCTAATATAGGCCTGTGCAATTTCAGGAATATGATTATTAACTCCTATTTTAGGTGCTGAAGGTTCTGAAATCATTATTGGGTTCTTGGACACTAACAACACTATATATCTGGAACACAACACAATTGGACACTAGTGCATGCATCAGAGAAATCACCTTTGCTGAAGAGCTTTCTATGAAGATTCATATTGTTGCTAATATAGTAGCGATCTATTGTTGAAACAGATTTGGTGGCCAAGAGAGAATCTACTTATTAGCAATTTGTTGACGATATCCTGCTTATGGAACATCTAACTCTGGTTAATGAGCCTGTGTTTGTGATTTGAGTGCCTTTTGTCTTGTTATTGTTAACATATTATTTACTTCTTTACTGCTCTCAGAGCAAATGAGAGGCTAATGGTTTAATTGACTAATGGAAGATTAGCATTGTTTGCAGAACGAAAGTGTTTCAGATGCTGTGAAGTTCTGTCTCTCGTGGATCGCTCAGAGCCACAAGTGAGGACGGATGGAGAGATTTTGATGTACTGTGGTTTAAGGAAGGACTGAAATAGGAAGTAAAGCCGGTTTGTGATGGGGAAAATGGGATTTTGGTGATCGAATAATAAGAAATGTGTTTATAATGGGCGGAAAATGACATTCATTCCTTATAATGAAGTGATAAATAGATGTATGGATGGATGTATGTATGGATGGATGGATGGATGATGGATGGATGGACCGATGGATGGATGGATGGATGGATGGATAGATAGATAGATAGATAGATAGATAGATAGATAGATAGATAGATAGATAGATAGATAGATAGATAGATAGATAGATGATGGATAGATGGATGGAATGATAGATAGATAGATGGAATAATAGATAGATAGATAGATAGATGATGGATGGATGGAATGATAGATAGATAGATAGATAGATAGATAGATAGATAGATAGATAGATAGATAGATAGATAGATAGATAGATAGATGGATGGATGGATGGATGAATGGATGGATGAATGGATGGATGGATGGATGGATAGATGATGGATGGATGGATGGATGGATAGATAGATAGATAGATAGATAGATAGATAGATAGATAGATAGATAGATAGATAGATAGATAGATAGATAGATAGATAGATAGATAGATAGATAGATAGCACTTTACTGTAATGGAAAATGGTTTCTACAAAGCTAAATCTAGTTCTGTTATTTGTAACAATTAATCATGAGAGTCTCAAAGTGTTGAACTTAGTTCCCGTCTGGTTTATTTCATATCAGGTTTTTAATAGAATAGCGTGAGCTCTGCTCTCTTTCTGTGACTGAAAACTGCTCAGATCTGACCAGATGTGACCAACAATCACGTGAAATGAAGAATACAGTACTGTTCAGAAGTTTGGGGTCATTAAGATATTTTTTGAATGAAAAAGTAACACTTTTATTGAGCAAGGATACGTTTAATTGATCAAAAGTGACAGTAAATACATTTATAATGTTACAAAATATTTCTATTTCAAATAAACGCTGTTCTTTTGAACTTTCTATTCACCAAAGAATCCTGAAAAAAATGCAGCATAGTTTCCTCTAAAATATGAAACAGCACAACTGTTTTCAACATTGATAATAATCAGAAATGTTTCTTGAGCAGCAAATCATCATATTAGAGTGATTTCTGAAGAATCATGTGACACTGAAGACTGGAGTAATGATGCTGAAAATTCAGCTTTGATCACTGGAATAAATTACATTTTAAATTACAATATTGTAATTTAAATGAAATTTTACTGTATTTTTGATCAAATAAATGCAGCCTTGGTGAGCAGAAGAGAAGAGAGTCGTACCGACCGCAAACTTTTGAGTGGTGTATGATCTATAGAGAACAACGAGAACAAACCAAGACTGTAAAGTACCAATATCAAGGCAAAACACTGAACACGTGACCAGTATTTCTGTGATTTTCTGCATCTGGTGAGCTGAGTCATCTAAAACTTACTTGAAATGAAAGACCAAACATTGGGAAATAGGCCCTGGATTGATGTGCACAATAGCCTGAGAGATCTAGAGCTGATCAGTCGAGATGGTTCTTGTAGGGTTCCTGGCCCTGAAACTTTAGTATGGATCTAGACGCTGGAGTTCCTGGTCTTGTCTTCTCTGTGTTGGTATTTATTGTAGGAATACTGGGAGAGGAGAGCAGACGATCCTCTCATCTCTCGCTCGTGTGTAACAGCACTGCAAGCAGATTTCTATCAAACTTTTCTTAAATATAAAGCTTCTTTATTGGCATCGATGGTCCCAGGAAGAACCTTTGCACTGCATAAACGGTTCTTTATTGTGGAAAATAATTCTTAAATTATTAGTTTAGATTTAGAATGACTGTGAAACCTTTATTTTTAGTTCATCTCAAAATGAAAGTTCACTCCTTCTGCTTTCAATACAGTGAAATAAAAAAGCATTTTAAGTACAATGAAAGTATTTAATACAACTCGTGCGCTATATTGAATTAGCTTTTTTTATTTATTTCTTTAGTTTAATTTTTAGTATTTTTAAGTGCTTTTTGTTTTTAAATATTACTATTTAGGTTTAATTTATTTTTATTTCAATTTTAGTTTTCATTTTTACTAATTTTGTAATGTGTTTTTGTCATTTTTCTTAATATTATTCTTATTTCTTTTTAAATCTTACTGTTTAGGTTTACTTTTCTTATTCCCAGGGTTCTTTCACATTTCCCAAAGCAAAATTTCATACTTTTCCAGAGTAAAATTTCCAGACTTTTCTGTGGATTTTTCAGACCCTATTTAACATCTGATAAATGGTTTTAAAATCCAGCTGTTATCATGCATGTTACATTCTGACTTTGAATATTATGTTGCCAAGTAATTGCCGGACTATTATAGCTAGGTTCTGTAGCTCATAAAAACACTGACAAAAAAAAAAAAACCTCTCACATTTAATTAACCCTCAAAACCCTATAACACCTGTGGTCTTCCCGGGTCAAAATGACCGGCCTATAAAAAATAGCTTATAAATCACTCATTATACCATATTTTCACCCAATCTTGGATTTGATCTTTTTGTCAACTTGTTCTCTTTAAATTAGGACTGGTTTTGTATTTAATTTTCAAACGGTTTAATTGTAGGAGTCATTTATCCGAGCTTATGCACTTCAGTTTTTGAGTGAAAAAAGCATTATTTGTTAATAGTTTTGGCAATATTGAGTAAAATATGAAAAAAAATTGCACTGTTGATCACACTTGTCTACTTTAATATTTAATGACACCGTTTGTTTTGAAATTTGTGGGGGTTTTTGCACAAAATGACACAGAGTCACACTTGTGGTGTTCCCGGTCATTGAAAGTGAATGGGGGAGACTAAAAATTAGAGAAAAATTTAGTTGTCAGGAGCATGTTCATGTTCATGTTCACAGTACATGTGTGCTTAAAGACATAAAGCCCTTGTACATGTGCATGCGTGGATACATGCGCACACACACACACACACACACACACACACACACAAACTATTTTCTGAATGACACGTTCTTTTTCACAGTGATGAAATTGATCCTACCCTGAACTGCATCTAATATCCATTCATCTATCTGACATTATCACACACACACACACACACACACACACACACACACACACACACACACACCCACACACACACACACACACACACACACACTTAAAGTAGACTAGTGTGATCAAGAGTACCAATTTTCTAAAAAAAATAAAAAATCCAAAATGATTCAAAAATAAAGTTTTTTTTACTCAAAAAATGAGATGCCTACTCTCAGATAAATGAGGCCCACGATTAATTAGATGCAAATGGAAATACAAAACCAGTCCTAATTGAACGAGAACAAGTTGACAAAAATATTGAATCCAAGATTGGGTGAAAATATGCTATAATGAGTGATTTATAAGTATTTTTTTATAGGCCGGTCATTTTGACCCGGGAAGACCACAAGTGTAACAAGGTAACAAACCCCCCCTAAAAAAGTACGAAACTTTTCAAAAAACATTTGAGAAGTAGTTATACCCTTTGGGAACAAAGTCACTAAGTTTCAGTCCAATGCGATAACATTAACTAGTATTTTTGGGAAAAAGATAATCTTCTCCGGGTCAAAATGACCCGAAGACCACATGAGGGTTAAATGTGTTACTTGCCATTTCTTTGTGATTAACTCAAATTTACTAGCAAATTCTGAGTAAAGATTGTATTTAAAAAAAAGAAGGGGAGGGGGAGCACTGGCATATAAAGCCACAGGATAACCAGATGCTAACTAGGAACAGGTGAGGGTAATCAATCACTATGGCAACAAACTATATATACAACACTGGGAACAGAAAATACACTTCAAAATAAAAGTCCTAATAGAAAAAACAAGAAACACAAAACCGGGGAACATGCAACAGTGGGAAACGTACCCGAAATTAAGTCATTATCCACTAAAAACCTTATCTTAAATGCCTCTGAGTTTATAAAAGAGCAGCTTGGACAATCTGCTAAACATCTCCTTTTGTGTTTGACTAAAGAAAGAAAGTCATTAAGCTTCAGAACGACATAAGGATGAGAAAATTATGCCTTTATTTTCATTTTTAGGTGTTTTAACCATTTAAACAATCCAATAAACCAAATGAAAGTAGACATTAAGATTCAGATCTTCATAAAATTGGTTGAATAAAAGAATAAAAAATTAAAAAAGAATAAAAGAATAAAAATTATATTTTAACAGGTTGCACAAAGCACAGTATTTTAATTTGAGCAGTAATGCTTTGTCTAGACAGGTCGTTTTAATCCTGCTTCCGATTTACTGCATTTATTCCTCTCTGGACAGTTTGTGCGGAGGCGTACAACCCTGATGAGGATGAAGAGGAGAGAGAACCCAGGGTGAGTGGCCTCTCAAAACAGGATAGATTTTCCTCTTTTATGCATTTCTGTGGCATCTGCTGCTGCCCAGTATCCCACAATGCTTTGCTGTGCACTTCAGGTCACTTACCCCAAAACAGATGAGCAGAGACAGAGACTACAGGAAGCCTGCAAAGACATCCTATTGTTCAAAAATCTGGACCAGGTAAGATGATGAACACTTCAGAAGATGATAAGACACCATTTTCTTCAATATAACAACATGTTTTGGTGAATTTGTTGTCAGACAGACACTAAGATTAACATGGATGGGTTGTTGCTTAGTTACTTCTAGAATTTTTTTTCCAAGGCAACATTTATATTTTTTTCATCTAACATTTATATTTGATTTCAGTTTTATTTCAATTAACAAAAAAAACATTTTGAATAGTTTTAGTGTTAGAGAACCATAATAACCCTGTTCCAAATATGACATCATTTAATTTATTTTTTATATTTTTTTATATTTATATTTATATATTATTTATATATATTTATTATTTATATATATTTTATATTATATTTATTTATATATATAAAAAAAGAGAAGTTTTAAGAAGTGTTTTTGTAATTTTTTAACATGTCTATATATAGTTTTTGTTAATATTTATTTCAGTTTTAGTTATGTTTCAAGTTAAATTAAAATTGATTAATCGCATTTAACATAAACGTTTGTATATATATATATATACACACACACAGTCACACACACACACAATAATATATATATATATGTATATATATTTCAGTTCATGTTTATTTTATTTCAAGCAACAAAATGTTTTTATGGTTTTAGGAACAAACCCAAATGTATGTAGTTATTCACCTGAAATCTGTTAAATATCTCCTTTTATATATGATGGAAGAAATAACGATGCCAGAGGAGTCAGTTAGGCTCCCTTTAACACAAGAAAGGCTCATATATGTTTGCTCTTTGAATGAACAGGAGCAGATATCCCAAGTCTTGGATGCCATGTTTGAGAAGGTAGTGGTGACAGGAGAGCACATCATTGATCAAGATGACGATGGCGACAACTTTTACGTCATTGAAAGGTAAACTGGATTCATCTCTGCATCGTAATGCTGGAGTTTTAACCAGTCAGACATCGATATCATGTGCTCGTCATACAGGGGCATGTTTGACATCGAGCTGAAAGCAGACGGCACCACGCGGATCGTGGGATCTTATGACAACCGTGGGAGTTTTGGAGAGCTGGCCCTCATGTACAACACGCCAAGGGCCGCCACCATCATCGCTACCTCACCTGGAGCCCTGTGGTGCCTCGTGAGTGATTCCTGTCATCATTTACTCTTTAAAGCCGCATGACACGCTTTATTCAGTGGAACGCAAATGAAGATAGTTTAATAAATATTCAGTGGCGTGAATCAAGTGCAGTTACAGTACATCACTTTCTAAGTGCTCAGATTAGTTTCCAATCTGGTAACACTTTATTTTAAGGTGCTTGTAATAAGCAGTAATTAACAGTTAATAAGACACTTATAAGACCTTATAAGATGCATATAAGATGCATATAAGCATTAACTACTTCATATAAGGGTTAATTAAAGGTTCAGGCCCTGAAGAGATCAGGGAAACTACTCCCTCTTGGGAAGGTACATTTTTTAAGTGACTGGGAGTTTGTGTTACCATTTATGTTTGTTCGGCTGTTCTAAAAGTGCAATGTATTGATACTTGAGAAATGTATTATTTAATTTAATTTATTTATTATAATTAGTTAATGCTTATATGCATCTTATATGCATCTTATAAGGTCTTATAAGTGTCTTATTAACTGTTAATTACTGCTTATTACAAGCACCTTAAAATAAAGTGTTACCCATTATTATTTTGTTATATTATTCTTTTCTGAAAAAGTAGCGATTCTTTTTGAAAAAAGTAATGTAAAAAGTAATTATACATTTGTTACAGTCTTATACATTTATTACAATGTAATTACACGTTTATTACAATGTAATTATACATTTATTACAGTGTTATTATACATTACAATGTAATTATACGTTTATTACAATGTAATTATACATTTATTACAGTGTTATTATACATTACAATGTAATTATACGTTTATTACAATGTAATTATACGTTTATTACAATGTAATTATACATTTATTACAGTGTTATTATACATTTATTACAATGTAATTATACATTTATTACAATGTAATTATACATTAGAGTGCTATTATACATTTGTTACCTTATTATTATTATACATTTGTTACATTATTATTTTGTTACATTATTCTTTTTGGAAAAGTAGCGATTCTTTTTGAAAAAAGTAGTGTAAAAAAATGTAATTATACATTTGTTACAGTCTTATTATACATTAAAATGTAATTATATGTTTATTTCAATGTAATTACATGTTTATTTCAATGTAATTATACATTTATTACAGTGTTATTATACATTTATTACAATGTAGATATATGTTTATTACAATGTAATTATATTACAGTGTTATACATTTATTGCAATGTAATTATGTTTGTTACCTTATTATTCTTTTTGAAAAAGTAGCGATTCTTTTTGAAAAAAGTAGTGTAAAAAATGTAATTAGACATTTGTAACAGTCTTATTATACATTTATTACAATGTAATTATACGTTTATTACAATGTAATTATACATTTATTACAGTGTTATTATACATTACAGTGTTATTATACATTTGTTACATTATTATTATTATACATTTGTTACATTATTATTTTGTTACATTCTTTTTTTAAAGTAGCAAAAAAGTAGCTTTTTTGAAAAAGTACCGATTCACTTTTTAAAAAAGTAGCGATTCTTTTTGAAAAAAGTAGCGATTCTTTTTGTAAAAGTAGCGATTCTTTTTTGAAAAAAGTGTTAAAAATGTATTATACATTTGTTACAGTCTTATTACACATTTATAACAATGTAATCATACATTTATTACAGTGTTATTATACATTACAATGTAATTATACGTTTATTACAATGTAATTATACGTTTATTACAATGTAATTATAGTTTATTACATTATAATTACACGTTTTTTACAATGTATTTATACATTTATTACAGTGTTATTATACATTTATTACAATGTAATTATACGGTTATTATAATGTAATTATACATTACGGTGTTATTATACATTACAATGTAATTATACGTTTATTACAATGTAATTATACATATCGTTATTATACATTTACTACAATGTAATTATACATTTATTACAGTGTTATTATACATTTGTTACATTATTATTATTATTATACATTTGTTACATTATTATTTTGTTACATTATTTTTGAAAAAGTAGCGATTATTTTTGTAAAAGTAGCGATTCTTTTTGTAAAAGTAGCGATTCTTTTTGAAAAAGTAGCGATTCTTTTTTGAATAAGTAGCAATTCTTTTTGTAAAAGTAGCGATTCTTTTTGAAAAAAGTAGCGATTCTTTTTGAAAAAGTAGCGATTATTTTTGAAAAAGTAGCGATTCTTTTTGTAAAAGTAGCGATTCTTTTTGAAAAAGTAGCAATTCTTTTTGAAAAAGTAGCGATTCTTTTTGTAAAAGTAGCGATTCTTTTTTGAATAAGTAGCAATTCTTTTTGAAAAAGTAGCGATTCTTTTTGAAAAAGTAGCGATTCTTTTTGAAAAAAGTTGCGATTCTTTTTGGAAAAAGTAGCGATTCTTTTTGAAAAAAGTTGCGATTCTTTTTTGAATAAGTAGCAATTCTTTTTGAAAAAGTAGCGATTCTTTTTGAAAAAGTAGCGATTCTTTTTGAAAAAGTAGCGATTCTTTTTTGAATAAGTAGCGATTCTTTTTGAAAAAGTAGCGATTCTTTTTTTAATAAGTAGCAATTCTTTTTGAAAAAGTAGCGATTCTTTTTGAAAAAGTAGCGATTCTTTTTGAAAAAAGTTGCGATTCTTTTTGGAAAAAGTAGCAATTCTTTTTGAAAAAAGTTGCGATTCTTTTTGAAAAAGTAGCAATTCTTTTTTGAAAAAAGTATCAATTCTTTTAGAAAAAGTAGCAATTCATTTTTGAAAAAGTAGTGATTCATTTTTGAAAAAGTAGTGATTTTACTGAATCTGTAAGTCAGCTACACTATTTAATTCTGAATATTATATTTTATTCTGGTGCGCTTAACGTTATCGTTTTCTCAGAGTTTAGGCTCCTGTGTAACAGTAGCCTAGGCTATTAAGCAACTCAAACATACCAAATCAACAATTACTACAAACACACAAAAACTGATTTTCCACGGGCATTGCACTAGTCCTACCAATGCCTAAACTTATCAACTTCCTTACTATTAATAAGGAGTAATTAGGAGTTTATTGAGACAAAAGTCGTAGTTAATAGTTCATTGTGAGAATTGGACCCTAAACTAAAGTGTGACCCTTATTTTTTATGGAATATTGCAGTATTCATTATAATTTTTATCCGTGCACATTTTTATTTATTCATTTAACAAAATAACTTCCCCTCGCTCTTGCAGCGACTTCTCTTCTCTGATGATGAGGGCGGGGCAACCTGTCACTCACATGAGATCACACCAATAGCAATCCACAACCATCCAATCAATTCTCCACAAGCCCCGCCCTACATTTGTTCTTGTTCCAGAAGCCGTCACAATAGGGAAGAAAAGGCTATCGCAACTTCCGTTTCATGTCGACTTTAAGCAATTTTACCGTAAAATCACATGCTAAATGCCTTGTTCTCTTCGCCAAGAGCATTTCATGTGTGCTTTGTGTTAGAGCGCCCTCTGCTTTTCATAGAAACTATTGAAATTACAGGACTATCCACCTTTTTCCTAACAAGCTAACTGCATTTTTGATTATGGGAGGCATTTCCAGTTTGAGGAAGTTCCACTCCAAAAGACTAAAACAAATCATTTCAAATCAAAAGGATGCACTACAAATAATCCTTGTTTTGTCAGGATAATATCGTAACGCTTGGTATTTTAATGTGACATGCTATAACAAGAATATCTTTGGAAAGAGCTCTTTTCAGTCACTGCGTTCTTTTCCTCCTGATTATTTTCTTTTTTCCTTTGTATTCCGCTGTAACAGTATGAAAAAAAAAGACATGACATATTTATGATATATCCCAACCTATGTTGCAAAATACAGACATATACAGTATTACATATATTACGGGGTTAATCATGGTCTGTGGTAGTAATTTTGTTAATGCTTTTACACTTTTGAATGTCCTTTTAATGTTCAACGGATGAAGGGTGAGTAGAATAATGTCATCTTATTGTCCCACGGTTTTTGAAAATCCCTATTATTGCATTCATTGAGCGAAACTTTCACTTATTGTTTACAATTTACCGAAAGGGAAGTTACTCCCATAATTTGTGCAAAGCGTCATGGAGCGTAGGAAAAAGGGATAAATCCCTCTTTCTCTGCCTTTCATTGCTTTCCTGGAGTGTAAAATATTGTTTTGTATTTTTCTTTGTTTAAATGCCCCTAGGATCGATTGACATTCAGAAGGATCATCTTAAAGAACAACGCGAAGAAAAGAAAAACGTACGAGGCTTTTATCGGAACCCTTCCTCTGCTCACGTCACTGGAGGTCTGAACACACACACTTTACTTCTGCATGTGCAGTCCTCTCGTTGATTTCATGAATAAATGTGTCTCTTGTTTTAGGTTTCAGAGAGAATGAAGGTTGTTGATGTCTTGTCGACCAAAGTGTACAATAGTGGGGAACAGATCATTGCTCAGGTTAGTCTGACAGAACTAATAAAGAAAATATTTCGACCAATTATTACGGGTTCCCACAGTCATGGAACACCTGGAAACCATGCACATTTTTTTTTTCTGTTTAATTTCTGCATTTATGCTTGCCACTAAAATATTTAATGAGATTTGAGTACAAATTATGAGTTCAACGTGTATAAAATGATTTTTAACAATTGGAAAAATCGTGAAATAATGGCTCATCCAATCAGATTTTAGTGATGGTGCTATATGTTATACACTTCCGTTCATATGTTTGAGCTCAGTACGATTTTTGTATGCAAAATTAAAACTTTTATTCAGCAAGGATGCATTAAATTGATCAAAAGTGACAGTAAAAAGATTTATAATGTTATTTATAATGTTTAATGCATCTTTCTATTCATCAAAGGATCCTGAAAATATGTATTGCAGTTTTCACAAATATATTATGCAGCACAACGTTTCTCGAGCAACAAATCATCATATTAGAGTGATTTCTGAAGGATCATGTGACACTGAAGACTGGAGTAATGATGCTGAAAATTCAGCTTTGATCACAGGAATAAATTCAATCTTACAAATATACCAACATACAAAAACAGTTGTAATAATATTTTACAATATTTCTGTTTTTTACTGTATTTTTGATCAAATAAATGCAGCCTTGGTGTGCAAAAGAGTTAAAAATCTTACAGACCCGAAACATTTAAACGTGCATCTGCAGTGCTTAGTGGTTATCCTTGTTTTCACAGGGTGATTTGGCAAACAGTTTCTACATCGTAGAGTCAGGACACGTTAGGATCACTATGAAAAGGAGCAAGGTGAGTCAAAAATGTGTTTTACCACAAGAATCACTGTTTACAACACATTTCGGTTCATTATGCATCTTAATAAACCAACATGCCTTTCAGCTTTAAAAGGTTCACATGCATGACATTCCGGTGTCATTACCTCTCTTTTAGTCAAAAAACGATACTGAAGACGAGGAGGTGGAAATCGCCACATGCTCTAGAGGGCAGTATTTTGGGGAGTTGGCGCTCGTCACCAACAAGCCACGGGCGGCTTCTGCATATGCCATGGACAACGTCAAATGCTTAGGTAATGAATTATAATTATACATTCACTGGTCACTTTATAAGGTACACCTGTTCAACTGCTCGTTAATGCAAAGATCAGCCAATCACATGGCAGCAACTCAATGGATTTAGGCATGCAGACACGATCAAGACTACCTGCTGAAGTTCAAACTGAGCATCAGAATGAAGAAGAAAATGGATTTAAGTGATTTTGAACATGTCATGGTTGTTGGTGCCAGACGGGCTGGTCTGAGTATTTCAGAAACTGCCTTTCTACTGGGATTTTCACACACATCAATCTCTAGGGTTTACAGAGAATGGTCCAAAAAAGAGGAAATATCCAGTGAGCGTCAGTTGTGGGAGAAAATGCCTTGTTGATGTCAGAGGTCTGAGAATGACCAGATTCAAGCTGATAGAAAGGCAACAGTAACTCAAATAAGCACTCGATACAAGCGAGCTCTGCAGAAGAGCATCTCTGAACACAGAAGAGCATCTCTGAACACGGAAGAGCATCTCTGAACACAGAAGAGCATCTCTGAACACAGAAGAGCATCTCTGAACACGGAAGAGCATCTCTGAACACAGAAGAGCATCTCTGAACACGGAAGAGCATCTCTGAACACAGAAGAGCATCTCTGAACACAGAAGAGCATCTCTGAACACAGAAGAGCATCTCTGAACACAGAAGAGCATCTCTGAACACAGAAGAGCGTCTCTGAACACGGAAGAGCATCTCTGAACACAGAAGAGCATCTCTGAACACGGAAGAGCATCTCTGAACACAGAAGAGCATCTCTGAACACAGAAGAGCATCTCTGAACACAGAAGAGCATCTCTGAACACAGAAGAGCATCTCTGAACACAGAAGAGCATCTCTGAACACGGAAGAGCATCTCTGAACACGGAAGAGCATCTCTGAACACGGAAGAGCATCTCTGAACACTGAAGAGCATCTCTGAACACAGAAGAGCATCTCTGAACACAGAAGAGCATCTCTGAACACGGAAGAGCATCTCTGAACACGGAAGAGCATCTCTGAACACAGAAGAGCATCTCTGAACACGGAAGAGCATCTCTGAACACAGAAGAGCATCTCTGAACACGGAAGAGCATCTCTGAACACAGAAGAGCATCTCTGAACACAGAAGAGCATCTCTGAACACGGAAGAGCATCTCTGAACACAGAAGAGCATCTCTGAACACGGAAGAGCATCTCTGAACACGGAAGAGCATCTCTGAACACGGAAGAGCATCTCTGAACACAGAAGAGCGTCTCTGAACACGGAAGAGCATCTCTGAACACAGAAGAGCATCTCTGAACACGGAAGAGCATCTCTGAACACAGAAGAGCATCTCTGAACACGGAAGAGCATCTCTGAACACAGAAGAGCATCTCTGAACACGGAAGAGCATCTCTGAACACGGAAGAGCATCTCTGAACACGGAAGAGCATCTCTGAACACAGAAGAGCATCTCTGAACACGGAAGAGCATCTCTGAACACAGAAGAGCATCTCTGAACACGGAAGAGCATCTCTGAACACAGAAGAGCATCTCTGAACACAGAAGAGCATCTCTGAACACGGAAGAGCATCTCTGAACACAGAAGAGCATCTCTGAACACGGAAGAGCATCTCTGAACACGGAAGAGCATCTCTGAACACGGAAGAGCATCTCTGAACACGGAAGAGCGTCTCTGAACACGGAAGAGCGTCTCTGAACACGGAAGAGCATCTCTGAACACGGAAGAGCATCTCTGAACACGAAAGAGCATCTCTGAACACGGAAGAGCATCTCTGAACACGGAAGAGCATCTCTGAACACGGAAGAGCATCTCTGAACACGGAAGAGCATCTCTGAACACAGAAGAGCATCTCTGAACACGGAAGAGCATCTCTGAACACAGAAGAGCATCTCTGAACACGGAAGAGCATCTCTGAACACAGAAGAGCATCTCTGAACACAGAAGAGCATCTCTGAACACGGAAGAGCATCTCTGAACACAGAAGAGCATCTCTGAACACGGAAGAGCATCTCTGAACACAGAAGAGCATCTCTGAACACGGAAGAGCATCTCTGAACACAGAAGAGCATCTCTGAACACGGAAGAGCATCTCTGAACACGGAAGAGCATCTCTGAACACAGAAGAGCATCTCTGAACACGGAAGAGCATCTCTGAACACGGAAGAGCATCTCTGAACACAGAAGAGCATCTCTGAACACAGAAGAGCATCTCTGAACACGGAAGAGCATCTCTGAACACAGAAGAGCATCTCTGAACACAGAAGAGCATCTCTGAACACGGAAGAGCATCTCTGAACACGGAAGAGCATCTCTGAACACAGAAGAGCATCTCTGAACACAGAAGAGCATCTCTGAACACGGAAGAGCATCTCTGAACACAGAAGAGCATCTCTGAACACGGAAGAGCATCTCTGAACACGGAAGAGCATCTCTGAACACAGAAGAGCATCTCTGAACACTGAAGAGCATCTCTGAACACGGAAGAGCATCTCTGAACACAGAAGAGCATCTCTGAACACAGAAGAGCATCTCTGAACACAGAAGAGCATCTCTGAACACAGAAGAGCATCTCTGAACACAGAAGAGCATCTCTGAACACGGAAGAGCATCTCTGAACACAGAAGAGCATCTCTGAACACAGAAGAGCATCTCTGAACACGGAAGAGCATCTCTGAACACAGAAGAGCATCTCTGAACACGGAAGAGCATCTCTGAACACAGAAGAGCATCTCTGAACACAGAAGAGCATCTCTGAACACGGAAGAGCATCTCTGAACACAGAAGAGCATCTCTGAACACAGAAGAGCATCTCTGAACACAGAAGAGCATCTCTGAACACAGAAGAGCATCTCTGAACACAGAAGAGCATCTCTGAACACGGAAGAGCATCTCTGAACACAGAAGAGCATCTCTGAACACAGAAGAGCATCTCTGAACACGGAAGAGCATCTCTGAACACAGAAGAGCATCTCTGAACACGGAAGAGCATCTCTGAACACTGAAGAGCATCTCTGAACACAGAAGAGCATCTCTGAACACGGAAGAGCATCTCTGAACACTGAAGAGCGTCTCTGAACACAGAAGAGCATCTCTGAACACGGAAGAGCATCTCTGAACACGGAAGAGCATCTCTGAACACAGAAGAGCATCTCTGAACACAGAAGAGCATCTCTGAACACGGAAGAGCATCTCTGAACACAGAAGAGCATCTCTGAACACGGAAGAGCATCTCTGAACACTGAAGAGCATCTCTGAACACAGAAGAGCATCTCTGAACACTGAAGAGCATCTCTGAACACGGAAGAGCATCTCTGAACACAGAAGAGCATCTCTGAACACAGAAGAGCATCTCTGAACACAGAAGAGCATCTCTGAACACAGAAGAGCATCTCTGAACACAGAAGAGCATCTCTGAACACGGAAGAGCATCTCTGAACACAGAAGAGCATCTCTGAACACAGAAGAGCATCTCTGAACACGGAAGAGCATCTCTGAACACAGAAGAGCATACACAGAAGAGCATCTCTGAACACAGAAGAGCATCTCTGAACACAGAAGAGCATCTCTGAACACATAAGAGCATCTCTGAACACAGAAGAGCATCTCTGAACACGGAAGAGCATCTCTGAACACGGAAGAGCATCTCTGAACACAGAAGAGCATCTCTGAACACAGAAGAGCATCTCTGAACACGGAAGAGCATCTCTGAACACGGAAGAGCATCTCTGAACACACAACACCTCGAACATTGAAGCAGAAGACGCACACCAGTGTCACTCCTGTCAGATGAGAACAGCAAACTAAGGCAACAATTCACACGGACTCATCAAAACTGGACAATAGAAGATTGGAGAAACGTTGCCTGGTCTGATGAGTCTCCATTTCTGCTGGGACATTCAGATGGTCGGGTCAGAATTTGGCATACGCAACATGAGAGCATGGATCCATCCTGCCTTGTATCAGCGGCTCAGGCTGCTGGTGCTGTAATGGTGTTTTCTTTGCACACTTTGGGGCTTTAGTATCAATTGAACATCGTTTAAACACCACAGCCGACCTGAGTATTGTTGAAGACCATGTCCATCCCTTTAAGACCACAGTGTTTTCATCTTCTGATGGCTACTTCCAGCAGGATACCAGACATGTCACAAAGCTCAAATCACCTCACACTGGTTTCTTGAACATGATGAGTTCTCTAAACTCAAACGGCCTCCACAGTCACCAGATCTCAATCTAATAGAGCAGCTTTGGGATGTTCTGGAACGGGAGATTCACATCATGGATGTGCAGCATCAAATCTGCAGCGACTGCGTGATGCGATCATGTCAACATGGACCAGAATCCCTGAGGAATGTTTCCAGCATCTATGCCACAAAAAAAAGGGGGTCCAACCCGGTAATAGCAAGGTGTACCTAATAAAGTGGCCTGTAAGTATAAATCATATGACATGACATGTGTATCGCATCTGCACATGAGGTCATTCACCTTGTGTTTTACAGTAATGGACGTGCAGGCGTTTGAGAGGTTATTAGGCCCCTGCATGGACATCATGAAACGGAACATTGCGAATTACGAAGAGCAGCTGATCACGCTTTTCGGGAGTCACATGGCAATAGAGGAGCCGAATGCATGAAATCAGTTAATCAATAAACATCGCAAACTTTAAATGCAACATGAAATGATGAGAAAATGGTAAGTAGAGGCCCGTCATCATGGTCAAGAAATCGTGTTAACATACTGTAGGTCATAAGCTTGAAGTTATTGTTTTGCATTCACAGATGTGAAACTCCGGTGTGTGTCAATGATCATGATTTTTTAGATGTGAAAAGCCAAATGTGAGCATTTTCCTCCAGTGTACATGAGGGTTACAGGGGTTTCCTCACGCGTTTTTCGGTTTGGGGATTTGGTACTGGTGTGTTTATTCGAATCTTTCTAATTTTTTAACATGGTTTGTGTTTCTTTCATGTTACCGATGCTGCATCTTTTACAGTGACGTCCACATAAAGACCGAATTGTTGCCATATACAGCACAGTGATATGTTAATTTATTCTTTTAAAGCTAAAGTTCGGCATTTTGAAATCTACAGGTTGTCAATGTTTTCAGTGTTATGTAAGTCATTTTTACTGTAAGCCATTTTTGACTAAATTAATTCATGACTTCAGCAACTGAGCTCTGTCCACTTGCTTCATGAACTGCATTTTGATGACACCCGTTACAGAAAATATGGACTGTTCACGCCAAGAGTTTAAAGTGCCCCTATAATGCGTTTTTGAATATTACCTTTCATGCAGTGTGTAATATAGCTGTTTGTGAATTTAAAAGTTCTCCACAGTTTTAAAGATCAAAGTGCACAACAAACTTTGTTTGTTTATCGAAATAATCGATTCTGACCTGCTGAAATGAGTTATCAGTATCTCATTTTCTGTTACATTCCTAAGTAACAATGTAACTAATTTGCATAATGCCAGTCTATGCTCTTCATTGGCTGCCCGCGAACAACGCCAACTTTGCCCCGCCCTCAAACACTGTAGTTGTGGCTGAGACTGAAAGAGTTTGGTTCGTTTGTTGACATGTCGAGAAGACGCTGTTTTCCACTTTAATACACTTTAAAAGGTTGAGACTCGCTCTGGAATTGATACGGAAAACCGACGCCGTTGTTACTGTTTGTATCACTGTGTATCAAGGAAGCCTCCGGAGGTAATAGGTGTTTAGTTTCCAACATGCACCAACCAATCACAACAGACTGGGCCGTCTGACCAATCAGAGCAGAGTAGACTCGCAGAAAGGCGGGGTTTAGAGAGACTGAATATTCGAACTAACCATTTCACACTCTTTGAGAAATTAGTATATATTATGAGAAAAAGTGTTTTTTGAATGGATGCAGGTGAAACTTTTGTAGAAGACCTACAGAAAAAAATGTGAAACCTTTAAAATAGCATAATAGGGCACTTTAAAGTCAACATAAAAACTCAAATAAACATATATACTTGGTGCACAAAAAAAGTTTGTACATAAAAAATGCCTATGAAACATTTGTTTTCAGCTGATGTCACAAATGTATTCTGGTATGGATGTTTTTTCACCATCCAATCAATTCTGATGGATAAAATCAGGCCCCACCCATTTTGTCTTGTTGAATATCCTATTTAACTGTAAAATGGTCTGCGAACTGTGTTTCACTCTGACTTTAATGCTCGATTTTCATTACACTTCCTAGAGTTAGTATCCGATCAGACTGAATACAATATGAGAAAAGGACATAGAGATGCACAGACTCAATTACATGAAGAAATGAAAATGCATTTTGAATATTATTGCACTTTGATGCCGGTGTCATGACAGATCTACATGTTTTCAATTCCTTATTTTTGCAGTCTTTTAGGGAAGCTCCTCATTGTCACGTATAAATAGTAGATATAGACATTGTGTACCTTTACTTAAAATGGTGTAGCAGATTTTTATGATTTGTTCACATCTTCAGTGCTTTTATTTTGTTTTTTTAATACTTCACGTTGAATTAAGATCGACATGCACAAATAGTATGTTCACATTTGTTTTCTAGAAGCTCAAAAACGTACCAATGACATTTGCTTTATCTGAATGATTCCTCGTTTTTCCTGTGTATATTTGTGTTTCTTTCTTTCTGTGTTTATTTTGTTTTTGGAAGCTTTTGGCATTTTGATAATGTTCTTCAGAGCACTTGCTTTATTGTTCATTTCTGCAGTATTTGGACACTGTTTTTCTCTATCTCTTGATGTATGAGAAGTTCATCCTTGTTGATTGGATCTTTTTACTTCACAGCAAGTCATAAGCATTACTAGTATCCATTTCTTCCTAAAGCATTACTGAAGATTCATTACTGTCTACCTCTAATATAAACAGCTTAGCCACCATCATCACCTCTTCCCATGTAGATCCCCACAGGTTTGTCTCTTGGTAAACTAACCTGTAATGAATCCCTAAACCATATCTGTGTGTCAGTGTAACTTTACACAATTTCTACCCTGTTCATTGGGGAAATAAGACTTTTAATTGCTGATCAGTGCTCATTTCTGTACCATTTCTGTGAATTTCTGCCGCCTATAATTGAGAAGTCGCTAATGCTTTTTATGTCCTGAAAAATGGATCAAAGGTCTACAGTCTCTTGGTGCAAGAGACCCCAGTATTATAACGTCAGTTATATTTGACTTTCCATTCAAATAAAGAACAATTTTGTATTTAAATCATGTTGTGATTATTACAGCTTAATTGTTAGACTGTGAGCATTTTATTCCTATGTTGAAATAATTTTTCACTTATGCATATTATGACCTCGCTAAGTAACATTTGCATAGAAATGCCATCAAAACATTCAACTTCCTCATATGAATGTGATATTTTTATGTTTTATATCATTAATTGGGTCCATAACCTGCATTTATGCCTCGAACCAACAGCCATTTCACTTTAAATGAGCTGTAATAAATCCAAATGAGAGGACCAATGTTGTTTTATGTTTGTTTACAACGTCTTAAGACAATACATATCTCAAGACCCCTATTTAACAAACAAGGAGGGTCTTTCATAAAAAATGTGCTGCCTAAACCAATGAAATTCGCAGCTGATGTAACGGGCATGGAGAACTGACCAATCAAAAACACAATAACAAACCCATCCATGTCTATCCCAGTGTCCAAGCGATTAGCCAATCGCGCTTCGAGCTCACCAAACTGACGTACGTCTCCGCCAATGGGAGGCCAGATCTAAAAGTAATCGGTCCTGCCTTCGCGGAGAATGCCAGAGATACTCTGTAATGGCGACAGGTTTGGTAAGTAAAAAAGTTGTTGAAATATTACCATGAAATGAAACAGTAATGTCAATGAACTTTATTTTGCGTGACTATTATAAACGGCGACGGTTGTGGCCATGGGGAGCAAAAAGACTGTCATTCATTTTTTCGATCGCAAATGACAACTTTATACTTGATTGTTTTTTTTTCCTCCGTGACGTTTGTTGTTTTGCTTGTGGTTAAGTAATTCTCAACCTCATCTTAGCGACAATAACTAAACACAACCAGTCGTGTTTTTTTTATTAAAGCCAAGAAGAAAACAGGGTCTCCATTCATTACACTGGGGGGAAAGGAAGGACTTAATGTACCATGTCTCAACTTGTTGACATTCTTTTGTTTACAGCTCCCACCATTGACATTTGAATTCAGTTTTAAGCATTTATTTTCAGTAATTCTACGTGGATCAAAAGTCTCACCGCTGGATGGTCTGTATAAGATGTGTTTTTATTAAATACCGCAGTTGTTGATTCATTTTTGGCGATTTTTCCAAACAAAAGACCTTCATATCGTTGCTACAGCCGTATTGAAGTTATTGTTCCCGTATTCAGTTCTAAAAAAATACATTATTCGTGCCAAAATATCAATTATAAACCAAAAGATCTATGCGTTTCCGTCCGTTTTGTTCGCGAAAGCAGAAAAATCTTATTTTCTTCCTGTGTGAAAAACTGAAACCGAGCAAAATAGCCTCAAATGAAGCTTTCCGCTCATAAACACGGACTCATCTTCGATTGAATCGAACAGGGAGACTTCAATCTATGAATCTGAAAAGTCATGGTGAATTTTCTAGCGCAGTCTATCGCTGTTATTGATCCCCCGTTGTTACGCAGTTATGAATGAATGAGCTCCGCTGCGCATGCGCGAAGTCCCTGAAAGTTTATAAACAAGCCTTGCGTGCAATGCGGGTCACGTGACTGCGCTTTACAGAAACGGACGCAGTGTGTTCGCAAAAGCAAAACGCGTAATTAAACACGCCAAAATTAATGACTCAAGCCTTTTAAATTCTCTCATTTAATATACGTGTGCTCAACGTGATCAAGCAGTGGCCAAGAACATATTGCACAATACCCCACAGAAAAGGATGTTTGTTTCTGTTTCATTCATTCATCCACCCACCCATTTCGTTTCTTTCATTCATTCATTCATTCAAAAGAATGAATTCTACAGAAGTTACATAATACAAAAACAAAAATAAACCCAAAGTAAAAGCAAATGCAAGAATGCTGGTCTGGAAATAACCTACCCATTTTTCTTTCACTTTAACGCTTTATGGTACGCATTATGTTTTTCAAATAAGTTTTTATCACATGAAATGGGTGGGTGGGGTACTTAGGGAAACAAAAAATGGTCAAAAAAATTCTATAATTATTTTTTTCTATAAAATTACAATTTTCTTTTCTATTTAATTGCACATATCTTTTAGAAATTGATAGACTTATTTACTTGGAACTCGTGCAAACCAAAAATAAGTAGATCCCTTTCATTCCCAATCATTTGGCTAACTCACTATCATCACATGGAAGAGCTAACTCTGCACTCTTCCTATTGCCCTTTCCGTAAAATATTGTTGTATTCATTTTCTGAAATGAAGAAATCAATTTGTTATTTATACATAAATACAACTATACTAAAATAAAAACTTCAAATAAATAAATAACTGCAATCATATTGTTGATGCTACTATATATAAAAAATCCCAATGGGGAAATACATTACTGCAATTCCCTAGTGGTACAGCGTTGCCATATGGCAACATTGATATTTTCTCAATTTACTACTAATATACTTATCAAAGATGCTACAAAAAATCCCCCTTGAGAAGAGATGTTTAGAAATTAGGTTAATAGAGCAAGTTCTGGAGCACTTCAACAGGGGTCTACCGTGTGAGGGTGACAATGGGAACAAGAGTTTTGAAGGGACATTCAAATGTCATGTGACTTAAAAACAGCACATCATTGGCTACCTGAAGCCTGCCCTTTTAATTGCCATAGTGCAAAATATTGTATTTCTTTCTGAAACACCATACCATAGAGGGTTAATCACTTCTCTTGTATTTGCAGCCTTCTCAGCTGACATGTTATAATATGGTGTGGGAAGTGAAAACTCAGTCAGTCCACCAGAGAGTCCAGCAAGTCCAGTCACAGAGCTCAGGAATGGACGAGGCCTTCGACCTGCTCAAGTGTAATGAGCGTCTGCCCTCCTCACCTGGCTGCCCTTCTAACGAGAGCCACATGGAGTTCGGTAATTAGCTTTACCGCTCATATTTTAGTCTAAAAAATGTCAAAATCAAGTGCAAAAAATATTCCGATTACTTGTAAATGCCAGTTTTGTGTCTCTGCAGATGACCTGCCGGAGCTGCAGGAGGTGCAGGATGACCAGTCGACCCCTGGCGTGTTCCAGGTGGCCCCGGGTGTGTCGCATCATGAGGAGGAACCCGGCGAGGCATGGAGCTCCAGCGTTTCACACACAAACTGGCTAACCGAGCTGGCCAACATCGCCACGAGCCCTCAAAGCCCCCTGCTCCAGAACGCCCCACACAACCGGTCAGGAAATCCTGGAGTTTATACAATTGCACATTCATGATAATTGTGCAGCTCAGGCTATTCTGATGATGACACATTATCATTGCAGGTCTTCTCCTGTCCACATCTTCTCCAGCAGTAGCAGTTTACATTCCTACGCTCGACCCCCTCTGTCTTCCAGCAGCGCCCCCAGTCCCGCCCGCAGCCACATGAGAGAGCGCCGGCGCACCAGGGTACGGCCGCGGGCCTTTCCAAACACAAACACTCATCATCAGGTTTAATGCGAAACTTACGTGCAGATATCAAGGACGTTTTTGCCGCTCTTGCCAATGGTTAGTGAACCCAGCAAATTTACTGGCCATGAAACTTATTTATATTATTTAAATTATATATATATATATATATTGACATTAACACCCGGCAAAAGCTGTATCGATACTGAAATATCGGAAACTATTCTGCAGGAGACACGATACCAGCTGCGCACGCGTTCTCTCTCTCTCTCATCTCTCCGACAGCGAGTGACACACAAACCCGCCTCTCCTCACTCACTTGTTTCATTTGCTCCGGATGAATATTGTTGGTGTTACAGGGCTTGAATTTCGGCGTGGGATTGTGCGTATTCAGCATAATTTTACTCATTCCCCGAGTTCCCAAAGTGTGCGCACATAAAGACAAGTATATTGGGTAAATAAAACAGTATAATGGGTCCGTATGTCAGGTCTTAAAGTGACGGCAGCCTAATATACCGGCTGCCAAATTATGAGATAAGAATAAAAATATATAAATGGCAGTTTTTCCTTTTGGAATTGATGTCAAAATTGTGGCCAGTGAAAATGCTGAGTGGCTAGTAACTTTGGAAAACCACTTTCCAGTGTTTGGTGAGCAAAAAAGTCAATGTTAAACCCTGTATATATATATATATATATATATATATATATATATATATGTCCATGTTAACTATATATATATATATATATATGTCAATGTTAACTGGTCAATGCATGTGATTAATTAACGCAAATAAATAACTGAAGCATGTGAAATTGTGTCATTAACGTAATTGACGTCACGCAGTTATATGATCTTAGAAGTCGGGAGTTTGTCACACAATGGCAGAAGCACCTGAAACCCTGGTAGACGGAAATTTCTATTCTAACCCTTTAACCGGATTTCGCTTCTCTGTTTGTGATCAGATCATTTCAAGCCGCTAAACTCTGGGAAAATTTGAGCTCCATTGATCCAGTAAGCGAATGCATTCAAACAATCAGTCCAAAACAGCGCTAATGTAAAGAAAACCAGGCTTATTACATCAGTGATGGCAGAGAGAATAGAGCCTCACGTTGCGTTTTCAGTGAATTATTCATTCCAGTGTGTGTTTCGCTTTAAAACACGAGGTCTGTGATTGTTTCTGAAGAGCACAAGCCCTTACACATCGCGCTGTGTTTAATACAGACTGAAGGGAATGTTAAAACATCCCACCGCTGTATGGCCAGATGATATGCAAACTACATTTCTTGGCTCGATAAATCTCACTAGTAAAGTTTCGATGGAAGAGTATTACGATCAAGGTAAAGAGGATTGCGGTGACGTACAGGAGTCCGTTATATTGATGCGCAAACAAGCATTGTATGTTCACTCTCGACGCAGTGAGCACACATTTCACTACATTCATGTTGTTTTCACACACATTCAGGATAATGTTTTGATTTGCCATGTGTATGTTGCTGTGTTTAGTAATTCTGAATGGATCTGTGATAGTAGGTATATGCAGTCTGGTCAAGGCGGTTGGTTTAGGGTTTTTTAATCTCCATGCAGTCCTGTTCGGTATCACAACTTGACTTGTCTAAAATGTAAACAAGCTCTTTGATGTTGCACTGTACACATACTATATACTGTGAATTCTGACAAGTATTTTTCTGTAATGTTTTTTTTTTTTCATTGGTGCTTTGGTGTGCATAAATGTATGAATTATAAGGACTCCTTATATCATTTGGTTATTTGGTGTCCTTTTTTCTTAGTCTCCAAGTGTCGTTTGTGAGAATGACCATTTAGTCTGATGGTTTCCTTTGCTGGATATAGCAAATGATGACAAAATGAACGTGGTAAACAAGATAAATGGTGTAAGTTTATTTTCACAACATGTTTGCGATAAATTGCACACTTTTGTGCTATTAATTGCAAACTTATCGTGACATTAAGCGTACACCATTTATGTAAATTTGTTCAATTTTAATCTATTGACAGCCCTAATATATATATCACAAAATAAATGTTGTGATGTTAGGTACATCAAAAGAAACATCAATTTTTGGCCCAGATCTTGTACTGACAAGAAATGAAAAGCTACACACTCCATCAATTAGGGTTAGAAGAACTGTTGCCAAACATATAACATGTTAGAAACATAATAATCACTGCAATAATGATCCAATCATACACCCTTATGCATTTGCCTGTTTAAATCCAGACAGTGACTTTTTTGCCAAACGGCGGCTGGCAGTTAAAGAGTAAACAGGATATAGTATAGACTTTTGAGGCTGTTTTCTGTGCGTTTTACAGGCCAGCAGTGAGTCGGAGTCTGGCATTTTCTGCATGTCGTCTCTGTCCGATGATGACGACCTGGGATGGTCCCATTCCTGGCCCTCCACTGCCTGGCATTGTTTCCTGAAAGGTAAAGACACACACAGATAAGGTGCTCCTAACAGCTTTGGGAACAAAATAACAGCCAATATCGTTTTATCAATGAGTGACTTGGAGAAATGTGGTGAACAGCACCTTCTGCTGGTACAAATGCAGAGCAGCAGGAGTAAAAGAGGGAAACAGGCGTGTCTCTGGGTCACGGGAGGGACAAGAAGTCCTCAGAACAAATTCAAGTCAACACACCCTCTTCCTAGAACATGTTTGCTTGTACTTGAATGTCATTTTATTTGAACAAAAGTGTATTTATTGATATGTGGGGTATCTCACCAAACTTTTGTCACTGTGCTACCCATCTTTTTCCTCTAGGAACACGTTTGCGCTTCCACAAAGGTCCGAATGTGGAGTGGCAGGAGGCAGAGGATGTGATGGAGTCGGATGAAGATTCTGAAGACGAGGGAGAAACACAGTCCAACCCAATGAAGGTAATCATGTACACATGAGCCCTGTAATTATTCATCAAGTTACTTCTACTTTATGCTTTGAAAAATCCTATTGCCAAAATAATATACGTTTGTTTGTCTCGCAGAGTTATGGCTGTGATGGTCTAAAGCTGGTGATCTTTGAGGAGAGTGTGTCTTTCGGCCAGTCTGTCCTGAAATTAACCTTTGACCCTGGTTCCCCTGAAGCAGGGCCTCTGACTGCCGAGTGCAGATTGGACCATCCGTTTTTTGTGAAAAATAAAGGTAAATGCAGAAGCCTTTTTCTACGCAGTATCATAAAGTGATTTCAGAAGTTTATTCTAACTGTGTGTATGTTAGGGTGGTCTTCTTTCTATCCGAGCCTTACCGTTGTACAGCACGGCATCCCCTGCTATGACATGCAGGTCGGAGACTTGTGTCTGCCGCCAGGACACCGTGATGCCATCAACTGCGACGACTCCGTCGTTTTTGACACTTTTAGGAGGTACCAGCGTTGTTATTGTGAACTAATCTTCCTCAATTGAAATAAAGCTGCAATACAATATTAAATCAAAATATTACAAATATTTGATGAAGAAAAAAATATAGAAATGTTGCCTTGGCAACTAACTGAAATAAAATTACTAAGCACTAAACTAAAAACTGAAATAAAAATAAATTAAAGCTAAATAGAAATAAAAATACATATACATATATGTTGATTGCCTATGTGTTTGTTCCTTATTGTTTTCCTGCATTGTGTTATAATGAACATACTGCATATGTATCTCTTTTTAAAATTTATTATTATTATTATTATTACTATTATTTGGTCTGATTGTGTTTTGTTTATGGCTTGTGTGCAACACAGTTTTTTTTATTGATGTCTACTTTGTACAAATAAAAAAAGAAAATACTAAGAAAAACTAATAAAAATGACAAAAGTACACACAAAAATTATATTTAAAATAAAAACTGAAAATATAATATTAAAAGCTAATTGAAAATATGAATAAAATGAAAAATACTGTTATATTGACATTGAAAAATATGAATGAATGAAAAATACTCTTTTTAAAAAATGAGTATTTTATAATATAGTAAAAATAATTATATATATTTATATAATATATAAATTAATATATATATATATATATATTTATATAATATATACATTTATATATATATATATTATTTAAAAAAAATATATATATAAAATAAATAATTATATAAATATATATAAAATTTATTAATATATATATAAAATTAATATATATATTATAATATAGTAAAAATTACTATACTTATATTTTCTATATATAATTTTGATGGGACCATATTGGTCATTTTCAAAATATGATTTAAGAAAATATAATTGTCTTATTTAATGTGATATATGACCTAATTTGATACTTGTTTGCAACTAGTAAAATTTATTTTAGTTAGTTTTAGTTTCGATTTCCTAGATGTATCTTTTTATTATTTTTAAATAATAATAATAACATAGATACATCATTTCTGACATAAGAACTTTGCTTAGTAAAGAAAAAAACGACTAGTGAAAAAGAAGTAAAAATCAAACAACAATAACACAACCATTAACGATAACTGGTGCATGAGGTCTTGCAAGGAGTCAGCAACTATGTGATACAAGTAGAAATTGTGGTACAGTTCTTAATTATTTGTTTTTTTTTGTATGTAACAATCCCATTCCCTCCAGCACTTTTCCCCTTTGTCCTTCTGTAACCGAAGGGACAGGGTCATTTTTTCCATGGGCGTTAAACATCTTGACTGTTTTCCCACCCCACAGTTATGACTTCACTCCTCTCGACTCTTCTGCCGTGTATGTTCTGAGCAGTATGGCACGCCAGCGTCGGGCTTCCCAGTCCAGTGGGGGCGCTGTGAGTCCCGACTGCGAGGCCCTCGGCTCCTCCCACCACTCCACCAGCAGCAAATCACAGCGCAGCCCCGCCTCAGGGAGCTCTGGAGCCACACCCACAAAGTGCAAGCGGCCAATGAATGCCTTCATGCTTTTTGCCAAGAAGTACAGGGTGGAATACACACAGATGTATCCCGGCAAAGACAACAGGTGCGTTGATATGCAAACGAACACGTTTACGTTAGCTCTGTTCCAGAACCTAGTGAGCTAACACTGGCTCCGATATAATTGATAACACATTAAAGTTAATAATTATTCTTGGGAAGTTTCATATACATAAATCTAAAGAAATGTCTATAACACCGTCTTTGAATTTTTTCTGTAAAGATCTTAAAATATTCTATGACTCAATTGTGCGTTTGAATTCAATCACTAGAAATAAGAAGTGTATAAAAACTAGAGCCCGACCGATATGGATTTTTGGGGGCCGATGCCGATACCGATATTAGGGAGTAAAAAAAGCCCGATACCGATATATCGGCCGATATTATTTATGTGTATATTATAATACAGTAGCAATATTATTTATGTGTATTATAGTACAGTATACCAGTCAAAAGTTTGGACACTTTCCTATTGGTGTGTACAAACTTTTGATGGGTACTTTACACAGTATAAACAGAATAAATATATTTTATAAACACGTTTTGCAATGATCACTCAAATGTGGTAATCAAACACTTTTGTGACACAGATATGTAATGGATGCAGGGGGAATGATAGAATGAGAATTATACAGCTGAGCTGTAACCAAACTAGTTTGCATTGCATGTTATATTATATTATATTATATTCTAATACTGTTGCATAATCTTCACTAACGACTTTGTCTTTTAATTTAGTCATAACTTGTATCAATAAATATATAAAAAGTGTCACTGACAAAACCTTATTATCTTCTATTTTTACTCTTAATTCCTCTAGTAAAAAGATCTGAGTTCTTCCTCCACTGGTAGAGATTAAAGTAAAATTAATAATATCATAATGAAAACGTTTTTAATTACATATGTACAGTACTTTTATACTATTTTAAATAGTTAGTAAGCAAAATGTACTAAACGTGAAACTAGGCTACTCTTAATGCAAAATGGCCCTATATAAAGTGTTATAATTATATAAATTATTGGAATATTGCTTGATGTTGTAACGTAGCGTTATCAGGCAGAATGAGCTTTAACACTGTGTCTACACCGGACGCGGCCGTTATTGCTCGCGTCACAACAGCTGTTTACCCGAGACAACGCAGAATCAGTTTACTGTCGGAGATCGCTCGCGCCACGCATTTTAATCAATGTTTCATCAACCAATTGCCTTAATAAATAAGAAGTAGGCCTAAATATAGCAGACAATATAATCAGGACTTCTCAGCTGCGCGCTTGCAATAGTCACAAGCTCACACAATACGTGACAGAGGCTTGTAGCAGAGAAATCAATTCTGTGAATTACACCGCGCAAATCACAACTACCCACCGGATGAAGAAGGGTTGGCTCTCAGTCTCCACAGGCTACATAAAATATTCATTTTATTTATTTTTCGTGTTCGCATTAAGGAAAAACAATGTTACAGACGCGACAGTTCAGCACTACGGACGTGAGCGCTCTGAAAGCGGGACTAAAATATGCTTTGAAACTTTCACATAGACATCAAACAGAAAGCACAAAACCTTTCGTTTCAAAGTGAATTTCGTTTTGTATTAATTGTCTCTTAATTTTAATCAATGTTTCATCAACCATTTGTCTGGATTTAATTTATAAGAAGTAAATATAGCAGACGATAGATAATCTCGACACGGAGGCGCCTGCGGGTGAACTGGAGCTCGTCTCATGAACCGAAACTCAGCGTATAGACCTGAGAATTGAAATATATCTATATTGAAATGTCTGCTTTTAAACAGAACAATTCAAAACGAAAGACAGACAGACTCATGTAATCGTATGAAATGTGCATTTCTCTCTGGCGCGCGTTAACTGAAGATCGCGAGTCAGCATCGTCAACTTCATCTTTGGCTGACACTGACTGAAAACACTTGTTTATTAATAAACAATTAAAATGTCTCCTTGCTATTTGTTGTATTCATAATCATTACTTTTGCCAGTTCTTGTGACAGCTTTTAGGTGCTTTATTGGTAGCGCCACCCTTACATGAATCACCGCACCCGCATTTTTTAAAATATTCATTTATCGGCCATTATAAATGCCGATACCGATAGTTAGGAAAATGCCTAAAATCGGCCGATAATATCGGCCCGCCGATATATCGGTCGGGCTCTAATAAAAACATCTCTTATATTGAAAAAAAATATTTGTAGAATTTAATGTTTACTCTGTACAATGTAAGATCTGTTATGTTTTCCCCAATATCTGTTTAACTTATGTTTAATGTTAAATGTCATTGTAAGCTTTTATGAAAGTAAAAAAAATAAAAATAATAGTAAGGCAGACATTAATTTATTTATTTTTTTAAACCTTGTGAGCTGTCTTGATGTCTGTTCCCTACATAGGCAGCATCCATACTAAAATAGGACAAAATAGTACATTTTTGTAGAATAAGAAAAAAAAAACATTTGGCTAAAACGAAGATATTATGTGACGTAAACAAGCTGGAACAGTTTCTAATGCTACACAGTAGTGTTACATGTTCTGAAGTGTCCGGTTACATGGATAAATGAGGCATTACAGATGTTTCTAATTTACTCAGAGCCATCAGCGTGATTCTGGGCGATAAATGGAAGAAGATGAAAAACGAGGAAAGGAGGCTGTACACCATGGAAGCCAAAGCTCTGGCCGAGGAGCAGAAACGTCTCAACCCTGACTGCTGGAAACGCAAGAGAACAAACTCGGTTAGCATTTTTGAATTAGCATGATTAGCGTTAATATTGTGAATCTGTTTTTGAAAGATAAAATTTGACTTACCTTGATTTTGTCAAAAGAACTGTTGTTATTTTCATTCGCTCTTAGGTCGATAATTGATCGTTAAATCATATTCCTCTCCTTTTCGCTAGGGCTCTCAGCAGAACTAGCCTGAGGATCGTCACGAAAACACGAACTGGACAGCAGGAGACGGACACCGATACACATTCTCTCTAAAGAATGATAAACCGCAACTGTGATGCTTCACGCACTTGCTTTAGGGAAAAAAACAAACAAATCAAATTTGCTAATTACAACTAAACATCTTCGCAAGAAATACATTTTAAAAATATATGAACGAAAGGCAAATCATGATATAATTATATGCGATATAAAAAAAATGTAATCTAGTCAACTAACAGTGCTTGTGTATTTTTCTTATCCTTTCAAAAATGACGAAAATGCCTTACTTTTCCAAAGCAAGACAACGCTCAGTTCTTCTATCAGGTAATTTCGTATTTCTAGGCTTGAAAGGTGCAACCCTGTGGTGCTATTTTACTGAGGCCGAAGGAGCGATATATATATATACAAATAATGTCTATTTTTCAATGTAAAAAGGGGAAATTTAGATCTTAGCTTGTTTTTTTCAGCTGTTCATATTAATTATATTTGTATAACTCAACTTATTGCACAGACTCAAATGTATTGCAAACAGACG